CATTGTGCAGGACAATATAAACTAACATAGCGGAATCAATATTATTACTCCGTACGAGCGAGGCCCACGCGCACCTACAATTGTAAATGATTGCCGTTCGTTGCTGGGCATTGCTTTCCATTTCGGTATCGGTCAATGGCTTTTTCGTCATTGAACCACAGAAGCTGAATGCATCCCTGTGGCCGGCTACTCTGTATGCGTATGCCGCCACCTGCAGTCGGCAATAATGCCTTCCGCTTGAACGAGAGTCCTCCCCAAGGTCCATCTCTTGAGACTTGCCCCATCACCCCACCTGCCACACTTTGACGTTCACATGCCTCTTGTTAGTCACTTGGAAAGGAGTGGCGAATGCCAATGACTTGGGCCAGGCCGACCTCGCCCGGTTGACAATGCGGAGGGCAAGAGGGTCTCTATCCAATGCGCTGGACACAGTTCAAAGACGAGGGGAGACCTCGAACGGGATTGATCAATCAATTGGCCAAATCCACCCCTGGCGTGACCCCTTGTCTATGCCCCAGGCCCCACGATAATATTTGAGCTCCTGAAATGACAAATGTAACATCTGGGCGTCCTCGAGGGTTGCCGAATGTGGAATATTGTATGACCCACCCCTCAGCATTCATCTTTTGGCCTGGCTGGTGTCTGATGCGCATTGATAGCGCCCGTCGGTGAACAAGGGAATTGATTGATCAATGTGTACGAGGTAAAACGACTTGTATCTTGCTTCAGAGTACGAAGCAGGAACTGTACCCCATAATACTTCGTACAAGTATACTCATCAATGATACCGTATCTCACAATTCACCGTCCCATCAACTCCTCAGGGTCCCTGAAGATGATGATGATGCTACTCGTCCAAGGAGATCATGGATCCAGCCCCAAACCCTGCACGACGACGAGCTAGTTGCATTTTAGCGAATAAGTCTTAGATAAAGGAGGAAGGTCCTGATCCCTGCAGTGCACGACGCTACGTTCACCAGCAGAAGCTTAGTAGTGTAGTTTATTTGCGCCTCTAGCATCATTGGATTTCCCATTGATATCAGGATATTAGTAAGAAAGGCGCCATCGATCGGTTCCCCGGAGAATATTAGTGAATGACAGCGCTGGCGTTGTCCAGCCTACCACTACCGTATGCCGCATTGTGGTGAGCTGCACTTGTCTCCGACAACTTGCATGGTTTCGTCCGTCGTTGCGGGTACTACTTTGGCTCTAGTATGTCTCATCTCCATGATCGATTATCACCAGTCATAAAACACACTGGGGAGTTGTCCTCAGCTTCTTCGTGTGTTCGTTAGGAGCACACCAAGCTGGAATTGGAGTTGAAAACCCCTCTCCGTGGAGCTGACACAAGGAAAAAAAACGCCCAGGCTGGCAACATTCATCTGCTGAACTCACGAGCTATTCGAGTGACGTTTAATCGTACGGGAACCCACCGCCCCAACTGCAAACATTCTCACATGAGATGAGAGAGCGAAACAGACCTCAATTTATCGTGACTCCCGTTAATAAGCACTTGAGTCTCTAGTCGCGGGCCAATATCTGCGTGGAGATATCCACTTTCAATAATCCCCCGTCTCACAAGTTTTGAGTAGTGTAGCCTCTCCTAGTGCGCTCTACACTAGTAAACGAGAGCTTTTAGTAGATCCGCCACCGAGTAGCAAGAGGATTAAGATGCTTGTTTCGGGGACACGGCCGGGGAATCAGCACGGGTCGACGGGATCACGCTAGAAGTTGGAGAGACGCCAATGAATTGAGAGAAAGGCACATGTGTCCGTTGATTCCCTTCCACCACCGGTCACATCCTCTTACCTCCCTCCTTTCCTCTTTTGAGGCAATGGAGATCATCTCTGTTCCGCAGATGGCGGGGCAGGAAACATAGAGATCGACTAAAGCCGAAGAAACTAAGTTCTCACCCTTGATCTCGACCTTGGGGAGTGCGGACGACAGTGGGGTATCAAAACGGTGTTCTGAGTTGCAAGACCAAAAGTCACAAGCTTTTTCCCTGTCACTTCGAGAGGCGGGAGAAGTTCTCGTAAAGGACAATTCAACATTGAGAACATCACGATTGTAATCTCCTCGGCTTGCAGCTGATTTCTGTTGAATCCCTTCGGTTGAGAGGATCTTGAATAGACTCCCCCAACGAGCTTGGGTTCTTCACGCGTCATTTCGATCTCATTACAAAAAGGTCCTTGATATACTCATTACTCGCCAATTCTTCGATGGCGGTCGAATATCATATCACAGTCTTGCGCCTTATCCCCTCAAAAAAAAAAAAAAGAGAGTAGCAAATCGAATCTCGTGGTTCAAACAGGTCTTCAAAAGATCCAAACCCATGCCTTCAGAGCTGAAGCTGAAGTCCGAGTAAAACAGACGCTCAATGACTCTGTGCCATTTGGTAGTGATCCCGGAAGTACGAAGTACTTCCTACTCGGCGTTCAACCTTTCTTGGTATACATGTACTCGACCGGCGCAGAGTGCGCAGAATCTCAAGCCGGGGTATCCATGCTGAGCTCCTGCGCCTTCCAATTGATCCCCTGTGCCCTGTCTTCCAACGAGTGACAGGGTAGGTGCCCCCCCCCCAAGGGTACCCTCCCACATCACCCGATACTAGAGCGGAGGAAAGTATCCTAAGTTACGAGGTACGAAGTACTTCATACAATGGCGAACCCACAGCCATGGAGCGCATCTTAGACACACGCCCCCTACCTACCTCAGTTGAAAACGAGAACCCACATGTCGTGGTACCTCATTTCCAATGGACGGTTATTTAGGGGTGCGTGTTCAATATTGAGTACTTGTACTTCGTACATTGAGGGACTGAATGGACTAGGCAAGTTGTAGGCCCCGTGCAGCACAGGCGCACTGCGTGCAGAGATCAATTAATCAGTTGATACCGCCTGAGCCAGTTGAATTGATGTCCAGCAACTGAGGCACCACCGTCAACCCGTGTGGCCTGTGAAGGTGCATCTGACCCTCCAACCTTGTTCCTTCCCATCGCGGTGCACGCAGCGAGTCAGCAGAATTGTGTTCAATGTTGTTGATTTTGGAGCATGAGCAACAAGAACATTTACTGCCGAAGAACGGCCCGGTTTCTCTGTCATCATCAATCCTTGCTCTTAAGTATATCAATGATATCCACGACATGCACAAGATCATTTTTCTCCTCATCGGCATTTCTGTATTCGTGATCGTCATCAATTCCCCTCCAAGAGAGACACTGCGCTGGCCTTCCTCTGCAGCTTTCCACCTGATTCAATTGATCGTACCTAAGCGGAGCCATTTGGCGTTCGGATTTCTTGGCCCTAAAAAGCCCCAGCGCACTCCCCTCCCCGGTTGGAGAGGAATTCGCTACTAGTGCTCCGAGTCCTGATTATCCTCGCGGCGACAAGTGAGCAACATAAATCCTGTCGGCCGTGGGGTTCGCGCTGGACCGCTGGGTACGCGGATCACCACATTTGGCCCACACGCGGACATTGTTATTGTTCGAATTCTTCAACGACGGACCAGGGCACTGTCAAGACTACGCTAGGACTACTTTGCGACTTCCAGGGAGTCTAGGACGGCGGATCTCGTGCTCCTTTGCGCTTTCAAGTTCCATCAACTGCTTCTCTCATCGTCCCTCCATTCTTGCCACTGATAGTCGGACCGGCAGTGGCGCTAAGCGTGTCGTTAGCTAAAGTTAAAATTTTCAGCACCGGACACACAAAACGCACTTGACTTTTCTACAAAAGCCGGACAATCTTTTTCCTGGGTACCTCGGTCATTGCCTCCCAGACCAAAGACCCTCCCATTCGCACCATCACTTTCCGACGCCCTCGAGTATTTACTCAGCCAGACGTCAGCCCTCGTTGACCACCAAGAGCCGAAGTATCAAATCAAAATTTCTTCCCTCTCTTTTTCCTCTCCTCCTCCTTTCCATCTTTCTTCTTCTCATCCAAGACATCTGTCGGATTCCCTTCTTCTTTTTTTTTTAATCTCTCTTTCTATCCTCTCTGCTACATGCGACACACTTGCGCATCCACCTCGCAGCGAATAACTGATACTATCCCACACCTTTTCGGGAGCCTTGAATCTTGTGATCAAAGCTCTGGTCAGCGCGGAAACTAAACTACTGAGTACTATTTCGTACGATCCACAAGTTGCCGATAAAAGGTTGGTGATCAAGCCCGTCACCCTCCGCCGACCAGTTCACAGCAGACCCTCGCACCAACCCGGTTCAAGGACCCGAGCCAACCAAGGCTTGATTGAACCACTCACCATCAAGCACACCTCCATAACACGACGCACGTCGGAACACACACGCCCCCCCTCCCCTGCCTCTATCCATCTCCACTCTTTTCGCTCCACCCTCCTCCACCACCACCACTCTTGGTCCCCCCCCCGCCCTTGTTCGTTCTCCCACCGCACTACGCTAGACCCCCTGTCCCTCCGCAGCGAACAAAGACTGAGCTCGCCATATTTTAGCGGCGTCACACCCAGACCTCTGTGATCTCCCTCGAAGACAAGTGATCCTTGTTTGACCTCGCTTCTCTTGTGGGAATAATATATTGCCTTCAGGGTACGCTGCGACTTCTTTTGCGCTCAGCATTATCATCATCGGACCAGGAACTTGTTTATTAAGAGTCGAATCTCTTCGAAGCTTGCATTTCCCGCAAACTTATCGTCTCTCAATTATCAATCACTCCACTAGCGACGCTCTCCATTGCAGAGCCTTTCCTGTCATCGCGCCACCAACATTCGACGTCTTTTCCTGCTCCCAACCTGCGCCTTCTTTCCATAGAATCGAGAAATCCCTTCTTGAGCCAGAAAAGAGCAGACAGAAGAAAGCGCGCAGAAGGAATTTCACAAAAGAAGTCATTGGGGACCCATTGGACTTCTATTGGCCTCAGATTCATCGCGAACTTCCTAACAGAAGGAGGACGCCGACCATCCAACCTTTGCGATTAGGTTATACTCGCAATATAACCTTCTGACCCCAACCACTTACTTCGCAAGAGAGCATGTACCTGGAGCCCACGCAGCCTCGTGCCGGCTTCATCGACCACCAGAAGTCCCTTCTGCCGCCCGCTGCCCACATCGCGCGGACTTCTCAGGATTCTACTCAGGCTGGAGTTCCCACGCCGGGCACCGCTACCGCAATGGAACGAAACACTAGCGACTATCCCCCATCTGGATTGCCGTCTCCGTACCCACCTCCGTATACGGACGGCAGATCTGAGGGCTCATCGGGTGATCCCCAGTCCACCTCTCAATACCCCGCGCCTCAACCAGAAGTGAGGTCTAATGCGTATTCCACATCAGCGACACCCACATCAGAGTACGGCGTATATCCTACGTCCGCGCGCTCCGGGTCGTTCCCTGAACATATCCAGCGTCCCTACCACCCCCACACTGCCAGCAACAGTGGGAGCAGTGGAGGTATGGCTCAAGCTAATAGTCCGTCCGCTCCCCCAAGGATGGGCGACTCCATCGCGCATTGTACAAAGAACCATTGGCTAACCATTTTTCTCAGACCACTCCATAGCCGCCCCGAGCCCCACATATCCGTACAGCCAGGCGCATTCGCCCTACGGACCTCCTGGAGACATCACACCGAACTACCAGCATAGCGGAAGTGTTTATGCGCAGGCCAGGCCCGACTGGGCCGCGTACGGACAACACAGCGCCGGTCCCTTGACGCCTACCGGCCCCGTCTTCCCTACAACACCCTCATCCGCCCCGCCTCAGCCGCGGCCTAGTCAGGTAAGTTTAGAATCATGCCCGCCATTTTCAGCAGATTTCGGAGTGTTTTAGGTATAGAACTAACTTGAAGAAATAGGTGTACTCGTTCGTTCCGATCCCCGGTTCTCAGCAGCATAAACGACCCCGAAGGCGATATGAGGAGATCGAGAGGATGTACAAGTGCGGTTGGAATGGATGCGAAAAGGCCTATGGTACATTGAACCATCTCAATGCCCATGTAACAATGCAGGGCCACGGCGCGAAGCGAACTCCTGATGGTATGTATTCTCCTTCGTCATGATTTTGTAAGACTGTGAGTTACTGACGTGGCCAACAGAATTCAAGGAGATCCGGAAGGAATGGAAGCAGCGGAAGAAGGAGGAGGAAGCTCAGCGCAAGGCAGAGGAGGAGCGTCAGCGAAACGCCGCAGCTAACGCTGCTCAGAACCAGGTCCAAGAGCCTGGGCCGGTAGACGGTGCTCAACCTACTGCAGCATACGCAGGATCTCGCGCTCTGCAGCTCCCTCCGATCGGTTACCAACCAAATGCCTATCCCGCGCCTCCTTCCGCGGGTGTACCGCAACACCCGCTCTCGGACTACTCCAGCAGCCAGATGTACCCCAACTACCCCCATTCTCCTTATGGGCAACCGGGACAGAATATGTACAACCAATGTAAGTGGATCTCAGCAGCCAAAACTTGCTTCCATCGGAGTTGTGTTCGCTAGAAAGACTAACTTGAGAGAAACAGCGCCCAACGGAAACCAACCTCCCAGCCACTAGCACGGCTCTGAGCATTGAGAGAGAGCTCTTCCCTGGTCCTTTTAATCAGCAGCCTTTATTAGAATATGGTCACCAGACAACCCTTTTTTTTGCACTAAATCAAATTTTCAATTTTTTCTTCTTTTCCTTTTTTCCACCGCACAGCATCATCGGAGAAGGGGGAGGAATCATGCATGCATCGAGGAGTCATGAGAAAGAAAAACGGGGCGGCCTGCTTTTATCGGTCAAATTTTGTTTCATGAGTTTCGAACTCTGCGGTTCAATTTCTCTCTGCTCTTCTTTTTTTCAAACATTTTCTTATCAGTCAATCCCATGAGGTATCATTATCAGGTGGGTTGGGAAAGCGGTGTTTTGTCTTGATTATCCTTGGGTGGGCGGGGACAATGGTTTTTCCCCCCACTTTTTTTTTTTTTTTTCTTCGGGGCCATTCATCGTCAAGGCGACAGGTAGTAATCATGAAGTTGACTGGACTCGATCAATTCTGACTCCTCCTTATGAGGTTTCTGCCATGTAGGCCGTGATCGGGTGTTGTTTGCAGGTTGTCAAGGTTATCCACTCTGATCACATGCGCAACTTGCAAGAGAGTTGTGACAACAGTTGACGCCTGTGTCAGGTCAATATGTCAAGTCGATATGAGTTATTACAACCCTTTCAAATAGAGCCTAATACTACTGATATGGTCACCTCTTCTCTCTCGAGTTGCGCATGTAAGGGAGACTGGAGAACGTAGCATCGCGAGAAATGCTGCCGTGACTATAGCAGCACTGTGGAATTGTCGTTGAATACGAGGATGAGGAATGTATTTCGCACGGTATATAGCTGTTGCACAAGGCTCTACTCTTGGCTTTTTTCTTATAGTGAAACCTGATGATTTGAAGAAGATGCATTTTTAAGAGACGAGGACGTGAAGTTCGCAAAAAGAACGATGATGACATACTCTTCCCCTCGTCGAGATAATCACTCGCCGCACAGTTCGGGGCTAGACAGGGGGTGTGTATCGATTGGAGCAGGTTTTCTTTGGCTTTTTTTTTCTTTCGCAGTGACCGCCTCCGTTCCCTCCTCTAAACAAGTGATAATAGTACTTGGTACGGATCGTCCGAGCTTATTTCACCTCGTGCGTTTCTTTTTTACTTTGCTTTATTTAGTGTGAGGCTAGTTGGGGGCATCCTTTTGGGGGGGGAAAAAAAGGGTTGATGACGGGCGCTAGGGTGGGAAGATGTAGATCGATCGCGCTATCGTCGATCGGGGAAAGGATTGATGGATCTAGATTCAAGGGATTTAAGAAAGTTTGCGCCTCCCGGGAACACCGGGGGATGGTCAGTGATACTTTCAATGAATTGTTGAGTTGTTAATTTGATGTCCATCAGGTACTTTCTATGTCTACGAAGACTCATCATTCTTTTGGAAGAATGACGGGTATGGGATGCGGGCGTTGGACGGTTCATGCGGCCCAATGTCGATCGCTGCGGGGGATACGTGAATCTTGATATCATTTTTCCCGGGTTTTGAAAGTACAATGGTACTCTGACACTCTTTGTTGGAGTTAGTCCATCTGACAAAGCAGTTGAGTAAGATGCTCGTAATTCTACAAAGTTGGCGGTATTTTACTCGAGTCAACGAGATACACAGATACTTTATTCAACGAGTCAATATTATCCAGAAAGAACACGAGGCGGAATCACGACCGTGAGTCGAATCGCGATCGCTAGGATAGTCCAGTCGAGACCGGATTTTCGATCCGAGAGTTTCTCCAAGTACGAGGTAGCAGCCGTCAATTAATCTCGGTGTTGTTGGTTCCAACACGCGGGAAGGAATATCCTAGCGTTATGTGCGTTGTTGTGTGTCCTTATTTAGTGCAACCAGACGCTCGGGTCTCCCAAGCAATGATGATGCGACTAACCGAGATGATGGGATCAAATGGCTTGGGGGGTGTGTCTGGATGACACATTGGCCCACCACCTCAACCACAACCATCGAAGAGACAAAAAAAAAATTGAGTAAAAAAAAAAAAAAAAAGGGAAAAAAAAAAAAAAAAAAAAAGACGGGGGTGAAAAGAAGAGAGAACAAGGCGGGAAGCAAAGGGAGGGGAAGAGACATGCGTGCATTGTTTGGTAATAGATCGGGATATCGGACACCGAATGGACGCCATGAAAGCAAGGGGTGTCGACATGGGGGGGCATCTCCCTTGCGTCCTTGTTGATAACGTGGCGTGCTGAGGAGAGCTGAAGTCGATCTGCATCAATTGATGCCGGTTGAATAGCCAAAATCAGACAATACATAGTTGTCGTGAGGGGGGGGCCTCGTCGGCGATACATATCACCGCTCGACGGCACGGGTGGTTAGAGGGTTTCCCAACCGGGTCCATTGCAGGTGGATTGTTCATCATGGGGGGCGGTTGCCTTTGGGGGCTGAGGCTGATAATGCCTGTCCGGGAACCGGAAGTGCGTCGGTGACATATGCCAAGATGGAAGTGATTTGAGTGAAGTTTGGAGAGACAGTTGGGGTCACGTACGAAGTATTTGTGGGAGTACTGCGCTGGAAAGCTAAGTCAGTGGGTGCGGCAGGAGAGACGGCAGGAACACCTTGGTAGATTAAAACCAATAATTACCGGGCTGAGGACACGGAGGTGCGGAAGTAGTGAAGGCCGACACAGCCCGCATAATATCGATGCGGGATACAGCCCCGTAGGTTCCAGCTTGCGACGTCCGAGTATCTAGAAAGGGGATCAATGACGACTGTGTACTGCAGCCTTTGGAGTTCAAATGACAACACGTTCCTGTGTACACTGGCGTCCTCGTAACAAGGAAGGATTTATGTGTTCAGGTTTCGGATATTGATCTGTATTACGCACCACTCGATACGGGGACCGAATATTTTAGCCCCCACGCGTCACAACTTGCAAGATCAATAGTGTGCATTAATTCATCCGGGACTCGGCCAGGAATGGAATTTGCCTGGGCTGGTGCTCCTTGTCGCCAGGCAGTGCGTAGGTCTCCAATCTGCGGGCCGTAGATAGCGTGGAACGGAGGAGGATCGTCGGCGTCAGGAGGCGGCCCCCTAATCAGGTCATAATCCATCATCGCCAGGGACAGGGACGTGGACAGGTGTGAAGTCGAATGAACTGGGGTTGCGCTGGTAGCTCTCCGATCCAAGGGCCTTTTAGAGACCGTGGGAGGGGTGCGGGTACGACGGTACGAGGAGTAGTCCCTCCGTCTCCCCGTCCGTCGTATCCAGTCCCGCAAGCCGATCCTGGCACGCGACCACATGCTGTGCAGGCTCGGCGACAAGTGCGGACGATGCTTCTTTTTTTTTTTTCTCTCCTGCACTATAAGTCCGGCATGTCGGGCTAGTGGAATTATGTTTGGGTAGTGTAGTGTACTTGGTAGTGTCGATGCACTTCTTCAATACCCGATGCTGCGCTAAAGCAAGTTCCATTCGGTCGGATGGGATGGACATGGAAGCCGGCGTAGTGGAGTTGCAAGCCGGGAGCCGAACAGGGTTATTGCCAGACTGGTTAGGATCCGCATCCAGTCGGCCGGACACGACGCGGGCACTACTGCTCGCTTTGTACCGAGTTAATGCGTCGGTTCTTTTTTTTTTTTTTTTTTCCCACCAAAATGGCCCTTGCATCGCGTCTGTTGGCGCCTTTTAGTTGGGACCAACACCCTCGACATTTTTTTGGCTGCAAGAGGAATAGCGTGGGGGATCATGGGAAGGGAAACAGAACAAGAGGGATGTACTTGTAAGAGTAGTGCAAACTACGAAGTGTTAAATGCGGGTATGCCCTCTCTGGTGTACGAATAGACTGGGGCGGACTAGAGCTTGCTTCGGGTGTTTGCATGAAGAAAAGGGAACCAAGGAACCAGGGGCCCGTTTTGATTGATCTGTCATAAAATAAGCAAGGCGGCCGGTCTCATACGGAGCAGACTAAACTTAGTGATGAAGAAAGACTAGAGAAAGGGTCCTGTGAGATATGATGGCATATCTTGGCCCCTCCAAGAAAAGCGATCATCCTCATGGCTCACAAATATCTGAAGGCAGTGCTTTGCGAAGTTGCATTAACCTCTGGCAATATCCTAGGTGGCTGACTTCCACATCGTTGGGATCATCTCTGGAAGTCCACTGTTCCCTCTATTTATTAGCCTCGCAGGAGCAGCAAGAAAAATCAATTTTTATTACAGCGTTTTCGATTTGTCGTTTCGTTTGTACAGTTCGACGCTCCATTGCCGTTTCCCTGGCTCGAGAGGAGATGACGTCAGCATTTTCCATGGCAGACCTCGTAATCGCACCTGCCCTGTGCGGCGATCCTCAAAAGACATCATCTCCAAATCTCAAAAATCTCAAGCTCCGTCTTGTCGAGGTCTCTACCCCACTACAAAGGAAGACAGAGACAAACACTCCGGCTTCATCCCAGTCATTGACCCTTTTGACACCCCTCCAACCTCATCTTTGACCTTTTCCACGGATATGCCCTGCACAGCCAGAGATAGCTATTGGACTCGATCAGCTTTGGCTGTTGCCTTCTTGGTCATCCGCTCCAGACCTCAATCGCCACGTGCTGCCAGCACCTCGTAAACAAGATAACACTAGCAGATTCCTCCTTTCCTCCGCACTTTACATCACACAGACATTCCATGGTGCTACATTTCTTTTGATTGATATCACAGATCCTCAGCGATAGGAGGAGCTACCTGTATGGACCTCCCTTCCTTTCATGGGTCAGCTTGGGCAATTGAGTTAACTCTAAGCAAATAGCCTCGATATTCCGCAGACAAAGGAACAAAGCCACCCAATCATCGAACATCTACCAACTTCTCAGTATGCCTGATGAACCAAAGGCAGGACATGTTCCTGTCCACAGTGGACCTCCTCAGAGTACCTCTCCGGCCTCGATTAAGAACCTGCGGGACTCGGATTCTGCCATCTCCATGACCGCCCGATTATCACCCGACTCGATTCGAGTGACCGGCTCCTTCCCCTTCGGATCTCTAGGCATCCACCGCGCCGAAGACCATTCACCTTTGCGAAAGATGGATTCCGCAAATGAACACGACAGTCGCGATCATACCTCGTCCATGGGTGGCGATGTGCTACGAGTGATGGATCTTCCCGAGAAGTTCACGGTCGGATATGATTCGGTCTCCTTCACGGCGCAAAACTTCCGAGGCATAAAAGCCATCCCCCCCGGAGCCCACTTCATCTGGGCCTCTTCCTCCGAGACGAGTTCCATGCGAACGGGATTTTGGTTCATCACGAAAGCCGAGGAGAAGATACACGTTGTCCAGTGGGACAAGTTCAACGAGGTACTTGGCGAGCCCGCTAGCCAAACCGAAGCTCGCATCCAGAAGGGAAATATTCCCGACATTTACCACGAACTGCCGTCGTACTACTCCATTCCAACCACAAATGCTGCCAAGGACGTCGATGTGCAGAAGTGCATCGACGATCTAGGAGAAGGCGGCATCTGGCGACGACTTACCTCAAACATAACGGAAACGATGTTACAGCGCATTACCGGCCGTCAAACTGGCCCTTGGAACGTCCATACGACCGACCGAGTCAAGGGATCCATAGTTTTAGCTGCCGAGCTCGAGCTGGACAGGGCCGTCAGCGTCGTCGCAGTCGACGAGCTTAAATTTTCCTTTAGCCAGACAGACAAAACTTATACCATCGAGACGATCGGTTCCGCACGCACTCAGCAGGCTGTAGACTCAACGGCCTACCTCACATCCGTCGTTGACAAGCCCAACTCTGGGCTCACCGATACCGATATTGTTGGTGAAGTTCAATTCGCATTTCTTGTTGGCATGCACTTGGGCAACGAGAGCTGTGTCCTTCAATGGTGGCACATGGTCCTCCGAATCCTACTCCGTGCCTTTACTCTCATCCAGACGAAGCCCTACCTTTCTCGACTCTTTATTGAGACACTGTCGGCGCAGCTGTCCTATGACCAGACCTATCTTGATGGCTCTATCCTCGACTACGGTCACGATAGTTCGCGCGATCTCCGTCTTGCACTCACCATTTACAAGCGCCGCCTCGACGAGCAGCTCCTCACCCTCAACGCCGCCGCCACCGACGAACAGGTCGCCGCTGGCAAAGCCTTCCTCGAACTTGAATCTCTCGCCTGGAAGTTCGGATGGGACTTGCGTGCCGACTACGTACGCTCCGGCAAAGTCATGCTTGAGGATGGCGAGGAGGTCGAGGTCGAGATGGATGATCTTGAGGCTGAGGACGAGAGGGGTGAGTTTGCTGCTGTTGTTGTGGAGATGGATGAGCAGGGCCGGCCCAAGGACATGGTTTCTTGGGACTAAGCTCACACACACTATTTCCATTTCTCTGTATCCGCCCAAAAATTGGGGTTTTCGACGTTTCGTCTTGAGCGTTAGGGAGTCTCGTGTCTTTTATGGCTGGTTTTAGTCGGCATTCTGATTCAGGCTGCGGAGTTTATGGATGGAAGGCATGGACACGGATGGCATTGCATTGAAGGATTATGTTCACGGATAACACCTAGTCTTGTACGATTATTTAGGATTGATGGAACAGTAAGCGAGGCCCGAATTCATTCTTCGTGTAATGGACACCTGGTTGGTGGGTGTAATGAAACGAAAGGTCCATACTTGATTTGAGAGATTACGGCATCTTGTGATTGTTCGCATGTGGTGGGATGAGGGACTGAGAGCCCTGGGACTCAATTTACGCGTCCCCAGCTGTGCAAAATAAAGGGCGATCTGCCTACGAGGCAGCACAATGACTACAGGAAGCAGCTGTCATGTTGCTGAGTTCGAGGCGAAAGGAGAAACCCGCACAAATGGGCCTCTCAATTTCTTTGGCGCCTCTTCGCCAGGGTTGACGAAATAATATGGTCTGTGACTGCGTAGAGGGGGCCTGCCACCCAACTTGTGTAGAATCCCAGCCTCAGAACCCCAAGAAGTACGGGTACTCCAGCCTGTGTTGGCGCAAGGATGGAGCCTCTAGCTACTACGAAGCCGCTTACCGGAATAAAGGTGGTAAGGCCCAATATGATGACGCCGACGACTGTGAGGAAGAAAAGGGAATACTCTCCCAGACCGTTGAAAAGGAGGAGAGCACGGAACTCCCCCCAGCGGGATGTACAGGGTGGAGAGAAGGGCGGTCAGTACGGGGCCGTTAACTGGAGCGGCGGGTATCTCAGCAGCCTCGACCATATTCCGCGGGGCCCCGTGCAATGATTTACTTGAAGGACCGTCATTGATAATGGGTAGATGTGGGTGATTGGAACGAAAGAGACCGAATGGGCTATTGCGGGTAGTGTTCCGGCGTTCATATGGGCCTACAGACATGCTTAAAGTGAGAGAGTTGGCCATGGATACATACTAACGGTTCAATGGTTGAGATGTCTTTGGAGGGCAAGTCTGGGGTGTGTTAGATGGGGTTGGGCAGCCCTGGTCTTGTATTGAAGTAATGCCTGAGAAGGAGGGGTAAGAGCTCAACTGAATACCGGTCCATCGGTAGATAAGATGTGTCGAGGATGGTCCAGATCATCTTCCCTACTAGAGAATCTTCTTCAGTCTTCGTCACTCTCGCCTCTGGAGCTAATGATGCCTCTCTCAGACCTAGCATCTTGCCAAGGAAAGGAAGCCGAGAGCTCTCTCGACACCTAAACAGGCCTACACACACACCGCACCGAGTACACAGCAGTGGGCTTGCTTGATTCTTAATATTTCATTTGCCTTGCCCTGTTCCTTGTACAAACCGGCCAGCAAGGCATGCCATGCAATGCAAGAGTCAATCGCACAAAAAAATAACCATTCGAATAGACCCTTCCTCTTAGACTCCGCCAGGCCACATAAAAGGAGTAATTTTTTTCTCGAAAAAAAGAAAAGACGGGTGGCGCAAACAAAGCCCAATTACCAAGTTCCGGAAACCGACCCTAGACTTTTTCTTATTTGGCTGGAAGGTTGTTTCCCCCAGGTTTCTCTGTCCATGAAGAAACCCCGTACGAACAAAACAAACCTCCAGCACTTTTCCACGCTTCGCTTTTTTCCTTCCCCCGTCTCCAAAAAGCCCCAACACACCCCCAAACAACCACACACAGGTAGGGGAATGGGCGTTTAACGGTAGGACTTCTGGAACCTGGCACGGGCGCCGGGACCGCCGAACTTCTTGGGCTCGCAGCGACGGTTGTCGGCGACGAGGAGGGTTCGGTCGAACTGGACGAGGGCCTGCTTGAGGAGGTTCTTGGAGTGCTCGTCGACGTACTTCTGGTAGTAGGCGATCAGGCTCTTGGCGATGGCCTGTCGGATGGCGTAGATCTGGGAAGTGTGACCACCGCCGGAGACTCGGACGCGGATGTCGACTGTGGGTAACCCAGGTTAGCATATTTCTCTTTGTCTCCTTTCTCCTGGCAAAGAAAACGAAGCCCCCGAAGCGAGGAGAGTATTCCCAATCAACATCCTTTCGACCTCAAGTCCTACTACTCCGTTACGGGATATACTCGGATCGCAGAGATCGCCAGGAGAGGGGGTGGGTGGATGTGTTCGTGTTGTATCGGCTGGTTGGGGGGTGGAAATGTACCTTGAGCGAACTTGTCGAGGCCGAGAACGAGGAGAGGCTCATAGACCTTGTATCGGAGGATGGCGGGCTGGACGCTGTATCGGCGCAAGAGAGATGGTCAGTAACTTTCCCCTCCAAACGAGCCCATCTTGAAAACGCAGAGATCTGATACTCACAGCTGGAGAGGACGGCCATTGACCTTGATGATGGGGGTAGGACCACGGCGAGGCTATTTCGCAAAAAAACCGTCAGCATTTCCCTTCCCAATTCCAAGAAAACGAACGATTCGCCTCCCCAGGCACCATTGTTTATTTTCCCTCCTCTCCTCCATCCCAAAATCCTCCAATTGTCCTTCGACCTTCGCACTCGAAACGTCCGTCTCCTCCTCGGAAAACGAAGGGCCCAGAAAGCCAACAACGCGGGGAAGAACGAGACTCCTTACACTGCAGTGGGCGACAGCAGTAGCCGTCTTCTTCTTGCCGAAGCACTGTACACTCTGAGGGGCCGACATGTTGGGTGGTTGTGTTTGATTTGGCGAGTTGGCGATGTCGACTCGGGGATGGGTGTGGTGGTAGGGCTTTTTTTGGTGAAGATGGAAAATAAAGGTCCGGTAAGCAGGATTTCACCAAAGGTCACGCCCTCCAGATTTTTCGCACAGCCTAGATTTCGGTTGTGGTTCCTTCGTGGGGCTTCAGGGTTGGAGCCAAACTGGCAAAATTACCCGCTGTTGACCCGACACGTGACTGTTTCCACCTGTTGAATGTTGAATGGACCTTGAGACAATGATTCCCTCTTCGAAATTTATGGAACAGAACAAGCTTATGTCATCCCGACTCCACTGAGTAACCATACCAAGATCGCGAAACCTATTCGAACGTCGTCGCAGGCCCGCACTCCTGTTGGCGATCGAGGCGGTACCAACAAACGAAGTTATACCAAACTCGTCCGCTCCATGAACGCCATACCACCCATCCACAATGTCTAAGAAGGGCGTCGGAATCGGCGCCTTCGACCGCAGCCGCCTCACATCCGCCCAATTCGCCTCCCACGGCACCTCCCTCCGCACCGCCAACGCGCAAGCCCTCGAAGCGCAACTCTCCGTCTTCCGGTCCCTCCTCCAACAATTCGCAACAACCCACGCCAAGGACATCCGCTCGAACCCGTCGTTCCGCGCGCAGTTCGCCCGCATGTGCGCCGCCATCGGCGTCGACCCGTTGAGCGCCTCGTCCTCGGCGTCGGGCTCCTCGTCGGGGTCGCTGTGGTCGCAGTTGCTGGGGAGGACCGTGAATGATTTTTACTTCGAGCTGGCAGTCAAGGTCGTTGAGGTGTGTAGTGAGACGAGGGGGGAGAATGGTGGGTTGATTGGGTTGAGGGAGGTGGGGGAGAAGATTAGTAGGGCGAGAGGGGAGGGGTCGAGTGAGATTACGGAGGATGATGTGTTGAGGGCTGTTGAGACGCTGAAGCCTTTGGGGTCTTCGTATAGCGTTATACATGTGGGGAGCAAGCCGTACATTCGGTCGATACCGCGCGAACTGAATACCGATCAGAGTTCGGTGCTGGAGGCGGCGCAGCTTCTGGGATACGTTACGGTCGAGATGCTGGCTGTCAATCTGGAGTGGCCTCGTGCGAGAGCTCAGACTGCCGTTGAGGATCTTATGAGTGAGGGCATGCTGTGGGTGGACAAGCAGACGCGGCCGTGGGAGTATTGGAGTCCCAGCTTTATGGTGGATGTGGATGAGGGCAGGTTATGAAGTTTGGGAGAGGGACGTGAGCCGTAATGAGGGCATGAACGCATATAACATGGGTCTGGTTTTTGCATGGGACTTGGAATGGCGTCGGGAGGCATTGTTTGATCATTGATAGCATAGCACGAAACAAGACATCACTTCATTGAACCAAGATTTTGATTTTGTAGCTGGGGTGAACCTCAACCAAAAGAAATAAACCTGTATCAAACGCTACCGGAAAGCCATTTTTCCTGAACCAAGTTCCCCTTCTGAGTCCCGTATTATACAACGAGAAATAAACAGACGAGCACAAGCAAACAGGCACTAGATCAGAAACAAGTGAGAATAAAATCAAAAGCGTGACGTGCCAGCAACGTATTGAAAAAACGACTAATGCTCCGCAGATGTCGTCCAAACCTTCCATTCCAGGGCCCCAACTTCTTCGAGACAAAAGAAAAAAAAAGGGGGGGAAGGGGGGGGAGATCATGAGCATATGAAGCTGTAATGTAGCATCGGTATGTCTGCATAGTGTACAGAATTCAGTCCCTCGCCTGCCGCTACTGCCATCTTCTGGCATCTTCCCTAGCAACTTCCACCGCCCCCGTAATGCCCCATGGCTCCGATTCTATCGCCCTTCAAAATCGGTTGGATCCGAGACACTCCGTTGCCTCTCTGTCCGGGTATCATCTTCAGAATCAGAGCCATAGCCATCATCCTCATCCTCATCCTCATCACCTTCATCCTCATCATTGGCATCCTCCTCGAAAACAATCCGCCTCAGCACGCTCTTGTGGAAAAGCTCAGTGACAACTTTCCGTATAGGGAGACGGTAATGGTTATACTCCAGAAGAGCCATGATCTGCCTAAAGAGCCGCACGGAGGTGAATCCGCCACGGCGTAGCTGCTTGACCTGGACTAGCTCGCTCATAGCGCGCTTGAAGAGGACGGAGTTGCTCAGGTCCACGACGAGGTCGAGGACGCGCTGGTTTACCGCGTCGTCGCTGTGGTCCGTCAGCTGCTCCTGGGGCTCTAGCGGAGGCCGCGTGGGCATCGGGGGAGGCGCAACCTGCTCGGTTTTTTGTGATTCGGGGAGGGTGATATTGACGACTCTCTCCGACCTCCAAGGCGTCAGGGAGAAGAACTTTGTAATATCGACTGGGAGGCAAAACCCCAGGGAGCGTCCCATGGAGTTTGTGTTCGCGTCCCAGCCGTTCTCGTAGAGGATCTCCAGACCGTGCACAGATCTCGAGATCAGGCCTAGGACGAAGAAGGCTGTACCGCGAAGGCTCATGACTTCGTGTGACTGGGCAATCTTCACAACCTGCTCAACGACATCGCTGGATTCGAGGAACGGAGCACCGAGCTCCATGGACCCCACGTTGCCGACGGCCCACATGCATCCCTTCACCTTGGTGATGAGTTCCGGGTCTTCCGATTGCATGCCGTGTTCGCGGATGGTGGCGGCGAACTCTTCAAAATGGCCCTTCTCGCTCAGGAGCTTACAGCCCTCCTGCGTCCGTGTCAACTCGCGGTAAAAGTGCGGAGGCACATGGGCATCCGCGAAATCGCCGACGGCTGTTTCATCGAACAGGCTCATCCGGTTCTGATGGTCGTCGGGGCTGTCCATGAATGCCCGAGCGAGACTGGCCTCGATGAGGCTGACGTACGAGTCGTTGCGTCCCAAGAACCAGTCGTCCATCTCGTTACTGATGTAATCCAGACCATCGAGGTACTTGTAACCGATAGAGGTGGAGAGGAAGCGTAAGAGCAAGGGTGCACCAATCTCACCCAAGTGGTCAAGGGATGGGCGGCATTCGACGATGTACTCGAGGTATGTCTTCCTATTGCATGCTTTCTCGAGGATTTTGATGGCTGTAGAGCACACCTCAATTTCTGGATCATACAACTGGGTTACTAGAAGTTGGATAGCCCACTTGGAGTCGGCCACCGCTTCTTGCGACGAGAGGGGTCGGATTGCGTATTTTCGTAACACGTTTGTCGCATGGATCCGAATGTCCATAGTCCCACCAGTCAGCGCTTTCGACAGGAGTACTCGAGGGTGACCGTTAATACTGTAGTCGAGGTTCGAGAGTATCAGCTTGATAAGATCAGGGCGCTGCTTCAAGTCAACAATGTGGTACATCATGTTGAACATGCGCCACCTGTCAAGAAGAGCTAGGCCCTTTGGATCTCCACTGAGCACACCGATCATGGCGAAGTATCCTCCGCAGAGCGTATCAATAAGCCTATCCTTCGAGAACATTGGGAACTGTGTTGGGTATCCAGTTGCCTGCAGACGCGAAGTTAGTATTTTCTCAGGAGGAGCGAAGAAAGGTGGAGACTATACCGGGTCGCATTGAGCAAGGCACTCAGCAATTTGCTTCAACAACTTGCTCTCAGCGAGGAACCTCAGGCCCTCGGGGGACTGCGTCAAAGAATGCATCAAAGCGCATCCGGCACGGACATATTTTTGCGTATTTCGCGTGCTCTTGAGCTCGGAAAACTTGTACTTGAAGGGTCGGTAGAAACTGATTATCCGCTTGAGGAACTTCGATGCCTTGGCAGCTTCCTCGAGGCGCTTGCCATTTTGAAGAGGGCCCTCAAAGATCCTCATCACTACATCCCAATTCCATTTTGAGTGATTTGAGCTTGTAAGCACCCCACTGTCGATCAGGAGCTGGCGGAACGTCGTGTCATCGGTTATTACGGATGGGTTCGCTTTTGGATGGTCGTCGACTGAGTCCCCGTACGTGTTGGTTGGTGTTAGTTCGCCACCTCCCGAGCCGGAAGGAGAGGTTCTATAAAGCGTTTTGCTAACACTGCTGATTTGATAAACGGTTCCTGTTGCGTTAAAGTGATCTTCATTGTCGAATTGTGTAGCAGCGGCAAAGAGCTCCGGTAGGAGCTGCAGCTCGCCACTCCAGCTCGGTAGCAGCAGCCTACTCGACAGCTTCAGGACCTCTCCCAAAAGCAGGGTTGTTTTCCGCTTCAAGGTAGGGTTGTCATAGCACTGGGTGAGTTTGAGGAGGACCGGAAGGAGGTTGGATCGGATAAATACTGTGAGGAGAAGGGCGGTATAGTGCTCGACAAAATTCTGCTCTCCCGATTCCTCGTCTGCTGTGGCGACGGCGATCTTATCTGTCGCTGACCTCAGACTGGTCACTCGGCCATATGTTGTCAGCCGTCGCCCTGCCAAGTAGGACTGGGCCCAGCCAGGCGACTTAATCCGTAACAGAGAATAGATAAGGTCAATAACTGTCTCCTTCACAGCCAGCGATGGGTAGAGCATGCATTCCACAAAGGACTTGACGGTACGAAACTCGTACATGGACAAGGCCATGAGACCAGGCCAAGTGTTCAAAGCAGCGGCAATAGCTTTTGCGTTTTGTTTTAGGAGCCCTTCATTTTCGAGAAGCTGATCAGTGAAGGGACTAAACAGAGACTCGACGCTATAGCCAGGCTGCAAAAACTTTCTCTTGTTTGGCGAGTCAAGGAGGAATAGAAATGCAGCTGTAAGACCTTCAGGGGCCTTGTATGTGCCCTCTGAAAGAGCATCGTAGAGTGGAGCAAGGCCGCCGGAAGCAAGAAGCAGCGGGGGATCTCGAACAAGAACTTCAGCGAGCGTCTCGATGCAGATTGGGCGAAGTCTGTCCTCTCGTTCCAGGGCCTCAAGCGCCGCCCGCGAGCCCGTCCTGTCATCACCGTGCTCGGCGAGGGCGGCTATAGCCCTAACGACAGCCCGAGAGATTTCCTTGACGCCGTCCTTGACATCAAGGAATGCTCGCACGAACTTTAAAGCTTGTTCTCGCTCCACATCAGCCTTTCTATCTTTAATGAGAGACCTATATTTATACAATTAGCAAACACAAAGGACTTGATTGGACTGAAGTGGACGTCGCTTTGAGAACCCACGTTACAACTAGATAGTCAGTGTTAAGGCCCCTGATCTTTCGCAAGGAAGATATATCTGAGATGGCATAACGAAGCACTCGGTATCCTGCTGCGACAACTTCCCGGCTATCGCTTAACAACATGACTTGTATTCGAAGGCCAAAGACAGACCACACAAGATCGTATTTGAGAGTTGGATGCCGCTTAAAAAGATCGACCAACGAGTTCGCCCTACTGACATAGTAATCCGGGGTCATGCGCTCAGCTTCAAGAGCCTGTAATAATTCTGCGAGTGCGAAGGTCGGTGATTCCGTCGCTTCCTCGAGATCCGAGGCGGCACCACTGCGGGACACACTATGGGGCGAGCGGAAGCCGTTGCTGCTCAGTAGACTCTCGCCTGTCCGCTGTCTCGTCGGCGTCGTCGGCTGGGGGACCCTCGTCCGCTGCTGAGCATCGGAAATCTTCTGGCGCAGTTCCTTGATTTTCTGGTTGGAGGAATTCAACTCCGCCTCGACCCGGGCACGTTGTTCCTTGGACTGCTTGGCTTTCTTGTTGTTCAGGGCCTCGAGCATGTTCTCGCTACCCTCCTTGATCTTCATCTCGCGATTGAGGGCCTCCCTCAAGCCGGCGATATTCTTCTCGGCAACGGTCTCATTTTCATCGGGGACTTTGTTGTCCCTCGAATAGGTATCGGTCCTCGACGGGGCTCGTTGGGTAGGGTTGAGAACGCGGAAGTCGCTGCTGAAACTACCGGGCGCCGGATTCGGATTCAGGGAAGACGCTCGGGGGGCAAAACTCACGCCGGAGGCCGTGGTGATGCGCGATGCGCTGAGGAGCGCAGGTGGTTGGAGACCATTGTTGTTATCTCTCTCCAGACTCGGGCGAGAGGCATTGGCTACTGACGGCTGCTGAGGCTGGTATGCCTTTTGGGTGGGAGTTCCGGCGCTGCTCAACATAGCGAACGTAATGGGCCGGGTCTAGAGTCCACCCAACGCGGTGTAGCCCTTGAAGGGTCCTTCGACATTCGCTCGGCTAGCGCATTCGTGCCCAGTCGTCGTGGTGATGCTGGGTAGCAAAGAGGGGGTCCGTGGGGGTGGGGTGGCAACTATGATAACCTGGCTCTAGGAATACAGTCGAGGATTCGAATTGGTCAACGTGGACAGTGTTGCGGGAGCACAAGAACGCCGTATCGCTTTCGGTCGCAATAATCAAAGATGGCTGCGAGTGGGAGGTTGTTACAGAGTTGGTCGTCGAGGCCGTAGAAGTAAATCACAGGCAGGAGGTTGCAGCTGCCAGGCGGAGGCGTAGGTGGAAGCACGGGGTTAGAGCTCTAACGGTTCGCAGTTCAGGGCAGCACAGGGATGGCGAAACAAGAGGCGCAGGTTGCACTGTAGATTCTGGAGAGGAGAGGAGCGTTCAACGCTTGCCCAAATGTCAGGCTGCGGACTAAAAGGAGGGTGTCCCAGTCTGGCTATTAGGGAAGGGAGTGATCGTAGATTAGGGAACAGCGAGCACGCTTCTATGAAGATGTGTAAGGGGGTAATTGGGGTGTTGTGTCCGTTAGATCCTGCGTTAGATGATGTAGAGTTAGAAGGTGACGGTAGGATTAATGATTAATTGACGAGCTCAACGTTGGGATTTGCTGTCGAAGGAAGACACAAGACACAAGGCACGAGGCACAAGACAAGGCGAGGCACCGCAACTAATTTGATACTCCGTCCTGTGTCCTGCATAAAACAAAACAGCCTTAATCCAATTCAATGTTCCTAGGCTGCTGTGGAGTTGGTAGCGGGGGAGATGAGATTGACACTGCCCGTTTCGATCCAATTCCGGATTGATCAATCAATCAATCAATCAATCCGGGTTGTTGGAGCTGTCGTCCCTGGCCGAAGCTACAGCGCTATGCGCCTGAAATATTACTGGTTGCCAGCACCGCTGGGCCTGTCGGCGAGTGGGGCTTCCACCAAACATCGACATTGGGCTGAACATTCAAGGTGAATCAATCGATTTTAATATTGATTGATTGATGAGTGTGAATTCGACGGCCAGGCTGTAACCACAGTCATCGAGCACACATCAAAACCATCACCAGTGCGCTCAGCTTCGGAGTTTAAAAGCGAACAGGCGAAAACAGGAATTTTCAAATATGGCTGCCATATTCGCCCTCGGGTCAAACGGATCCGGCCAGCTAGGCATAAGTCACAAAGAAGATGTCTCCGTACCGAAGCAAGTCATCTTCCACCCCGAGCCCTCTAGCTCTTCCATCACCCAAATAGTAGCAGGCGGGAACCATACCCTCATCCTCTTCGGCTCTGGAGAGCTTTACTGGAGCGGGGACTCATCGACCGGTGCCTGCGGTCTAACATCAGACATCACCAACCCTGAACAACCCATTTTTCGACCCGTTAAACTAACAAGTGATCCCTCGGCTCTACTCCACACCACCACCGTCTCGGTAGCCGCCACATGGGAAGCCTCCTTCATCCTCACAAGAGACACAGAGGGAAAGACGGCAGTCTACAGCTTCGGCTCGGGTTCAAAGGGAGAACTCGGCCTCGGCGACCTCCCAGCACAGATCCTCCGTACCCCATCCGCAACCGCCATACCCAACTTCCCCCCAAAAGACACACATGTGAAAGGCATTGCGGGAAGTATGGGCCACGTCGTTGCCGTGCTGGATAATGGTGAAGTCTACGGCTGGGGCAACGGACGAAAGGGACAGCTGGGCGAACCGGCCGGCTTCGTGGAGGCACCAAGGAAAATCGAAGGCGTAGGCTTTCCGGTTTCCAAGGCCGTTTGCGGTCGAGAGTTCACCTGCGTAGTTAGTGAGCCGAGCGCCGGGGAGATTCTTGTCCTCGGCTCCGATAAGTGGAATGTGCGATCGGACGCCCCGGTGTCTGTTCGTGGATGGAAGGATGTCGGGGCTGGATGGGGCAATATCAACGTTCTATCACAGGATGGCAGCCTGCTAAGTTGGGGCCGTAACGACCACGGACAGATAGCGCCGCCCAATCTTCCCAAGGTTGCTAAAGTTGCCGTGGGAAGTGAACACGTTGTATGTCTCACGGAGGATGGCGAGGTGCTCTCGTGGGGTTGGGGCGAGCATGGAAACTGCGGTCCGACAGCAGAGGTCGATATCAAGGGCAAGTGGAATGTAATAGCGTCCTCCAAGTTCATACCGAAGGAAGTACAAATTTCAGGCGTTGGCGCGGGTTGTGCAACTAGCTGGGTCATTATCACGCCTAGGTAAAACAATATAAACACCTTCAAAGGGAACCCCAGCCAAACGCCATGTTTGCTTTCCATTTTGCCATTCGCACATTTTCGTGCCCCATAACATGTCCTTCCTTGCGGTGCCTTGTCAAAGCACTCACTGCCCTTGGCGTTTCGACTTTTACCTTTAATAAGACGGCCCATCGTAAAACAATCCGAGTCTTCTCGCATCAGACAACCGTTGCGTCGGCTCCAGACTCGATCCCGGCTCCGTACTTGCCGGAGCTTGGTCCGCAGCGCCGTTCCCTCCACCACCTGTATCATTCGTCGAGAACTCCTACGTGCAGAGAACCGTTAGCCAGGCATCGAAAATCCCATCATCCAAGGAGGGCCATACCTGTCTATCCGTCCCATCCCACTCCAACCGCGCATCCTCCTCATCTTCCTCATCCCTCACCGGCTCCCACTCATCCTCCTCATCCTGCTGTCCAACAAACAGACTATCCGACATAATCCTACTCGGCGGCGGCATCTGCGAAGGCCTCATCTCGAAATACGACCGCCGTTGCACATTCGCCCTTGCCACAGACGGCTGCGGCGTCGGGTTTGGAGCGGCAACAACTCTCTCCGGAGGCGGCTCCGACGGCGCCGCGCTGGCTCTTCTAGAGCCTGCCTCGAGCGGTTTCGTCGTCGGCTCCTTGGCGCGGGCGCGGCCCTGTCGCTTTACCTTTTGGCCTGGGTTGCCGCGCTCGCCGACTGTCATGAGGAGGAAGTCGCAGTACATGGCGTCGCCGTGGTACCAGATTTTGATGGGCTGGCCGGGCGTGGAGTACCTGGTTGAGAGCTCGTTGCCGGCTGTCACTGCGTGCTGGACTATGGCTCGGAAGTCTCTGACGGGGACGATGATGTGGAGTTCGTCTTCTACTTCGACGTCCTCGAACTCGTCGAGTTCCATCGCGATGGAGGTTCGGAGAGGCTTGCCTCTTAGTGCTTCATATCATTAGTGGGCGGTTGAAAACACCTCTCTTCGACGAGGGTCGACGCTTACATGCAGTATTCAAGTCTACAGCCTTCTCTGTATACCCGAGAAAGTTGATGAATTCTCCCTCCGAGTTAATATCAAGTAGCTCAGCTCCAGGCCCAAAGTGGTCCATCACACCCCGCAGCGTCCTCGATGGGATGGTCCAATGGTGAATTGCCTGCTCCGCGTTAAACTTGGCGTGAACGGGAGGATTGCTCGCAAATGGTAACTTATGTGTAGAAGTACATCCTATCGAAAAATGTGAGCATGAGACTATAAGCCAGAGGATTGCAAGATGGGGTTTGAGAGCTCACCATTGCGAAACGTAATCTTCACGATGAACCGACTCTCAACATTGACCCCATCATCAATTGCAACATCACACCTATCAATCGCCGTAGGACGCTCCGCACCGGGGATGTCCCCTCCACTGCCTCCCCGATTTCTAAAAATGGAGACGAGCACCTGTTGAGAGAAGATTTTAGCCTACCCGACCTCATAATAGACGTCCTTTCGAGGGCGGCACTCACCCGCGCATAAAGTGTGCAAAAGAACGAGCTCCTCCCCAGCGATGCGCCGTCAAAACGAAATCTAGAGAAGAATTTATTCGTCGCAAAAGAGAAATGTGCGTATCCCGATTTGGTGGGATTTATTGCCGTCAGGACAAACTGAGTTCCCAGCGTTAGCCTCTCTCTCACACGCACACACTTTCTCTCGCCCCTCCCCTTCGAAATCTACGCCTCCATCTTGGCTGGTGGAGATAAAGGGATATCATCACCACACATACTTGGTCCTTCCGCGCTTCTAGACAGACTTCTTCATTGAACTTGTTCAGGCAGATGAGTGCGTCTCTCAGCCCGCTTACCCCCTCCTCGCTAAGCGTGAAGAGGAGGACAGGCATTCTTGCGGCGCGCAGCTGAAGGAGTCGTCCGAGGACAACAATGGGACAACTAAATGAGACGTTTGATCCAGAATTATGATATCAAAACACCACCATATATATGAATCTCATTGTGTATATTAATCTTGTTGAATTGATGGCGTGTAGACGTTTTGGTGTTGAGGTCAGGATGAGCTGCTCAGTCTGGAAGGAGATATGCTTCAACTCAAGGACTAAACTCGGATATATGAATATCCGCATTTATCACACATTAACGTCTGAAGAGGTATCATGATGCTTCAAGCTCTCATTTTACACACATATTACGATACAATAGCTGTTGTAGTTTACTTGAAAGCTCAAAGGTCATAAGTGTGTTTGAATATCATCAATTGACGTGCTTAGCCAAAATACAGCCCAATGTGCCAGGCCCATTCCAAGGCCTTTCTACCCTATCCAATGACCCATAAGTTCATTCTGAGACCCAGCGAGCGTGTACTACTACTACAATACGACAACAGGAGCCATATATAACCTGGCTCTCCTCAATGCTGTGAAAGAGCGCGACTCAGAAACAAACACCAATATGCGCCTGCCCCCAATGACAGACCTATGCCATGTCAGATGAATTTACTCCACATCCTCAAAAGAGACTTGGTGGGCGGCCCAATGATCATAGGCAGCCTGGTCGACCTCGCCGCCAGTATACTCGGCAGCGGGTCCGGACGACTCAATAACCTTCTCGGTCTCAACCGACTTCTGCATCTTCTCGATCAGCTCGCCGGTGATGGTATCAACATCGACCTCGAGGTACTCGCGAAGGAACTTTCCAACGTCGGTGTTCTCCACGTTGCCCCGGAGCGCCGCCGGCCGAGGGCCACCTGAGCTGTAGATGTTGACGTCGACGGCGGAGTGGCCGTGAGTGGTCCAGCCGACGTGCGCACGCACGCTGATCATCTCCGAGAAGACGTAGGTGGCATCTTCGGCGTTCGCTAGGAGCTTGTCCAGCTCGGACGAGCGGGCGTCCGTGATGCCGAGGCCTTGGATGACTAGGTGGGTGTTGACCCAGTTCTTGAGAGTCTGCTTTTCGGTCTCGGGGTCAATCTTAGAAGCCTGCTTCTGAAGCAAGAAGGCAAGGTATTCAGCCGAAGCGTTGCTGTTGGCAAGAACGGCAGGGTACCAGTTGTAGATTGGGCCCTGGCCAGGTTCCTCTGTAAAGCAGAAATGTTAGTTCAAAGTACAACAATAAGCGTAGGAGCATTCTCTCAAAACTTACGCAGAGCGGTGGTAAGTCCGCCAGTCTCATGGTCACTCGTGGCAACAAGGACGCCCTCAGTTTCGCTCTCCTCCAAGAAATCAACAACAGACTTGAAGGTTCTATCGTACTCAAGAATCTCGTGGACGTGGGCGGCGGGGTCGTTGTTGTGAGCGGCATGGTCGATACGGCTACCCTCGATCATGAGGAAGAAACCCTTGTCGCTGTTCTCAGTGGCCTTCTCGAGGGCACGGATGGCGGTCGCTGCCATCTCGTGGAGGCTAGGATAGACACTGTTCATGTTTCGGCGGTCGATCTCGAAGGGAATATCGCGGCTGGCAAAGAGACCCATAAGGGGAAGGGTAACGTCCTCACCGCCATTGAGACTGTCAAAGCCGAGCCTGTCATTAATGTAGTTCCAGCCGTACTTCTCCTTTGCGCGAGTGACGAGATCATCGTCATCAAGGCGGCAGCTACCATCGGTCGAGTTGGGCAAGAAGTGGCAGCGTCCACCTCCGAGCATGAGATCGACGACTCGGCCAAGGGGACCGTCGCCGACCTCTTGGGTGGCAATATCATCGTTCATAGCACGAATGACGACATGGCTAGCGAAGCACGCAGGGGTAGCATCGGTGATATCGGTGGTGACAACAAGACCGGTAGTATAGCCGGCGCGCTTGGCAGCCTCGAGCACGGTGCCGCAGGGCTCGTAGTTCGGAGGGAGGATAGATATGGCGCCATTGTAGCTCTTCTTGCCGCAGGAGAAGGCGGTAGCTCCAGCAGCGCTGTCGGTAACGAGAGAGTTCGTCGACCTAGTGCGGCTGCTGCCCCAGAAATGCTGGTCGAGAACCAAGGTGTCGTTGCCGGGCAGCCCGTCGATGTATTGGCGGAAGCTGCGAGTCAGAGACAGAGAAGCAGGACCCATGCCGTCGGAAACCATGAAAATGAGGTTCCGCTTAGCCGGGAGGCCCGGGCTTGTGGCGGGAGGGGCGTGACTCCTGTGTTGGGTCCAGACGGCGAAGACGACAGCAGCGGCAGTGGCAATCAGAGCCCAGAAGAAGAGAACGATCTCCCTCACTTTCAGGCTCCGGCCTAGACCGCTACCCTTCTTGTTCGCATCGTTATTCTCGCCGTTCTCCTGGCGGGAGTCACCGAGCAGTGGCGTCGTCGCAGTTGGCTCAGCCTAAGGGAGAATGATCGTGTTAGCTCCTAAGCTGGTTGGCGGTGACGCGAGGTGAGGGCGCAGAAGCCATGGAGAAAATGCGAAACAGAAAATGATAAAACTTGAGCCCAACATGATGCGATTTGGGGGAAGTAGACTCACCATCATGCTGTGAGTCCGCTACGCGGGGTGCAGGTTTGCTGCTTGATCGAAGCTCCGTTGTCGGTGATGGCTGGTCGGTTGGGTAGGAGTGGCAGTGGAAACGAAGAGCACACAAATCAAGCTCTGTCGACGAAGCACGAATGAAGTTGGTTCACACGTCTTCTGGGGAGTAAGAGGGGAAAAGGAAACCGAAGCCGTGACAACGGAGGGCCGGGGTGATGTTTTAACGGGTTTGGAGAGAGGTGGGAGGCGGAAGATGACGGCTGAATGAAACAATGGCGATTGCGGTCGGTTTGTTCAGGCTTGGAGAGAGCCCAGTCTGTTTATAGGCCGACCGGACGTGCTTGCCTGCTGTACCTTTGTACTTCGTACGCTACAACTCCACTACGAAGTACCTGTAACACACTGTATGATATTAAAGTGGTGGCCGTTGTGGGCGGTTGGGTAGCACGGGCACGGCAGTTAAGTACAGCTTCGCCTGTGATTGATTGATTCATTCGCCATGCACATTTTGGATGGTGGGGAAAAGCACAGAAGTACAGGGCGGTCATGCATTAGTGCTACGCTATCATCGAGTACTCTCTACAATTCATTGTTTGTCGATCGGCTCGCAATTGTCCTAGACCGCAAACCACAATGAAGTACATGATACCTCGGTCGTCACATCTCTTTGCCTCTCTGGGCCTCGTGGCTGATCACCTGGACCAGAACCACCTCAGAACTTAAACCTGACTCGATCCAAACTTGTAGCATCTCTTAGTTGCACCCGGATGGACCAGGAAGAGGGGTGAAGATGCTTCTAGATGTGGAATGTTCGCGGCTTGAACCGTTACAATCTGCCATGCTTCATACTCCAGACCCGCAAACCTAAGGTTAACGGGATACGTTCAAGCCGAAGCTGTTCAAACACAAACCTCTCAGCACTGTGATACTCCACCCTCCACCCTCCCTTCCATCTTCCTCTCTTCCTCTCAACATTTGGAGGCAAATACATTTTGATGAACGAATTTTCTCGGGGCTTCCGATCGGCAACCCTAGCCAGAAACATGGATCAAGATAACTCTCCGGCACGTCAACTTTGACGTCTCTATGAGACGCGGCAGAGCCTCACTCTCTGACAGCGGCTTACGCTGTGTCCTACTGCAACTGTTCCAATCCAATACAACATTCACTCACCCTATTCTGAGACTAGCAAAGGGAGGAGTGATTTCCCAAGATGCCAAGCCGAGTGTCAAGGAAGGGCTAGTTGCAAGTTCTTCTCCCAGAAGGCCAAACTGTCTGAAGGTGTGAATATCGATCTCAAGAGTGCTTCATGTATACATCTTATACGTCTCGACATGTTTGCGACCCTCGCAAGCAACACTCTGACCTTCCTCTGTATTCGTCACGATGGACACAAACCACTTGATCGGTAGGCTTATATCTGCCTTTCCCAAAGCACGTTCTCCTAGGTTCTCTCGTGTAGTTGGCCATGAATCTTGCTCCTCCGGATAGATCGTAGCATCACATCTCAAGAAAGCTGCCTTGACAAAATCTCCCCAAAAATGTGCCTCTACGTCCTCCTCGTCCCCTTATGCGGACACAATCCCCAACTCCTCTTCGGCCCTTCCTGCTACTACATTTACGACCAGCTCAACAAGATAACCGAACCAGCGGCCTGGGAACCCCCCGGCTTATACCGCGTCCCGTTCCAACTCCCGGATTCCTGCCTACCGAAGCCGAACAATATCGCCGTCGTGCAATCCACCGACTTTTGCGAAGCTTGCCAGCATGCAGCCTTCCAGCATCGGATGCAGCAGCAGCAGCAGCAGCAGCAGCAGCAGCAACAGCGATATCAACAACGACGGCAGCGGAACGAAGCGACGGGTGAGGATATGTTGGGCTACTGGCCCGGGGTACCACGTGGTGTTGATCCCAGGATGGCCGGGATGTATGATCCCGAGCCGGAAAGGCTAGGTATTGGATGGAGACCTTGAGGGGTGTTGTGAGACAGGCGTGTATTGGGGCGTTGCTTGGATACCTCTTTAAGAAGCGCGCATTTAGAGGCGTTGGAAATATACTCTACAGCTCATTTTGGGGTCTCTTTGTTCTTTTAACCGTCTTCTTCATTTCACTGCCCCTCCATATTAACTCTTCAAATCGTACTACGACAATACAGAATTCCTCTTGTCCGCGATGTGCCGTGCAACCGGGCCAGTGTCAGCTTTGGCGTGTGTGGCAGTGATACACATGTTCAGGATGCCATAGCTTGGGCTAGAGATCGTGGGACAATGTGGTGACTTGGACATTGTAACCCAAGAACCGCTTCATTAAAACATCAATAGTCCTGTCTAAGCATCCTTCCCTCTGTCTAAAGTACGCCTTCTAACCATAAAACATACCCAAACAAACAGCCCTGCAACAATATCCCGCTCCTTTTCCATATCTTAAGGATGTACGCTCAGCGAACTCAGTAATACAACTTGAAGGTGACAAAATCATCCTCTGAAGAAGAAAGAAAGAAAGAGAAAAAAAAAAAAAGCTTCCATCCCTCAATACCCTGCCTACTTCACGGTTTTTGTTTTGTTTATCAAGACTCCTGCTCTGCATTCCTGACCAACATACCATACTTCATGCAAAGCTTGTCCCTGAAGTGCTGATGACGAATGCCATTAGGACGCGCCTTAGCGAACTCCGCCATGGCATCCTCCACCGTAAACCCGCACCGCTCAACAAGGTACGACACGATAAAGTACCCCGTCCGGTTGAACCCGTAATGGCAATGGACACCGATCAGCTCCCTCGTCTCGCCCGCCGGCCGGGAGCTCCTGATGCTGTCCACCAGCGAGACGAACTTTTCGACATCCTCGTCTGTCGGCGGAATCTTGGACACCGTCGACAATTTGTGATAGGCGATACCTCCCTTCTGGAGACCGGTTGGATCGTACGAGGGCTGGTCGCGGCTGATGTCTATGATGTCGGCGATCTTGTCGCCCCAGTTCTTGACGAATTCCGAGGGGCAATGTACTTCGTCGACTTCCCGTAGCGTCTTCATGGCGACAAAAACGGGTTTGTCCGCAGGACCGATGGGCCGAGAGACGGGTTGGACACTCTTCCATTTTGCCAAGTTCTTCATTTCCCACTTCCCTTCCTTGGCTAGATACTGCAATTGCCACTATAATCCCAACAAGCGTTAGCATTTGCTCTTGCTCATAGAAGTGGGCATCAACGATGTTCGAAAACTTACCGAGAGCGCAAGCCGGCCGGTAACATATGTCGAAAGGAAGTCGGATACATTGCCGGCGAGAATACGAACAGTCAAAGGCATGTAGAGGAGAGCATGGTTCGCTGGGGAAGGCATGATCAGAGTCTTCATCACTCCCCTAGGGTGCAGAGGCTGCTCGGGAATATCTTCGTCCGTGTGGTTTCGGGGATTTGGCGTGCGGGGTGTCGTAGGTTCGCTATCAGGGCTGTCTATATCGGAGTCTGCAGAGACCCGCGGGACTTTCAAGTCGTCGGCGTCATTGTCCTCAGGGGCTTGAGTGTCCTCGACAGTGGTAGAAGATGCAGCGGCTGAAGCGGAACTGTCCTCCAGGCTTCCAAGTTGAGCTTTGATCGTGGGACCTGCTTCAAACAGACTGGCAAGCTTCGTGGCTTCGGTGGGAGGCGTTATTTTGTCCGCCTTTCCAGCGACTAGAAAGATCGGCATCTCGAGGCCCTTCCAGATCTCCGAAGTCGGTAGCCCGCCCACGGGCACACCGTCTTTATACACCGGGAGGGAGCCGTACGCCATTCGTCTCCACACTGGCGTCCGACTTTGGCAGTTAAATATGTGCTGGAGCCGCCGGGACTCCGCATCCGCGTTCTCGCCAACGAATCGCGTGACGCTTGCACTATTCACATCCCCTCGGCGATCCCACATCCTCCACAGATTGAAAATCCACCCTGGAATCCATAACAGCATCCTGAAAGTCTTGACCTTGTCCTCGGGAGGTGGGCCAGACACCGGACAGATCCCGACAAGGCCAACAATATTATTGACCAAATTTGTCACATGTGGCAGTTCTTTGCTGGAGAGATGGGCGCAGAGAGCCGATCCCATACTGTGCCCTATCAGAACGACCTGTTGCCCCGCCTTCTTGTCTCTATAGCTCTCAATTATGATCTCCAGTAATTCGGTTAAGGCCTCCGTCGTATATGCAGCCCATGCCTTCTCCGAGAACTCGGATCGGCCACATCCCGGAAGGTCGATCGCCAGACACGACGCTATCGGTAAAAGACTGGTGAGAAGAGGATGGAATTGCGCAACGGAGCCACCTAGTCCATGGATAAAGACAAGAAGGGGAAGTGGCGAAGGGACTTTGGGAAGCTCATCGGCTTTCGGATGGCGGCGGTAGAAGATTCGGAGGTTTGGATAGGTGAATTTGCTGGTAGTATATGTCTTGATTTCGGAGTGGTCGCTGAGGAGCGGCGGATCCGTCTGAACTGGATCGACGGACATGGCTCCAGCGGTTGGCGTGTTCGTATGTTCGGCGGACTTGGAATGTGTTCTCGATAAATATGGAAATTGATCAGGTGATGGTTCGACTATATATAAGTTGGAAATATGTTCGCAAGTGCTTGCTAGAGAGCACCCATCGTCGGATAGCTTCTTGGGTTGCCAAGCGAGGAATGAGTCAAGCAACGGTCAGGCTCATGGCAAAATCGAGAGGCAATTAGCAAGGTGATCCTAGCTCTGCTTCAATTGATCGGGAAAAAAAAAAAAAATCTCTCGGCGACTTTGCGCCCAATTGAGGCCCAATATTATTGAAGGGATAATTCGATAACGACGGAAAGATGATCGAGGAAAAGGAATGATAAAGAATGATATAGCTCTTCCGGAAGAAAGTCGCGAGGGTCGTCGTCTAACCCTTGATGATGTGAAGAGAAGCTGCGATGGTGCCAAGCCACAGGGCGGTGGACGTTGTGGTTATTATGTCATTTTGCAGCTGATTTGAGAATTCTCCAATCCCAGGCCGAAGCCTCGACACAAGGCTCGATTCAACGGTGGAGAAAGCATCTTCGCGTCGACACCCAAGAGAACGTCCCTCCAATAGCTGAAAAGTGTTCAGAGTGTGTTTTCTGGAAAAATTACAATTCAAGGCATGGTTCCTATAGTCTATTTTAAGCTACCCTCGTGGCGCGCCAGCTGGACACTGGACCAGCCGCCAAAAAAATATCCAGTAGGCGCATGTGAGGAGAGAGACCCATCGTCCACCCTCTTCATATTCTATCGTACAGCATGCAACCAATTGCATGTACCGGTTCTTGGGTTGGCTATATACATTGGGCTTGCAACCGCATCTACCTGCCATTGCTGTCTCTTGCCAGCCAACCCGTGACTGGCACCATTTTGTACAGGTCCTAAAAGCTCTATCCAGCCGGCAATTTATATGCATCGTGAGGCGAGGTGCACTGGTGCACTCCTCTCCACAACCAGGAGTGGCAGGATGCGGCTATGGGTGAGCTTCCGTCGGTCACCGTTCTCATCACTCGGTCGCCCCTCCGCCCTCTTTCCAGCCTAATGGTATCAACGCAGCAGCGACGTCGTCAACCCCTCTTTCTGTAGCTAGAAGATTATACTGAGCAGCGGCGTTGTTGGTGTCTAATATCTCGGTTCGCATGCCCAAACTATTGATGTAGTCTCTTGTTTCACGGCTGATCGGGCGTATTTCTGGTCCGACACCAACTATGAGGAGATCTGAAGGAGGACATCAGTATTTGCGGCTGGAAGAGATCATGCTAGAGTAGACGAGGAGACATGGAAGTTGGACTTACCTGGCCTCGGCCATACCAAATTCAGCAGTCCGAACGCCTCCTTTGGTAATTCAACCTGACCCTTCTTGTTTACCAATTTCTTCTCCGTCATCGCATCCCATGGCTTCCATTTGAATGCCTCTCCGTTAACTAATAGCACCCCACTGCCGTCAGTAATTCTAACTCCGCCATTCAGATGGAAACCCATGGGAAGGCAGCGGTCGACGGCCGTCGGTGGAGTCGGTGTATTCCCTAGGACGTCGAGTTCACCGAAGTCGGTTCTCGGTGGTTCTTTGGGAGGTTTCTGCCGACTCCGCCATGGCGATGGGGTCGTATGAAAAGGTGCTCGAAACTGGCGCGTTTCGCGGGCTGTGTTGAGTATGCGGTGGGCGGCTGGGATAGAAGGACGGAGCGAAGGACATTGGCATGTAACTGCCCTGAAATTCCTCGCGAGGTGTCGCGACATCGCTGTGGCTTTGCGCATGGACTGATGTGTTGGAAGGACTTGTAGATTTGTGAAGGGTGAATTTTTGATGACGAATTTGTTTGTTGCCGATAAGAAATTTGGAGCTCTTATCGATCTTGTCCCGCTCCTACAACAACCACCATCACATTGACAGTATTTAGAACGCACAACAGACACATCCCTCGCTAGCAGACTATTGACGAGAAATTCATACCAAAGGGAAGAGGGAATAAACTACAATTTAGTTCGGCTGATATAGTATGAGTAACTCTAGAACTACTCACGCCCTGGCAAATACCTATTCGAGCCACCCTAACAGTCTAGGAATGTAATTTCAAACGCCTGAAGGAGACTGTCGCTTTACGTTTGTGGACATGGAGGGCGGCGCAAACAAGATGGCAAGCGTCTCGTCTGTTGACAATACTACGACATACTAGACCCAGCAACTCGAATATGCCTCCCATTCCTATCGTCTAAGTCACCCGGAAGTTCATACACTTTGTTATACACTTGCAGGGTAAGGATCTTGCTTCTTGGGTATATCCCCTCGCGTGTGAAACGGAAAAAGCTCGACCCGTATTGGCTATGCATCATCACAATCACCCAACCCGTAAATAGAAGAGCCACTGAGACTTGCACGAACTTGACCGCTTGTTGCATTCCGAATCATCAAGCGAAGAACAGACGGAAGCAGTGTGCCTTTAACTGCCATGCCGGTAAACTGGTTGTGTATGTATCATGTAGTCGATTCCCCTTTGAACCCTAGCGAACACCGTTGAAAAACAAACAACAAACCAAGCCGTCGGCCCATTCTTGTTTTAATTCCCATCCATGCTCATGCAATTCAGAGAGTGAGAGAGAGAGAGAGAGATAGAGTTATATTTGCGTTTGACGGGGTTGTTCCATTTATTTCTTCTTCTCGCTCTGCTCCTTCAGCACCTTCTTCACAATCTTCTGCTCCTCGATGAGGAAGGCGCGGACGATCCTGTCCTGGACACAGTTACCGCATCTCGATCCGCCGTAGGAACGGTTGACGCTCTTCTGGGGCTTGGAAATCTGGGAGTACTCGCGGGGTCGGAGAGCAGGGACCTATTGGCAACCATTAGTACACACAACGCTCATTCGAGCCCGACTCGCAAAATGAGAGCAGGTTGTAGCTTTCAGGGCGAGGGCGCGAGGGAAAATTGAGACATGTTATCCATGGTCCCCCAGAACTTATCATCCCAATTGCCTTTCCCTTCGCGCTCCCCTCCTCCAAAAGTCCTAGAACCTGACTCCCACTCGCTGCCCCTCGATTCCCCCCTCTCTCCTTCAATGTATCCTGGAAATCGACTTACGCCCGCCAACTTGCTGCCACAGTCGCCGCACTTGGGGTTGGTGCCTCGCTTCTTGATGTGAAGGAGCCGGAGCTTGCCACCAGGGGTCTTGACCGTCCGGGTGAGGTTGGAGGTGGTGTTGTAGCTACAGAATCGCGAAAAGTTAGTACATTCTTGACCCCTCGGTCGAATTGGACGCGGCAAAAGGGACAAATCGATCGATTATCCCTTTCGCAAAATCGAGAAATCGGTCGTCTTACCCGTTGCGGCGGCGGTAGGTCACTCTTTGGGGGGCCATTGTGCTTGGTGTGCTTGGTGGTCGCTTTGGTGATACACGGGGAAAAGAGTGAAGGTTTTCGAGATTTGGGAAATTTTGTGTGGGCGAGGGTCAGTAACAAGATGTGGGTCAATTTTGCAATGCAGGGTTCACTAGCCACGAAATTGAACAAGCAAGCCACAGCTCCCCTTTATTCCTGTGGCACTAAAATACAGGTCACGTGACTAGGCGCTGAGGTTTGGCTGGCCTCTCCAGTTGCTTGTGGTCTTTGGCCAAGGTTATGGTAAGAAGACACGAATGGGAAAGAAGCTTCGGACGGTCGATATAATTCTAGATTACGAGCTAGTATTTGTTTTCTACTAGTATCTTTAGGATTGAGAGAAGCCCACCGCCGATTATGACTTGGAACGATGAAATTTGTGCTAGAAAGCTCAACAAGTGAAAGAAGAAATGAGAAATCCGCTAGCTCCTGGCATGTAAATTACAACGCTATCCTCCATCCTATAAACATCCTGTTGCGTTCAAATATCATGAGCCTAAAACGCCGTTGTCCCGATAATCGATCCTCAACCTAAATATCATCTGTGCCTAAGTCTCTCTCTGAAGGGAAATGCCCCCTTACGAGCTCCCATTTGCATACCAGTTAGGGTGCTCTGTGGGATCCCATGTGGAGATTCCGAGAGGGTTCTCCTTGCGGCTCTTGTTGGCACGGTCAAAGATCTTCTTGCTCTCGGCGTCGCCCATGAGTTCTCTAAAGTCTTGAATCTCCTTGTGAGCATCAGCTACAGACTTCATGAGCAAGCGATACAGTTCGGAAGCTACGTGTTATTATTAGCGAATGACAAGCGGCTAGACTAGCAGAACATAGGACAACTCACGGGTTCGGCTCTCTGATAAGGGAGCGGTCATTCGTGGGATGGTTGTTCTGAGCTGGCTCGCCTTAATAGCTATGTTAGGTTCGTACTTCTCGAACTTGATACCGCAAGGAAGGAGTACCTGAACATGGAGTTTATCTAGCCTCTTGAGAGCGGCTTCAAGCCGAGCCTCGTCCCATGACTCGTTGGAGCCAGCCTTTGAGTCCTGGGCTTTTTGTCGGTTTGCAGGCGCCATGGCTATCAAACAATGGCTGGATGGCAAAATATAGATATGAAATTAGACGCACGGAAGGCGAGGTCTTGAACCTGCCACAGCTCTTTCGCCAGTATCACGAGGAGAGCGGAATGGGGGACGTAGCAAGGGGAACCCGGAATAGGAAGGCGGTGTATGCGGCGGAGAAAGATGGCGAGACTCGAGAGCGTCTGAGTAATGGAACGAGGAAATGGAGACCAAGACCGAAATTCGACGTTTGAGAAATGGAATTGCCTGGGCTCCTTTCCCGATTCGGGTTTTGAGTACTTCAATGACATAATTAGAGTGCCGCAGCGACCGGAGGAGCGATGGTGTCTCTCAAACGGAAGTGGCGGCGGAGAGACATGATCACGTGACAATACTATTAGTGAGCAGCACGTGCAATAGCATGTCTGGTCAGCGCCGTCAGAGTGTTGAGGTCCTTAAACCGTTTCGTACCGGAAAATAAAACTACCTAGTTTCCATCACCGTGCGGATTGTAAATCTCAGACTGAACCTCTACACACCCTCGAATCGCCCCCCAACTTTCTTCATCGACAGAAGCTCCATCACGATCGGATTCTTCGAAGAAAGAACAGCATTCTATCTCAAACGCACCTAGCCTATTTTTTCATTAAATCCATTAACCATTTTCCCCAACTATTCCCCGCCGGAGCAGGTTTGCCCGGCACCAACGTTCACGCTGGAGTACTCGACGCCCCCCAAACCGTTTATCCACCACCAAACACGTCACAACGCGACCCCAGATTTAACGGGCGCGGGCGACATCTCTGGCATGCCGGAGACACCAACCACCGCAGCCACCCTTCTGCCCCCACCCGAGGGCATCTTCCGAACGTTCGAGGACTTGCTGAGCTCTGTCCAGCGCTGGGCCAAGGACCATGGCTATGGCATCGTGAAACTTCGCGCCTCCAACTACAGGGACGGCAAGCCGACTAGGTACGACCTCGTATGTGATCGTGGCGGCGTCAAATACAACAGCACGGCGAAGAAGCGAACACCGTCGACGCGCAAGGTTGACTGCCCTTGGCGAGCCAAGGCCGTCTGCGAGGTCCAGCTCGGCCACCAGTGGCGTTTCGCCGTCCAAGAATCTCGTCACAATCATGACGCCCGGCCCCCTTCGGCCGCACCGGGCCAAGAGAACACGCCTCTTGCGCAGTCGATTCGATCGTTCACCAACAAGCTCGACCGACTCATACACGACGTGGGCCAGGGCTTCATGCACATGGGTCAGCGTCTCGACAATGTTGAGAAGCAGCTGATGGATCTGCGGAACCACATGGGCGGATACGAGCCTCGATTCCAAGGCATGGAGTCTAGAATGCAAGCAGTTGAGACTCGAGGCGATATGCAACTAGGGCCTATGGACGACGTCGACGTCGACACTAGAATCTTGGCGAGCATGTAGCCATGAGCCCTAGGCGAGTCGCCTCTTCGCCTTTTTTTCCAACCCGGCCACAAGTCTTTATTGTGTCGACGACCTTCTTTCGTTTCTTCTCTCAATCATTCGGGTATTTCTCTCTGCGACGACGCGAGGGCTGGTTTGTATGTTTCTACTAGGGAGGAAAGGGTCTGGTCTGCTTGTTTTCTTTTTCTTTTCATCTCAGTCGTTTTCAACCTTTTATGTATTTTGCGGCGTCTCGGATGGTTGAGAAATCCCCCCCAGGTGTAACTACACAATTTTACAGAGAGGGCTACCATTGAAGTCTTTCAAATTAGGGAATATCGGATCGCTCCAGGGCTCTGTGTACGTCTTTTGCGGATTCGTTTGGTCTTTCTTTCTTTTTATTTCTCGTTGTCGTTTCGGTCCTTTTGTTTTGCAACTTGGGCGCAGGCAGTCTTTTTTGTACCTACGAGTTAGGGAGGTATCGGTATCGAGGAGTCGGATGACAAGAATGTTACGATACCGCAACAACCCATTGAACGGGTTGTATTTATAAGAAAGCTGCCCTTTGTTGCAACGAAACAGAATCGAGTCCATCCACAGCACCGGTGTAGCATGAAGCTATCGATGGATTCCGTGATAATCATGTGTCCTCGAGGATGGACGTAGTGTGTGCCCTCCATATGAACTGAATGTATGGGCGTGTCAATGATGGAGCTTGGATACGCACAGCTATTTTCCTTCACATCCACGATGGAACTTCATCTCGAAACCGCTATGTGAGTCTGGCACCAATATTGACGATGTTATTACCGATATTGCCTTCGAATGCAACCCAACTTCGGCTGCCCGGTGTGGGGATCCATTTTCTTCAGTGGGGGAAGCCAAGCTTTACGACAGATCACCAACAGATCAATGAGCTTAAGCTCGACCAAATATGGCAATATGGCGGTTTGTGTCGAATAGCAAAACCCCTCAACTCGACCCGCTTTCATCTCAAGATCCCGTTAGTGGCCAACCTTTATTGAGCTGCGTACCCCATTGCCTCTCTTTGTAATCCCCTCCTCAGTCCTCAACCCCCTCTGAGATAAATACGCCCCTTAATAACCTTAATTGCTTTCCTCTTCTCCTCCGTTATGCCAAGGTACTTCAACCTAAACCCACCGGGGCTGAAAAAGAGAGCAAGGTTAAGAGACATCGACTACGACCGTAATGAGTGCGTCGAAGCGATCCGCGACTTTTACCGGTTCCTCGTCAAAGTATACCTCCCGGAATCAGAAGTTATTGAGCCACCAGAGGGCGGCTAGCCCAATATCACCGGCGTATATAAGCAGCATGGCTGGCCCGATTTGGAGAAGTACAGCAAGGAAGAGTGCATGAGGGCTATTCAGAAGGCGCTAGAGGAGAACTACCCTGACCGGGCACACTTGCTCCGCTGGTCCTAAGTGTAACGGGAGCGGAACGGGGCTGGCGAGCGACATCTACAGATTCTCGGAGGTTGGAAATGGAATGTTTCTGCGTAAGTCTGGAACAGAGAGCTTCGGAATGTCGACAAGCGCGGCCTCGATAAGCCATACCCAATCCAGCCGTCGAGACTATAAGACAACAGTCCAAAGATCTATTATACAGTCGGCTCCTTTAGGTAAGAAGCACATTTAGTTAAGAGCAGTAGATTAATTAAGTCCTCGCAACAATCAACCCCCCCTCCCCCCCCTTCGTAGGCCTACACCGAAACGCGAGATAGCTTGGTGCACCTCTTTTGTCCATAGGACCGGAGAACGGACCCGCCCCCAGCTCTCAACCCACTCTTACAGGGCAAACGGAAGGCAGTCAGGAAAAGTGAAGATGGACGACGGGATCCTACGAGCTATGTGTGTATGCTACGGTCCAGTATTACCAAAAGTAATAAGGCAGGAGCGAAAAGGAAAAGCGAGCTAATTATCTGTACGTCTGGCCAACGGACGGTGCAGTTCGGCGCCATGCATGAGGCACGAAGCAGTCACTGCATGCTCCATCCACGACCAACGCCATTCTATTCGATTAGCGGTCTTCTCAACAAGGTCGGGCAGCGGGTTGACTTGGCCTGGCCAGTCCCCAACCCAAAACCCCAACCCAGAAGCGCGGTTACGCAAGCTATGGTGAGTGTGAGAAAGGAAATATCGAGGGATGTGAAGGATTCCGATGGATCGGTTAGACAAGTCGGTTTCTTGGCAATTCGAGTCTCTTCTCCTTGCTCCCAGGAGGTGTCTTGTTTATCCCTCTTGCCCTTTCCCCACTTGCGAGTTTATTTCCATTTCCTGGATAAAGATTCCACGTAGTTTACTGCTTCACCCTTTGTATTCCCTACGAAGTACTGTGCTCTACGCTCCGGCTACGCTCAGGGTTATGCTCTAAGTGGAGTTATTGATGTGGGCTACTGTCGCCTGAGAGAGCAAAACACATCCGGAGGGAGAGGGCGAAGCTAAGATCGCAGATCTTTCCGTCTTCGCTCGAACCCGTTCTTGGTCTGCGTTTGAACGAGGCACCATCGATATTGGAACCTTATTTTCATTCCATCTCTTCGAAGTTCGGGGGAACGAACATGCTCGGTCGATGTGGTCTTTCGGCCCAAACACCGTGAATGGACCTGTCACTTGAGCTAGGCTTTGGATCCCTGCTGGGAGCTCTGACCAGGCCGTCGTGTTTGAGGATGTTGTGAGACACCCTGGACAACCTTTATTTTTCCCTCCTTTTTGGCCGGGTTCTAGCAGGAGGCTCGAGAGTCTAGAGGAGCCTACAATACGACGAAAGAATCTGCCCATCTCGAGGACATTCCCAAGCTCGAGAATCGGTTCTAGACAGAGGATCCTGCATACGATTGAATTAAATACAACTCGCAAGTGCTCTAGGCGCAGAAAGATCAATAATCAATGCATGGACTTCGTAGGATCCACGAAAAGACGGCCTGTGCCAAGCATTAATGATGATTCCTATGATTCTCGTGATTCTCCCAGGGGTAGCGCTGATCTGCGAGGGGCGCCATCCATTGATCACTAAAAGTGCCCCTATTCCTCTTCGGTCTGGGCGCCTGTAATCCCCAGATCTCCGACTCTAACGGTTTCATCGGCACCAGGTGTGTCCGTCTGCGACCCAAAGAAAAAGAAGCAAGCAGCAACCATGTTCTGTCCGATCAAAGAAGCTAATTGACAAGCCGACAGGACACCCCGGCGCTTCCATGCTCAAAGAAGAAGCCCAACGGACAATTGAATGGAGGGCGCGGGCCGAACTTGACGCCGACGTCGCAATCGTCTGTAAGCCTCAAACCGACAAAGCAGGCACGGCGCCTACACAGACACTGCGACCCCAACGCGACCATCGGACGACATATTCTTATTTTATTTTTCCTCTGACAGGGCACGCACCTCCGTGACAGCGACAGTGTCGTTGGGGAAATGTAAGGGGCATCGTAGACAGTGGGACAGCCAGGATGCGGCCTCTAAGCTTGTTTTTTGCGCTGGACCAGGAATGGAAGGTATCGTGAGATGAGGACCCAAGATGTGGAATATATAGTGGATCGTGACTCGTTCCCTTTCCTTCGGGAAGAGCTCTGGTTTGGAGCCCTCAAGCTCAGTTCACTCGTGGCCTCTTCTGAAGTCTCTTACTTTCTTTCTCACACTCCTTCATTCTTTGCTTGCTCTTTGTAAACCTGCTGAGCAGGCCGTTCGTTTCTGGGAAACTCCATTTCGTTTCTGGAAAAACCAAACAGGCCTTTTTTTCTCTTCCTTTCCTTTTGGGCCGGATCGAACACCCTTTTGATTCATCCTCTCCTTAAACAAAATTCAGAAGGCCTGTAGTGATACTCTACTGTGCTGGATACCCACCATGATCTCCAAACTCTCCGTTCTCTTGGCCTATGCCAACGCCGTTGCCCTCGCAGGACCCGCCAAGACTTCCAGGGCCGTTGACCAACTTAACCAGGCCTCCTTTGAAGAGGCACAGCAGCGTGACGAGACCGCCACCCGGGCGTTTTCCGATGTTCAGATCACCACCAGTGACGGACGCTGCCTCTTCGTCGACTTGCTCTCGGGTGACTTCAGGGCAAACCTGACTCCTCTGCAGGTGGCTGCCTGTGGGAGCACTGATGGCCAAGGATGGGATGTCATCACGGCAGGAAAGCATAATAACCAAGCCGGCGCTGCACTCTTGGTCAACACTCTTGTATGTCTTGAGGCCCACTGTCTCTCTGTGATAACCCCAAACATCAACAACGTACTAACATGTTGGAATATAGTCTCAAGCCTGCGTCAGCTTCGACCCGAGGAGGGCTGCTGATTCCCAAGTCCACCTCTTCTCCTGCGGTGGTCGGGCTGATGGAAGCGGCGAGGTATCCAACTCGCAATTGTTCGACTTTGACGGCAGCGCTGGTCCCCTTGCTCTCACCCCACAGAATGCCCAGAACCAGTGCTTGACTGTCAATGGGAATGTTGTTGCCATTGCTGGGTGCGATGCGGCTAATGCAAACCAGGCATTCACTATTGCGGGTGCCGCTGCTAGCGCTGGTGGTAGAAATGTTCAGGAGTATGCGGCAACTGGAGATGACAACAAGGGCAATGCCGGCAACGGCGATGAGGCGGTTGTCGACGATGGACAAGCTGGTAGCGGTAATCAGACCGACAGTGGCAACAACGGTGGAATTGGACGAGGCAACGGCCAAGGTAACGGCCAGGGCAATGGTCGAGGGAATGGCCGCGTCCGTGGAAACGGCAGGGGCCGCGACCGAGGACAAGGAGGAAACCAAGCCACTGACTGCGCTCCCGTCCGTGTGGTGACAGTCACCGAGATTATCGAGGTCTCTGCTCCTACGGCGGCAGACTCTGCCGTCGCCACTGAAACTGATGCCGCCGCGGCTACCGAAACCGCCGTTGCTACCGACTCTGAGGAGGCTCCTGAAACTACAGCTGAGGCTGCCACAACCGCTGATGAGACCGGTGCCGCTTCTACCACTGACGAAGCGGCTGCCGTAACCTCTGCACAAGCCGATGCTACCACTACTGCCGCTGTTGCCCTTGACGACATTCTAACCGTCAACCCTACTGAAGCCGTCCCAGTTTCTCGTGCTGGGGGTACCCTCAACCCCACAGCCGCAGCTGAAGCTCACCAGTTCGACAACACGGCTACCCGTGCCTTCACCGGCGTTCAGATCCGATCCCCCGAGGGCCAGTGCCTCTTCGTGGATCCTACCGCCGGAGACTTCAGGCAGAACCTTATCCCCGTGCAGCTCGTTGAGTGTACGGGTAGTCCTAACGAGAAGTTCGACATCGTTACGGCAGGCAGGCACAACAATGCCAATGGCGCTGCCCTCATCGTTAGCAGCTTGGTAGGTTTTCCTATATATCCCTCCCCCCATTAGAGACTCGTTCAATTTGGACTAACTCAAGACAATGTAGATGAATGGCTGTATCAGCTTCGATGGGCGAAGGCAGGCCGGCGACACTGTCACCATCTTTTCCTGCGGAGGCCGAGCCTCTGGAGGTAACGCTCCCCACATAACTCGTGTTCCCGAAACTCTCCCTGGATATCGTTTGCTAACGTACTTGAACAGAGGGTGAAACCAACTCTGGTCAGCTCGTCCCTTTCAACGGCCAGACGGAGCTCGCCTTCGCTCCCGTAAGCGAGAACGGCCGGATCTGCCTCGTGGATGGTGCGGGTCGCGTTGACTCTGCTGCCTGCACTGGGGATAACTCCCAGGTGTTTACTATCGTTGCTTAAATCTTCCCAGTCGCTGAGTGCAGCGCTTGAATGTCTGCCCATGCGGGCATCACAACTTCTCTTCTACTTGTATTATATTACTTATGGACAAATGAAAAAGGCCTCGAGAAACCGAGCTGTTGAACTACAAGTATACCTTGAACGAAACGTAGAGTACATACAAAGCGATGCCATAGACTACTCTTTATTCGCCCAAGACTGGATCGAACTTGTCACTGGAGGGTAAAAGTATGTTGATGCCACTTGCCGAATTCCATTGAAACGAATAGAGTCCCTTTAAACGTAACCGAATCAAACCACTTGACTCCTTCAAACGAGACGAAAAGGTATTCCCTCTTTAAATAAGCAAGAAAACTGAGCTTCCAGGTATCATTGATGTTTAAACTCCGCGCTGAATAATATCGGATGCAAATAGAAAGGAAAAGTGAGAAGAAAACGAAAAAGAAACCTCCAAAGGAGAAAAGCCTCGAGAAGAACAAGTGCAAAAACCCGAAACTTGAAAGAGAAAAACAGAAGGAAGTAATGAAAAACAAAAATGAAAGAAAAAAAAAAGAAAAAAAAAAAAAGAAAAAGAACTAGACCCAGTAGTGGGACTCATGCTGCTTCTCCGCTCCCTGAGAGCTCTCTTCGACCTCCTCGGTATCGTCGTCGTCGGTAAGGCGTCTGCGCTTGGGAGCAGAAGGACTCTCGTCGTTGTTGGTAAAGGGCCCGCGCTCGGGAGCAGAGGGACTCTCGCCAATCTCATCGGATTCGTCACGGGACCTCTTCTGGCCACGGCTGCTGCTCTGGGTACGGTTCTCATTCTATTTGAACCGGCCGCGGACACACGAGGGCGTCGAGAATAGTGGGCTCGGCCTAGGCTTGGGGTAGGGAGTTTGTTGTCGCAGAAGCACAGGACCGGTGTAGCCGTGGTTGCGAATCTGCTGGCGAATCCTCGACGATACCACAGCGGGAGCGGGCTCGGGAGTAGGCGCATCTTCGGTATCCTCGTCCTCGGAATCCTCACTCTCATCGGAATTCTCCACCAACCGTTCGCCGAGGTCCTCAACCTCTTCGTCAAATTCGATCGACGGCAGCGGAATGTCACAGTCCTTGGGTTGGATGACCGATGTGGCCCTAAACTCCTCCTCGCTGATTTCTTCTGGATCGGAATCGGAGGGAGGGTAGTCGCCATGGTCGTCATCGACGTCCTCATCGTCGTCGCTGTACTCGGTCGAGGGGGTGGTGGGGGTGGTCGGGAACGGCGGGTCGAACAGGAGCCGGGGGTCTACTCCCTGTCGCCGATAGGCAGGGTCCTCGGAGTCATCGCGAACCGTGGAAGAAGAGGGGATTTGCTGGTGAGCAGTGGGCTCACCAGCATCGTCCTCCTCCTCTTCGACCTCAGGTGTCTGAGCAGCCCAGGACTTCTCACGCAACTCCTCAGGAGTGCGCGACAGAACGTTGCGAGGGTTGGCAGCGTTCAAAGCCGCGAGGAGACCTTCGCGGAGCTCGACCGGGACATCTACCGCGTTGTCCTGATCGAACTCCAGATCGTCCTTGTCCTCGTCGTCATGGTTGGCGAGCTCTGGGACGCGGCGGCCCGGGAACTGATCGGGCTCTACAGCCCGCAGAAGCCCACCAACGCGGATCGAAAGATCCACGTTCATAAAAGCCGCCAGGTAGCGTACAAATTTGACGCATAGCTGGCACGGAGACCTGGTGATGTGGATCTCCAGGCGCGGCTCATTGCCCACGCCCCAGTCGTGGCGCCTGACCTTTTCAAGGTCGTACAGGCTGACCTCGTCGAACTCCTCCGGGAGCTGGCCAATTCTGGCCAGAAGAGTCGACACCGCAAAAGCGGCCAGCTTTTTCTCGCAGTGCGAGCAATGCCACCTCCCGGCGTGGCCGCGGCTCTTCGGTCCGTCGAAGATGCTGCCGACACTCAGGCCCATGATCTTGGCCAGGTGCTTGACGTTTTTGACCCACTCCGGTCCGAGAACCATTTCGGTATCTTCGGGGTGGCCAACCCCACCGGAGAAGGTCGCGGCCATGAGTTGCTCCTCGCCGCCCTGCTGATAAGCAAGGACGCCAGCAACCCGATTGCCGGTCATGTTGACCTTTGGGCCGGCAAACGATCCCTGTAGGACGTAAACGTTGACCCCCGCGGCAGTCCACTGGAATAACATATCGGACATGCCGTTGGCAACGTACGTTCCTACGGAAGGCATCGTGATTTCTCGGAGACTCTAGAGACGGTGATGGGTTAGCACACTTGCTGGACACCACGGATTTCATGGCCGGTTGATCATTGCAACGAACTGACAAACACAGCGATGTCTCTTCAAAATGCCACCCTGATGAACAGGGGCCTTACAGAAGTTCACCCAGCCAGCTGGCTTGGGGATCTCGGTAAGGGTGAGGTGGATATGACAAGTATGAGATAGAATATGAAATAGAAGTATCAAGTAGACATACAAGGCAGAAGCATAATGCCGTGGGTCAGAAGTAGCAGGGGGTATGGGCTGAATGGGAGGAACGAAGAGGAAAGAAATAATAAACACAGCAGACTGGGGATAGGGATGAGGTCTTGAGAACAGGAAGGTACTCTCCTTGTTTGGGGGCAAGGGTGTAGAATGTCTTATTGTTTAAGAGGGAAATGAATAGAGACTCGAGAGGATAGAAAATGTTTCAACATACCTTAATTGGAAGATTGAATGGGGAAGTCGCGAACCACTGGACTCAATTCAAGGTGGTTGATTTTCAATAGGCCGGGCTCAATAGACGTCGAGGGAGGTGCCTGCCGAATCGAGAGAATGGAAAGCCGTCAAATCGAGGTGGGGGACGCGAGTGTCGGTAAGAATGGAGTCGAGTCGATATGATGAAAGAAGAAAGATAAAGGTGGAATAGTGGAAACAGAGAGGAAAGGCGACGTCTGCCTCTTTTCTGGGGGGATCAAGCTGGTGGATAGATAGATGATGGGTAGAGGAAACAGAGAATGAGAAGAGGATGTCTGTTTCTGGTGGCTTTGATCAGGATGGGGATAAGGATGGAATAAAAGATGTGTGGAAGAACCAGAAGAGAAGAGGAGGGTATCTGATTCCTGTCGGCTTGCTCAAGTTAAGGATGGAATGAATTAAGAGAATAGAAAACCAGAAAAGAAGAAAGTGTCAAGGCTGAGATAGATAATTGGATTCAAGAGATGTGATAATGGTGTCAGGGAAGAGGGAGGATGTGAAAAAAGTTGATGTGGTACCAGTTTTCAGAGAGGATGTGAAGTCAGATGGAACTGGTGAGCTTGAAAGAAGAAAGAAGTCGATAAGAGGAAGAGAGGCATCTGGGATCTGGGAATTATGATGTTAGAAACTGGATCTAGGTCTGGAGGTAAGGGGAAGGAAGGAAGGAGGCTTCTGCTCACCACAAACCGAGGTTGGACTCGTGAGGCTTCACTTACACTGGGAGCACGACAGTAACTGGGACCTGGTGACCCCTACCACTTCTGTGAGCTGGTGATGGCCTGGGAAAGAACCGAAGGCCTTTGGCTGGAGCAGGACTAGGGGGATCTAACATGCACACCTGGGACAATGTCGAGTCTCATACAGGATCATTTCACCTCAAACGAGGGCTCGATACATTCCCTAGATGGAAACTTTCTAGACAAGAGGGTCACTTCAAGTTGAGTCAAGTCCAAGCTACAAGCATTTACTGTGTAAAGATCGAGGTATGTGAACGTGTCTTATGACGGCATGAAAATGCTAACCTGCCAACCTTTTAAAAACCGTGTACGCCATCCTCGATATAAGTGACCCGATGCCATGGTAGCAAATCAATATGAACATGACATGAACCTTTTACTCGTCATCATCCTCATCCTCCTCATCGGCCTCAGCGACGGTTTGCGCAATACCTAATTATCAATGTTAGTCAATGTACCAATTGGAATGATGTCTGAACTAAGAGAAGGATTGGATATAGAGGAAACATACGGTCAAGATCACGCTGGCCGGCCTGGGTAATCCTGCGTCCACCCTTCTCCTCATCCTGCTCAACGACACCAATCTTCTCGAGGGCCTGGAGGATCTTGCGGTCGACGCTGCCGGAGGCATCGACGTGCCTGGAGGGGCGAACACCCCTGTTCTTGGCGGAACCGTGGACCTTTCGGAGACGGCCAACACCGACGGTCTTGCGGAGGTAGACGTGGCGGGCGACGGAGGCGGCACGAACGTAGAACCAGTCGATATCCTGGGGAGGAAGCTCCTTGGCAGGGCCAGTCTTGACGAGCTCAACCCATCCTGTTCAAACTGATTAGCCACAGATACTTTCACAGAAACCTTGCCGAAGAGACAGGGATCTGGTTCTCGGCAGATAGGCAGGGAATAAAAGGAAGGGGGGGAACAAACCGGGAATGGGGAGCTTGCCCTGGCGCTTCAGGAAAGCCGCGTAGGCATTGATGAACTTTTGCGCCTGGAGACAAGGGAAACCCACTGAATTAGCATTATTCCGTCATCAGAAGTCTTTCGACTCCCTCACGCCTGCTCCTGATCCTGAGAGAAGAGATTGCGACATCTTTCTTGCTTTCTCAGCGCAGAGATATGGCACATCCCCCGTGGTTGATTGGGCCTATGCCATCGAGTTCGACTCAAGAAGTCGGTCGAGGCAAATGGCCAAGGGGCAGCCCATATATATTTTTTCTTTGTGTCCGGAGCGAACTAGCCGGAAGGATAATTCAGGTTAACCTACTTCGACGTCGCGAACAGAAACTCCGCCAGGCATGTTTGCGGTATTGATCTGGAAAGTTGGTTGGGTGATGGGTGGGTTGTTGGATTGGCGATGTTGAATTTCACAGATGAAGTCGAAGTTGAAGTTCTCAAAAAAATATTAAAGTGGTGTTGTATGTCCTGGCGGGGCTAGCGCTAGGGCTTGGGTCAGGCTCAATCCGTCTGAATGTGGAAATGCTTAGTCACCACATTTTTTTTCACTGTGCGGAGTATGTATATTATTGTCAACACTGTTACTATTTTGAACTCAGACATCAAGTCTCATTTGACATTCTCTTCAAACCCCTGCGATCCTAGTAACTTTGCCCTCCTTTGCATATCTAAAACGACGTCCGACCTGACCTCAGAGAACTCGATTGAATTTCCCACCCTTGCAATTTGAACGAGGAGCTTGAGAGCAGCGAACCCCTTCTCTTCTAGATGTAATATTGTCGTGTCAGTTACACCTTTGTCTGGTGGGCTCTCGTCTCCTTACCTCCATCGAGCTTTCACAGTGTTACCCAGGCCCGTGGGCTGGTAGCTAGTTGACATTGCCTGAGCTTACTTTTCCAAAAGCCGTTCGGCGAGTTCGAGTAAACGTTGCCAATCGCCATCCATAGAATCCTGCGCTGGTGTTTCAAGACTCGACTCCGTATCCCACTGTTCCCAGATTCTCTTTGAATGAGGTTCTTTTCGATTTCTAACCAGCCCTAAAACTAGTACGATGAATGCTAGGAGAACGATGGAGAGGAACAACAACACGCCTCCGAATTGGTAGATCGCAGGTATACGGGCAACCACTCGCCTCCCTTCAGAAACCTTGCTCAGTTCGCGGGAAATAAATCGGCGGAAAGGACGTAGAGAATGAACATTGACATAGGGAGGAGGCGGAAGAGTAATCTTCGCGGTTTCTTCGCAACTGGAAGTCGCCTCGCCTCCTTTCTAGAAGGCGATTTCATATTAGCAACATTTCTTACCAACGGGAGGGGACTGGGAGGAGGGGAATCTTGCCAACTGTTCTTGACACTGCTCAATGTAGTCCTTCAGTGCAGTCCACTCAGCTAGTTCGAGCGCCTTTCTAGATATCTCTTGGCCATTGAACCCTGGAAGCAGGGCTACTATTGCGACGACCGTGTTGATAACTGCAAAAATCCATCCTGTTGCCGCCAGGTAGTGATCCGAGATCCAATTACGGAGTCGATCCGCAAAGATATCCGCCTTTTGCGGTAGAGATATGGAGGGTGGACTTGGTGTGGATGCTTGGGTCGCTGCGTTTGGCGGCCTCGCAAGTGGTCTTGCAGTAGTCGTGGCCATCGAATAATATAGAAAGGAGGGGGTTGTAATGATCGTCGGCTATGTAACTCTAAAACCAAAGGACTAGATAGACAATGCTGAAGCTAATTACTCGTACCAAACAGTAACTTCGCTCAAAGACCCCAGCACAACCAGCTTCGGTTGATGTCGCGATGCTCCAGGCGCAGACACCACTGCTCAATTGAGACACCACTCCGTAGGTGTAAAGACAAAAAAAGAAGAAACAGCAGACCTCTGTTGATATTGGAGGGAAGTTCTACTCTCTACAAACTCTGCAGACACTGCAAACGCGCCGCGTTTTTATAGACGATGTGAAATCTCCGGCCCTCTCCGGCCCTCTCCGGCCCATATCTGGGGCCCCGTCCCGGGCTCCCTCTGACCAACCAGGAGGGGTCTCCGACCCCCCTCATACCCCCCTTCGTTACACGAATGTCCGGCCCCCTTTGGGGCAGTGGCTTCCGCCCCCATACAAAATCGAGGTACCCTCTCACGACAAACAAAGAGCTCCAGTACCGCTGGGGCGTGGGGCGCTCTTTTCTAAGAAACAATGCTAAGGAGAGCAGAGAAAAGAGCTTGTCCAACGCCCAAGTGGAAAGAGAGTACAATTCTACTTCGTAGGGGGGATGCCCTGTGTAACCGACGACGTAATGCGGCGCCCCTCGTGCCTGGGTCCCAGCGTTGAAAAGGTGGCCAGTAGTCAATGACGCCCTGGAGCCTTGCCATCTTCCATCCGCAAGAAGGGGGGATATTGTGATTTGCGCCATGCCGTATTAATTCCGAGTTGAGAACCTCTCGAACAAAGTAAGAAGAGATCTCAATGCCACGCCGAGGGCCAACTCCAATTACGTGGAATAAGATGGGATTGTTCACATCACCAAAGCACCTTAGTAGTACTGAATCGCCAATAGTATTCCAGTTATACATGGCATACAAACCATCCTTCTATGCGCCTAGATGAAGCCTTGCCTCTAACCCATCTCTGCAAAGCTGAATCCCAATCGCTCTGCCTCTACTCATAATACAAGGGGTGTGTATGGCTTACCCTCTCCTCTCTCCCCCCCTCAAGACGAATACTGAATCTCCAACCCAAGCGTCCTAAACGGTTGATCCGGGTTCCGCAAATCAATCCCACTCCCAACACTATACAGCAGCGACTTCACCCTCCCCTCCCACAGTATCCCTATTCTATTCTGTCCGAACCTCGCCTTAATCACCCCATTATACTCATCATCATCGTCCTCCTTCTTCTTCTCCGGCACGCTCTTCTTCTTCCTCGGTAAACTCCTCCTCTTGGGCACAGTCTTCTTCTCAACTACTTGCGGCGCCTTTGCCCCCGGCTCATCAAGCCTCCACTCCAGCTTAGCCTGCAAACTCCTACTCCACGCCTTGGCTACAGCAGGGTCAAGGGTACTCGCAAGAGCGGCCACCTCCTCCTGCACGGCCGTCGTCGTCGTCACATCTTCTTCCACATGCCTTAGGAACTCCTTGCGCCAAAGCTCCACGCCCACGGACCAGTTGCTCTCGTAGCTATACACATTGAAATCCAACATCGTCGCGAGGCTGCAGTGCCGGCCCGCCATGACCGAGTAGCTCGCGCGGATGCTGCCCATCAAGGGATTTAGCGTCAGCGTCGCCGTCAGCGGCGTACCCCTGTACGAGGGAAGCGTAGCGAAGCGCAGACCGCAGCTGATGCCTCCGGATTTATTCAGTGTGCCGTAGTATATCTCCCCGCCGGCCGTGAACCGGCCGTATATACGCTCTCGATCCGCACCGTTCCCGTTACTCGCGGGTTCGGGGGAACCGTTCTGGTGTGGCTCCTTCGCGTCTCCGCCAAAGTTGTACACGCCCCTCAGCCCCAATAACCCGCCGTCCGAAGACGCCAGGCCTTCGACGGCATATTTCCCCACGTCGTACTGCGCAAGACCGAGGAGCGAACCGCCATTCCTAAGCGCCTTCGAGGATACGGCGCGGAGTTGAAGCTGCAAACCCGAAGAAAACCTCTTCACCACGAGCGCTTCCAATAACGACTGAGGCAAATATAACCTCCCGTACAGCAACGACGGTCCGTCTTTGACAATGGGTTGTATCGCCTGAACGGGGTCGCGTCGATGGAGCTGTCGTAGGGTTCTATACCCGCGGCATAGACTCGGGAGCGAGAGGGATTCTGACTGCGGCGTGAATTGGTCCTTAAGAGGGACGGAGGAGTAGAGGTAGGAGACGGAGCCGTCGACGATTCCGACTGAGCCGAGCTGGTATGATGTCGCGAAGTGGGGGGTGGCGAGAGAGGAGAGGTTTAGGCGGAGGCCTTGCGGTGTGGAGAAGCAGAGGAGTTCTGTTCCAATGCGATGCCAGTCAGAGATCCTCCTTTTAAAAAAGAGGTTTCACGAAAAGGAAGGTGTCGACATACCATGTGCAGTTGAATTTAAGGTCGAGTACGAATTGTCCTGGCTCCACCCCGTCGCATCGTAGAAGGCGTTCTGGACATAGACCATAAACTCCCTCATGGTGTCTGGATTACGGGCCTCACGTCGAGACCTCCGCCTTCGTTGCTATAATGACATGCGTAAATTTCCTGTTCATTAGAGCTGTTCAATGCTTCGCAATTGATGTCGCAGGTCGCCTAGGTCAAAGACACGAGAGGTTCAATGCAATGGATCGGAGTCGGTTGATATTCGGGAGAAACAACGGACATTGACACCAGCCAGACTGGAGCCTAACATCGCCCCACGATCTTTCTTTAGATTGGGACTGGTGAGAAATCCCTTTATCGGACTGATGGCTCCGACACACACAATGCTGCTGGTATTTTTAAGATTATGATTGATTAGTTCATCCTTGACTCAATCCCTTATGAACTGCCTTGCGCGACATCCTACAAGTACTTGGAAAAAGTGCCTGACCTTCGGTGATGAAGCACTTCGAAGACATGGAAACACAGATTTAAACGGTCGGGAACAGCCCTTTCAGCCGTTCTCTATTGCCGAATAAACATCAATTCTAAAATTCTCCGAGATTGTCACACAGCAAACACATCCATTCTCTTCTTACCTGCCAAATCGTACAAAGTAGAGTAGCACGGAGTGAAGGCAGCAGCATTCGGCAGGAGGGAGCAATTTCTTCTCCAAACCAGTAGACCGACCCCGTTTTATAAGCCTGCAGGGGTTCCATCAGTCGTGTGACGCCAGAATGACCAGTCGCTAGCTCCTGCCCGCGCACGAGGGGAACATCGTGAACTGGAGCTAGGTGTTTTGAGACGCCCAACTGACCAGGGTTCTCCCACTCCAACGTAAATCTACAGCACGATGTCGCCATTTTCCCGCTATTGGAAAAAAAGTCTAAAATGACAGCCAGCGCTTGGATCACGCAGCCTAACCACTTCGAAACGTTCGTGGGAGATATTTGAGGGGTTTATTTTAACTCGTTCAACAAGAGAAAAAAAGGGGGACAGAAAAGAAAAGAGGAGCTCTCATAATATATTAGTGTAGTGTACTGGCGTGGGGGGTGGGAAGGAGACTACCTGCCCCTCCCTCCCTCCTCTGGTGCTCAAAAAAAACTTGCGCCACTTTCTTTGGTTATGTGCAGACATTATTTCTTCTTACCCTCCTCCATCTCCAACGTTCGCCGTCTTCTCGAGGCTCGCATTACCCATTTCCCCTTTATCTTGGACCTCCTGGCACTCTTCTAGACGTCCTGGACCATGGTTCCCTGCCAGGTCCTCTCGACCGCCGTCTCGGGATCCGTCCAGTTGACTGGCTTGTGGATACGCACCGCCCACAGGAAGTAGTCCTCGAGGACGAGAAGGTTCAAGAGGACGCCGTTGGCATTCCACGCGATACCGCATACAATGGCGCCGGCGACGGCATCGAGGACGAAATGGTTCGCGGTTGCGACAATGGCGGCCAGGATGATCGCGGGGTAGGACATGCCCAAGCACACGATGGCGAGACGCTTCCACGAGGTCGATCGCAAGCCGGCGATGGGGAACGTCGCGATTGTCAATCCGATAAGAAGGGAGTATCCGAAATGGAGAGATGGCATGGCGGCTAATTGGGGGGGGGGGGGGTTGTTAGCATTGACGTTGCAGTTTCTAGGGAAAGATCGCGAGCCCCAATCCGATGCACAACCAACTTACCATACTGATTGCAGAACTTGTTGGTAGTCCAGACACTCTTCTCACCGTCGGCACTATGGACGGTATCGACGAATCCGAAACTCTTCGCCTCGACCGCGTCGGGGCCCTCATACTCGGGGTCGCTCAGCAGGCGGGGTGGCATGCAGGGCCACAGAGTGAAGACGATGAACGCGATCAGGTTGCACAAAGCCATGGTTCGTCGGCGAGCTTCGTAAAGCATCGGTCCCGAGCTTCCTCCAATCGAGTTATCGGATCCATTGGACTTGACGAGAGCGCGTCGCTTACGGGTGGTGGTGAAGTAATACAGGAGGACGAGGAAGAGAATCGTTCCGGGGATATGGATGAAGGAGTAAGTACGGTTGGTCCATCGCATCAGGTTGGGGTGGTGGAGGAACCAGTCCTGGATTGGTCGCTCAATGAAGATGCCCAGAGCTTGCTCAATGTGAACAAGCTGCAGAGCATGCTTTCGGGCAACATCAACAGTTCCCTCTACAAGGGTGAGGGCTGTGAAGGCTCGACCAAGTTGGTAGACCTACAGAAAGAGAAGAAAAAGAGTGAGACAAAGCCCTTGCAGAAGAGAGATGTTGGGATCGAGGGACAATGGAGAGTATGCATGGGCCCATTGGGGAGCAAGCACCACATCACCCAGATGGAGGGGGAGTGCGACTATCAACGAATGCCAGGGAGGAGAAGCCACTTACCCAGTAGATCAAAGCCCAATACCAGGCTTCAACGAGGAAAGGAAACTTTTGTAGCAGACGGCTAAGCAGCCTGTCCTTGAAAACTGTAGTATTCGGCGTCGAAACGGTGCGTTGATACCGGAAAAGGCGGATTTTCCGATTTCGCCATCTGGACTGCTCTAAGGGGGAGAGTGTGCCAGAATTGGACGCCCAATCTACAGAGGCATCCCTGTCCGAGAGTTCGGAGTCCGAATTTCGGCGTCCGTAGTCGTCGGATCGCTTTCGCGCGTGGCCAAGCGGCGAGTAGGAGACGAGGTTGGAGACGACGTTATCCCGGCCGAGGGTGCGATTGAACCACGCTCCTCCAAAGAGGAGCGTGATGACCACGAGGGGCTCGGCGAAGGCGCCGATGCCCATGATGGATGGCTTGCTGGGGTGATTGACGTCGGAAGGGTGGTGGTGATGGTGTTGATTACGGTTGTGTTGTCGTGGTCGTAGTTGGCTGGGGGGGCAGAGCGGGAAGGAGAGGAAGGGATGACAATCGTCTTTTTAAGGTTCGCCGAGAGATGGGAAAATCGCCGAGATGGAAGGATCGGAAAAACCGTGGGGGATGGCGATGGTTTTCAAGAACAGGAAAATGCGATGATGATCCACCCTTGAACAAACAGCAACGACGACGACCGCTGACAGTGTCGGCTAGATGTCAGGATTGGGTTAGTTGTAACTTGTGGGTTTTGGGTTGACGACGTGAAAATGGTTGAAACGAAGGGTTGGGAATATGTGGAGCTCGGTGCCGCGTACATCAATACAATTGAGGCGCAGGGAGAGAGTCAGTCTTGTTTGACTTTTTTCATGACCAAGGACCCGGGCCTAGCATCAAAAGGAGAGAAGAAGAAAAAAAGAAAATCAAAAAAAAGAGAGAGCCGGAGTCAAATATGGCACTGGAGCAAGACCAAGTGGAACAAAAACCCAAGAGAGATAAAACAGCGTGGGAAACGGACGGGAGAAGCAGGCAGTGCCCTTAATACTCTGCGATCTCTATCCAATCCCATTAATATCGGGGAGGAAGAAGGACCCGAAGTTTGGTCTACTCGTGGGGTACACAGCCTAGTTGCTGCGCTGTCTTGGTGTCTCGCCTTACCACGAGCTATTAGGGAACATTAGGGGAACATCCAAAAAGCCTTGGTGCGTATCATTTCCCAGTTTCCAATCCGCAGGTCCCCGTCGCCGAGTTTTGAGTTCTCCTCCACCCCTCCCCAGGCACAAAATCTGGTACAAATTACAATTGATTTGGTCGATGCTACTTGGGAATCTTCGGACGCGATACAAATTGTCCCCTTGGATTGCATTGACAATCAAACTGTTGAATGCAGTTCTCCACAGTGTACCCTGTGTACCTTGTTTTGTACTTGATACACCGCTCCCATACAATGCCAGCTCCCAAAGCTCTCGACTTCGAAGGGGTGTGTCCACCCTCTCGTCTGGTATGACTGTCGTGTGCTCCGTCGGTGCACGGTTCAATTAATGCAGCACTAGGTCGGGCAACGGAGCACAGGTCCATCCCAGAATCCCGTCGGATTTTGGGAAGTGGAGCGATCTTGATGCCATCACCTCTTGGGCTCATTATCGAGAGATACGATTCTGGGGGAAAGAAATTGGCATCAATCATGCTAGGGCTGGCTGGCAAAACTTTACGACGTGTTTCGAGGTACGAAGGATCGAGTTGGTGGAACGGACTCTCCTCGCATACGTATTCAGATTGCGAGTCCGCCAGACGTATCCGCGTATCTGATGCGGCTGTGCGCACATTTCAATGATTTGATGAATATTGGGTATTGGCAGTCTGCCCTTCCAGCCAAGACTGGCCGGTCCAGTGAGTACAGCCAACACAGCCCAACAAAGTACCTCGTACATCTGATTCTTCAAACTATTGTCACTGCTCACCCCCACAACGGCGATCAAAACAAAGTAGAAGTACACGAAAATGGTGTATTACGCGGTACTTGCGGAGCGATCCTACCATTTGATGCAGGTCAACACTCGACACCAAACATTCAATGCTACTTCTACATCAACCAATTGATCAATCTTTCCTTTTGTTTCAGGCTTTCTATCACATCTGTTGGTTATAGAGTTCGGACCATTACCAAAAGGATGAGTAGAAGGAAAGTCAATGTGCCCATTTTGGGTTATTATGAAGCGTTAAGGTGAGTCCAGAAGATTACATCGAGTCCAGATCAGGACTTGTTTACTTGGAGATACTTTTGTACTCCGTCATACTGGCTCGCACTCGCTCGACTTACCCTTGCTTCGTGTCTGTCTGTCCATTCGTCGTAATGTGCTGTATAGAGTATGATAGAAGTACGTATGCCCTTGTGGTGTGGGGCCCGTACCATCACTCAGTAAGTTTTAGCGCGTCTCCCCCTGCTAGACTTTTCGCTTTCCTCGCACTTGCCACGAAGGGGCCCCTGTTTGACGCTATCCTTGTGGTGGAGGTCCGCCCGTTTCTTCCACAAAGTCGGCTCGGGGTATTGATGACGTCCGTTGCTCCGCTCGAATGTGGACTCCAAAGCGGGCGACCGAGGCCGAGAAGAAAAAGGCTGTCAGGAGTTGAAAGTGCAGTCGGTGTCCGAACCCCGATCTTGACTGTTGTGTGAAGTGCGGAGCAAACTTGAGATGTTTTCTTGAGTTTAAAAGGGAAAAAGGAGGCATATTTGAGAGCCAAGACCCTGTGTTCCTGACGATATGCGGCCGAGAACGAAAAAAATTACCCTCAATTTTGTCACTCAGCATGCCAAGACCCAAGGAACCGGTCGGAAGGAATAAGCGGCATCTGTCAGCGATGCAAGCGTTCACTTTGGAAAAACCGCTATGGTAAACACTGACAGCAGTCGACATGATTTGCGATAGCCCAGTGCTACAACGGGACGTTACCCTTCCTATTCCAATACGCCCTATCCAGTAGCGCCGGGTTTGAAATGGGAAAAAAAGTTCGCCGAGCGGGGCGACTTGGGTAGACCCGGCACACAGAGCAAAGTCTCCGACTTAAAAAGGAGAGAAAAAAAAAAAAAAAAAAAAAAAAAAAAAGGAAAAAGCTTTTCGTCCGAAGGAAATCGGCGACTCGGCCAGCCCGAATCCGGCTCCGAACTCAAGCCCCACGTTTTATTTCCCCCTTCGCGGAGGATCTTCCCATTGTCTGAAGATCTCTATTTTTAGTAGGGTTCGACCGAGGCTCGGTGTGAATCCCGACTTGACTTCTGACTTCGAAGGCATTCAAAACGGGCTTTACGGCATGTGAGCCAAACGAGCCAAACGCCGACGCATGTCTTTGTCTCGGGACAAATAGGGCCCTAATGCGAGAGGTTTATCCCGATTTCTCCCAAGTGAAGCCCAATCGACCTCGATGCTGAGTCAGCGAGTATTCTTGAAATCGACTTGGAGAAATGTTGCAAATATCAGCCTTCCACCTCTCGAAGTCAGGCGCCAAGCATCTTACAAGTCAACAGACATCAAAGCAATGTCGTATCAACAGTCCGTGTGCCCTCATCCGACCTCCCTACATCGTACATGAAAACAATATAATACGACTTCATCAAAGCAGACAGGCTCTGAATGGACGGTTTTGAGCTTGGCATACCGCTTAAGACCTAACGCCTAATTGCTCACTTGAGATATTCACGTGATAGATATTACTCTTTCGACCATTCTGGCTTCTTGGGCAGGGCGAGATGAGCGGTCTAGACCTCGCCTAACACGCATCTGGACCTGTCTGAGCGTTTCTGCCCGCATCTGTTTGATGCTTGATGCTTGATGCTAAATGCGTGGTTTCGCACGCCTTACTCTCCTAGTCATAACCAACCACCCGAAATGAAAAGAAGGAGGGGAAGGATGAAGAAAATAAGAAACCACGAAGGTAAGAAAAAGGCACCGCAAGGGAGCTTATAAACTACCTAAATCTAAAATATCTTTACCAACACGTGCATCGCCACTCAAGATGGTCCCTTCAAAATTAAACGGAGATCTGATAGGTTAGCAATCGATAATAAAATTATCGCCTCACCTCTTCACTGACATCATCGATCCGAGATGATCGTGGGGGAAATGTCGAAATATCGCGATTGTGCGGTCCAATCCATCAACAATGATGTAGAGTCTGCCGACGGCGGTTGCCGCCCAGACTGGTCACTCCACGATTGTCAATCGTGGAATGATCCGAGGCGAACCCTTAATACCCGCATGGCTAAATGAAGAAAGAAAACAAGACGAGCCCAGCCTGCAAGCCTCCAACGTCCGACGCCGCTAATTTGGCTTACAGCTCACACTGCAACCCAATTGAGAGTGGCAGGCTCGAAGCATTGATATTAATATTTCAAGTTTCTCCTTGTACAAGTGAATGAGGGCAAAATAGTCGCTTCGCAAGAGGAGAGAAACTTAATGATGGGAAACGGATAAAAAAAGAATTAAAAAAATGCACAAAGTCATGAGATGCCCGAAACCATGCAAGTTCCTCGCCGTTTGTGGCATACCGCCGGCGAATAAGAGGGCAGGGACGAGACCCTTGAGGCCCGGCCGGAGGACGGCGCATCCCCCGCGAAACTGCGCTGCAGAGCAGGGAACGACAGAGCCTTAGCGAGAAGGTTAGTGCGATCGAATGGTTGCTCAGGAGGGGCCGAGGAGGGGCAACGATTGGTGGGGTCCAAGGTCATGAGGGGCTCCCGCTCTGTTGCGGTGCTGCTCAGGGCTCGGCGGGCCACTCCGATTCGAGATCAACACTCAAAGGACTGGTCCCCGTCGAGTGGCACTCGGACCACGGCTGGTTTTGTATCAATTTGGATTCAATTTCGATCTGGTCCGTCATATAGATCGTGAAAAGGACTATGATCTACAATCTTAGGCCAACTCAGCTTCTTGTCCCTTCATTTGCGAGAGTGACTCTAAAGGCCCCAAGGGAGAGAACAAGGACGTCATCGATGGAGCCAGGGAAGAAAACGAGGCGACATGGCCGCGGAGGAGTTCATGTCGGGATCTTGTGACGTCCCCCCTGTAAGTGTTTGGACTGGAATGGAACATGACAGCCCCCGCCAAATTCCCCAGTCCCTCAATGCGACAGATACTCGAATACTCACCCACATACGGAGTACTTCGTACAGACAGGCTACAGCAAAAGCACACGGGCAATGACAGGTAGGAACAGTTGGTTCGTTCGTATTGTATTGGCATCCCCATGTCCATCCATGTCGATGCAATATGCGATGTGCAAGTGTGCAGGTGCAGGGCGCACAGGGAGGAACCAGGCGATCCCATCCAACGAAATCAGGAGAGCTCGAGGTTCCGCACCTCAGACCAGGCCAGCCAGGCGAAACCGAGTCTAATATCAAATATACCTGGCCGCTCCCCGCAAAACGCTAGCTGTTGCTTGTACGCATACATGGGTTTTTGGCTAGCTTTGGTTTTTGATCTGACCCCGTGGCACGTCACCGACCACCGCTTACCACTGACCCTTCGACGCAAAAAGTTTAGATTGGTTCGTCTACCGGTGTAAGTCAAGCTATGTGCTACGTTCTGCGTGGGTTTCGCGTTGGATTCGAAGTGACAATGGATGAACCGCCGCTCAGATCAGATCCTTCATCCATCCCGGTCCATCTTGCTCCGTTGGTCGTAGCAAGCTAGAATAGCCAAGACCTAGATGCTTCCTTCGTATTGATGCAGTGCATCCAATATTGATCCCAGCCTCGATCTCTGTTTGAATGAGCATATAAGGGAGCTATGCCGTACTACTTTGTAGACAGACACCCTCACCCCATAAAGTCCCTGGCCATTCCATTCCATTCCTCCCTCGAGAGACTCCGCGATCAAATATTCGATATTTCCAAATGCGTAGAAAAGCTCAAGCTCAAGATCTAGCTCAAGCTGAAAACTGAAGCTGTCCGCATCGCTACAATCATTCAATTGATGGCAGATGGCGTTCTCCACATTACGGTCACAAACATCGAGATCGACATCATCACCTTTCGCCTGACGAAAAGCCATTGAAACTCAAAAATCGTACAATTACAAGATCGGCCCAGTACTCGCATTCCCCCTCCCAACATAGTACCAGCCTCCAGGTTAGAAAAAAATCGCCCCGGAGAACGACGAAAGTAGACTCGCCACAACACATCCCGAGAACCGCCCGTCTTTTTCTCACCTTTTTTTTTTCTTCTTTTTTTACCTTTTTTCGTCGTTGGCGCCATTGCTTTCCCCTTTCCCCACCTCCTTCTCCAAAAAGAACTTCAAGTTTTTTTTTTCTTGTTTAAGTGCCTTGGGGTCCCTTGTCCAAAGTTGCCTCGCGGTTACAACTCGCTTTCTTGGTCTCTCCTCTCCTCCATTGTCTCTTCTATTCCGATTTTACCGATTTTACCGCAATTCCAATCCTCGCGCGAGTAATGGATATTCCGCTTTCGGCCTTTGATCTCTTTGTTATAGCTCCGTCTACCAGTCCGCGTCGATTGCTATTCAAAGAGTTCCAAGAAATCACAAAGTTATAAACCATTGGGTCCCTGTCGTCATCGTACGAATCGAAACCACCTGACGATCTCGACAGTCATTGAAAAGGCGATAAGACACAAGGAACAAGTTCGCCAAGCCCTTTGAGCTGCCACTGTCCTTCGCCCCCCAAAGGAGTCTCCAATAATACCCCGCAGCAAACCCAGAATCATCCAGCCCGGGGCATCACACGCACTGAAAGCAACGCCCTGTTGCCCCCAGCCAGGCCATACAACCCACAAATAACCAACAGCAGTTGGAGTTAGAGTCACACACCCACTCACCACTCCCTGTGGCACCATCCAGGTCCCCCAAATTGTCCATTTATCGTCGCCCATTCCGCCCCTCCCCGCTCCAAAGTCCATAACAATTATATTGGGCTAAACTGGTCTATTATTGATCGAAAAAAAGTCTCTTCTTTTTCTTTATTCGACAATGCACCCCAACCTCTTAAGCGTCGCCAACATCTTCCGCTCAAGGACAGAAGGCAGCAACGTTCCGGCGAAGAATCAAACCGCCACCTTGCGCTCCTCGCGGTACTCCATCGACCGCGTAGATTCCCACGCCACGGGCTCGTCCGCAAATACTTCTTCTGCCAGCATTGATCACGAAAGTGATGAATCGGCCTATACCCACCGACCCCTGCCGCCCATGGACACACAACAACCAGTCGCCGACGACGACTCCACCTCTCAACAATCGCGACAGCAACAGCAGCAGCAGCAGCAAACACAACAACGACCACCCTCTCCACCCTCGCCCTCTCTATCCTCAATTCGGTCGAGTCTCCTCCATGGCCATTTCCCCAGATTAAGCGAAGACGGTTCGCGACCGCAAATTCCTCCCAAGAGGAAGCGCCGCTTCTCGTTTCCGCTTCCGCTGCCTTGGATATTCAAGGACAACGATACCCCGCCAGCCCCCGCATCGCTCGACTTCGTCATCGAGTCCCCTCCCGTCCTCTTCCACCTGGATCCTGAACGCAGCACCGGCGCATTGGTCTCGGGCCAGGTGCTCCTCGATGTAAAGGAGGACTCGATTGAAGTGAGCGAGGTCAAGGCTTCCCTCGTTTTGCGCATCGTGCAGAAGAAGCCGTTCCAGGGCCACTGCGACGACTGCACGACGCATGAGGAGGAGTTGCAACAGTGGAGCTTCTTGACACAACCCCTAACTCTATCTCGAGGTACGAAACTATGAACAACTTACACCACAATTTCTACCCCTCTCTCCCCAATGCCTTGATACATTCGCCAAAAAAAAAAAAAAAAGGAAAAGAAGAGAGAAAAAATTGCTAACACCACACCCACCTCAGGAACACACCAATTTCCCTTCACCGGCCTCCTCGATGGACACCTCCCCATAACAACCGACACCGCCCTCGTCACCATCTCCTACCACCTCATCGCCACCACCCTTGTCTCCCGGCCCCCTTCCACCACCCGCGCCCCCACCAGCGGCTCCAGCAGCCCCGGCGCCATCCCCATCACCAACTCGCGCCTCATCCCCGTGCGCCGCAGCCTACCCGAAACTGACAGCCCCCACAACTCCGTGCGCGTCTTCCCACCCACCAACATCCGCGCCAGCGCCCAGTACCAACAAGTACTGTACCCGAGCGGCCGCAATAACATCACCATGTCGCTGGATGGGCTCACCTCCAAGCTCCCGCAGGACGACTCCCTCGAGTGCTGGCGCCTCAAAAAGGCCTCGTGGCGCCTCGAAGAAAGCATCAAGACCGTCGCGGAGGCCTGCACGCGCCACGCTTCCGTCATCACGGATACGGCCGAACTCGCTGCCGAGACTAATAAGAACAAGATCCCTCGCACGGAGACACGCGTCCTCGGTGAGGAGGTCGTCTGTCGCGATTGGAAATCTGACTACCTCACCGCCGACGGCCACCTCGAGCTCTTCTTCGATTTCGGCATGCATCCTTCCATGCGGAAACCCCCGCCCGTTCACCACCACCATCATCATCACCACCAGCCGTCGTCCCGCTACGCCTGCGACACTACCACGCCCGAGGGCGTCCAAATTACTCATTCCCTCCTCGTCGAACTCATTGTGTCCCGCGCACGTGCTTTCGCCTCTCGGCCTGATGACCTCGTGGATACGGGGATGGGCCGTATTCTGCGCATGCGCTTCAAGGTCAATCTCACGGAGAAACCGGGCTCCAGCGTCGCGTGGGACGACGAGGCGCCGCCGATGTATGACGAGGTGCCACCTAGTCCGCCGAGGTATGAGGATGACGAGAGTGACGCCGGCGGCGCTGATGACGAAGACCCCGAACCGATTTACGCTGCTAGGGACAGTGTGGATTGGAGAGAGGCTGATCGCTCATTTTCTTCCTCTGCTTCTTCTACATGATGGCGGTTTATTTTATTTTGTCTCTCCCTCTCTTTCTTTCATTATTATTTCTTAATTTTTGTTCATAAAACGATGCATCAATCGCGTCAAAACGAATTTTCCTTTTTTGGGTAAAGATTTTCACTCGTTGCCGGAGTTGGACAGTCCGCACGGGTTTGTGGAACAGGGCACAGGTGAAGAGATGGTGTTACAATAGGGATGCCCAGTTATGATAGCTTGAAAAGTCTCATAGACCAAATGATACCCTCACGTATATTATCATGATTGCATTCATTCTGGTAATCTCTCGACATGCGTAAGCGGTTAGTGTCTAAATTACCGCCCTTTTATTGTGTGACTGACGTCTTCTAAGTACTTAAGTAGTTCTGACGAGGATTCGGGATTGGCACAACATGAGCTTCCATTTGAAAAATCGAACACAGAGGGCTTCACCGAAACACCCCTCCTGTCGAAACACAAAAATAACGCTGCGTACCTGATCAAGGATTGAAATATCGTCCGGTAACACCAACAAACTAGAGGGAATCCGAAATTTAAGGCGGCGATCTTCACGATGACTGCAGAGGTTGCCCCATTTGACATGTTCGACTCAAGTGGCGACAAAAAGAGGTCTGGGGGCCGCGAGTCTCGATGCTTGAGCCTAAGAGTCGTTGATAGGAACTCCGATGCCGATATCCTACCATGTTGTGGACTTATCTTTGCTATATCGCTCTCCAGAGAGTACCGTGACTGGGCGAAGAGCACCACGCAAGGCTCTTGCTATATCTTGGGGAAGCTGCGTGCGAAGATGCAGGGCGGAAGGGCCCTTGTATAGACGAAATTACTATCGCTATTGAAGTAGTTGAATAGGCCATGGGGTTCAGAGAACAAGAGGCTGTTGCAGGCACCAGATACGGAATGCTACCGAGAGACCATTAATGACGCTAACGACTATCTCTCTTTTCTATACGAAACCTCATCCCGCTAGCAACGTCGCCTCTATAGTCTCTCCCGTGGAGTTTATAGATCCTTATAATCTTCCCGAGTGGAGAGAGGAATGTTGCTGAAGAAGAAGATTTCCAGTCTTCGTGCTGCCTACTTGACAGCTATAGCCATGAGACACGATGAGGAGATCAAAGAGTGTGAGAGTACGAGAGCAAGTAATATTCAGAACGCCGCCCGAGGCTGTCAGGTTGTACAACAGATAGAGAGAGAGGCATCTGCCCAAGGCCTATTTATAACGGGGCCCAACCCTAACCGTAAGGACCTCAGCGCTAGCTTCAAGCATGGGTTGATCGTGTAACCGCAAATTTATACGTACTGCAATTAGCATCTCAGTCCCGGTCAACTCCTGGAAAGCGTTGATGCAGAAACAACACGGATGAAGCCAAATCATGCAACTATATATTATATTATATATTATACATTTTGTATGTCAAAGCCTTGTGTATAGCCAAATATTTTGTTCGCCAGCCTTCTATCTTTCTTTACCAAGTGGTCATAGACACAGCAGCCAGCCCAATGGTCGCCACCATCCAAACATCAAAGGCGCGGCCAGCAACACCATTCGGCTTATCCGTCTCCGCTGGGCCTCCCTTCACCCCAGAGCCACTCGTCGCAGTCGGGCTCGCCGCCGTCGAATCGCCCGTAATCTGCGCCGCGGCCTTAGCAATACACTGCGCATGCGCAAGCGTAGTATTCAACCAAGGCCCAGCAAGGAACTTGTCAGTCATAGCCTTGTACCAGTAGTGCGGGCACTCCGAGGCTATCTCGTGGGCGGTGGAGCTTCGCCCCGTCCACCACGACAAGGCCGCGCTGGCCCAGGAGGAGTATTCTGGGAGGAGGCTAGGCGGCGCGGCGGTGGAGATGCCGCACTGGCGATCGTACTCGGTGGCAGGGAGACAATCTAGGGCCGCTTCTCCGGTGACTGTGCATGACTCCTCGTAGAGCTGCCCGCCGTAGCGGAGGATCTCATCTTCTAGAGCGCCGGTTGGCATGGGGAAGTCGAAGTACTGATAGACATTCTTTGTGGCGCATTGCCAAGAATCTGACGTGCCGGTTGGTGTCTCGGAAGGGAGGATGACGCTGAAGTCGATTGAGAAATCTTGTGCAAACACTGTGGCTGCGCTCTGAACGAATAGAAGGTGTGTGGACTTCATGTTGGGATGTCGGTCTTGGAGAGAGAAGTGAGAAGTTACGCAGGTCTCCGGAAAGAAGAAGAAAAGAAAAACGAAAAGAGAAAGACCTAATGGAAATGAAGGTGTTGGTTGAGATGGGGGGTGGTGGAAAGGAGAGGAGGCTCTTTGGTATCGTGAGGTGGTGATGGGTGGTGTTTGGAAGAGGCTTCAAACTTGGGTCGCGAAGCACAAGAGTGACCAGACCCTCTCCCGCCCCTTGTAGGGTCGTTTCGATCACTGCTTCTTTCTAGCGTGTTTCTGAGTGGGACTGGATGGTGGAGAAAGTAATTTCAATCTACCCTGCTTGCCAAGCAAGACGGCATCTACCCAACTTCTAGTTCAAACTTTTGTCGTTCGTCACACCACGGAGCTTGGTGTCTAGGAAGTCGTGGGTAACGGGAACCTTCGTCTCCTAGATAGGGCTCCCTTCAACACATTGCGTGCAACCTCTAGCACTCGCTCTTCTCATAACATGCCATGTCGCGCCATGTCGCGCCAGTCATGATCGCAAAAGATGCCCTCCGTATCTCAGATGGGTCATCTAATCTCGGGATGCACGAGAGTGGATTGTACGAGGTGGGAATCTCGAGAGATGTAACCCTGTGTTGGTTGAATCTAGTTCGTTCATTGGTCTAAGCTTCCTGCCCATGCGTCGCAATGCCCGAAGCATTAAATCGGACTCCTGTGCAACTTCAGTCCCTGTGTCACATAAAACTGTTCGACTCTGGAGCTCATGCGTGACTTTACCGGAACCGGGACCGAGTGGGACGCGACCTCGGGCTAATGCACAGGAATATCTTGTGTATGCCTAGATCATGGGGATTATCGAGAGCCGCAGCGATATCCAAGCATTCCACGACGGGGCTTCGAACCTGGATATCTCGCTCTATCGCGAGCTACTGACGACGTTGAACCTCGAAGTCTTATATCTGAGAACCGTCCTACTCAGTATGCGCCCTTCGAAATCAAATTGATTTCCGAGGACAATTACGGAAGTACGACTAGAGAACATGGCCTTGCGAAAGGCTGATGAAGACAGCTGGACTCTTAAGTAGGGGTTTCTGAAAAGGGAGACTTAATGGAACATCTCGAAGTAAGAAGGGAACATTTAAATGGTATAACTCAGGTATCCTGCATTCAAAGTACGTCTAAAAGCATTAACATACTGAAAGGACTATTAAGTACTTCCCTCCCTTATATCTTGAGGTTCTCTTTTCATATTATTTTCTCCTTCGTTGCCCCCATTTTTCATGTTCCTTTTCCTCGAATCAAATTTGATACTTTTTTTTCCCCTTCTTATTCTGGACCTCCATGAATAGACATTAGACTATGTTAATACCATCAATTAAAGTTTTTTCTTTTTTAGGAAATGCGGCTAGTCTCGGGATTGACAAGGGGAGCGGTAGTCCCGCCCGTGCCGGGGAACTCGGCCGTTTGGCGGACAGCCGCGGGGTTTCCGTTCTCAAACTGGCTGGCTCCGAGGCTTCCCTGCTGCCCCTGCTTGCCGGTGGGGTCGGGTTCGGTCTTTAGACCAGTTGTGGTGGCAAACTCACCGCCCTGCTTCTGCTGCACGTATCCAATGCCGCCAGTAACACCGCCACCATTGCCGGTGTGACCCGTGCCTGCGCCTGTGCCTGCGCCTGCAACGCCGCCGCCGCCGCCGCCGCTTCCGACCGTGGGTCCGGAGTAGGTGCTGCTGCTGCCGATGGGAGCAGTGCCCACCGGTTTCTGGTAGCCGCCGCCGTCGATGCCAGTTTCGTTGGTGTACGTGGTGGATGTGGTTCCGGTGCCCTGCTGTTGGCCGATGTTACCCTGACCTTGCTGGACGTAGGTGTCGCCGGCGCCGGTACCCTGCTGCTGGCTGTAGACGACGTTTCCAGTCTTCTGGGCTTGGGCCTGCTGCTGAGCCTCCATCTTGGCCTGGCTCGCCCTCTGCCTCTCCTTCCTCCTAGACTCTTCAAATGTCTTCCTCTGTCCCAGCTTCTTGTCGATCTTCGGAGCGCGGGGAATGTCCCTGCTGTGGCTGGCATGGCCAATCGAGAAGACAGGACTCTCCCAGGCTTCGCCCTCCATAGACATGTCCTTGTACTTGGTGGCTCGCTCGCTAGTAGCGCCCGGGAGTTTGACGTCGGGGAAGATGCTGTCGTGCATCGTATAGGCAATGTTAACCTTCCTGGGGATAGGCTCGCGCTCCCTCGCCCTCAGACGAGCCTCCTCCTTCCGGTGCTCCCTGTATTTTTTAGCAGAGCTGTAGTAGCGGTTGTATATGGTAGACCTCTTAAAGCCTGCCTCGGTCGCGGCGCGGGCGCGCTCATCTTCGAGAGTGTGCCTAGCGTCCTGCTGGATGTCGTACAGGATAGCGTCCCACTTGTTGAATTGCTCCTTGATATGCTTTTCGACAATCTTCTGGATGACGGGTCGCATGACCCTGACGAGGATAGGTTGGAGAAGTGCAAAGACCACCTTGAACTTGGACTTGACAAGCTTAATCTTCAGATTTCTGATGTCGACGTCAACTTTTTCGACCTTGAAGAACCTCTGCATGTCATGCCTTTCGGCAGTGGAAACCCGGATCTCCGAAGTAAGACCACTGCCGCCGAGGAACACATTGACGATGCCGGTATCCTGGATCGCGGGGAATCCCTGCTTCTTGTGGATGTAATAGTTGACGTCACGGAGATCCATCTGGATACCGCCGACGCGGACGTCAAATACCTGGTGCTGGTCGTTGGGAATCTTCTTTCGGCCCATCTTGAAGTAGTGACTGCTCTTGACTTCGACGAGGTTGGGGAAGATGTTGTCCGCCTCGACGATGAGGTTTTCGACGACGGCGTCAATCATGGGATCCGAGTACTCGATTCGGGGGATGGGGACGTATTCGATAGACTCGATGGCGGCAGGGATGATGACGCCGGTTAGGTCCTTGACGAGATGGGGCTTGAACACCAGTTTTCCGGTCTCATCGTTGCCGAGATGCTGGAAAAGACGCTGAACGGCGAGGCCAAATTCTTTGTTCTGAGGGTCCTTGTCAAACTGCTCCGAGACGAACCGGGTCTCGTCGATGATGCGATCGGTGTTGGTGCGGTACTTGTCACGGAAGAGATAGCGACCCCGTTCATAGAGCTCGTCCCAGTCGCGATTGGAAGCGTCCTCGACAATATAGCCCTCCTCCAAGAGGCAGCGTCGGATGTAGCTGTCCATGTTCTTGAACCAGCCTCGAAGCTCCTCGTCATGGCGAGAGGCCTCGAAGAGACTATCAACAGAATCCCACAGAGGATCGGTGGAGGTGCCGTTGGCAAATCGCTCAATGATGGTCTTGAGGTCGTCCTGTGCCTTCTGGAGTCGCGACCGGGTCTGCTGAAGTGTACCGGTTCCGCCCTCCGACATGGAGCGGCCGTAACGGCCGTATTCCTCGGCGAGATCCAGGAGAGTCTCGACAGAACGAGAGTAGTCGGGATGATGCTGGCACTCTAGGATCATCTTCTTAAGTCGCCAAATAGTCTGCTTCTTGCGCTCCTCGGGCATCTTCTCGTGGTAGTACGCCCGGAGGCGACGGCGGTAGTCCTCATTGCGCTGCCTGAACTTCTCGCGATCCTTCTCGCTGACCCTCTCCTCGTACTTCTGCTTCAACTTATCTCGGGTAGAAAGGCGGGGCCCACCCTTGGTTTTGTCGGAGGGTTTGGCGGCTCCTTGAACGTCTTCCTTAGGCTTTCCACGGTAGACACCTTTGAGTCTCTCCCTCATACTCTCCCTGGAGAATTTCCCCTTGGAGAATTCGGGCTTCTCATACCAGGTGTTGTCTTCAGCAGGTTTATCAATCTGGCTGAGCTCTTCCTCAGTTGGTCGGACAAGGCCGGCAACGTTGGTGGCCGCATCGCCAGCCATGTCTCGGAAGAGGACGGTGAAGTCCTTGACTATATTATACCGTTAGCCTGCCTTACCTCAGAAGCTCGGTTGATGACCCGCAAATGCGGAGAGGGGAAAAGGAAATGAAATTACGTACGCAGCTTGCGGAACTGGCCATTAGTGATGATGAGGGTGCCGAGATTTCGCAAGCCCTGAACGGCCTGATCCCCGTGTTTCTTGGCGGTTGCTTTATCGACTGGGGCGTGCGGGCCCTCTATGCCCGTGGGCCTGAACTGCTCGGACTCCCAGATGAAGTCCTGGAGAATATTGCCCTCATTCTTGGAAAGGAAGAGATACTTGGCGAGTCTGACGACCTCGCGAGTATCAGCAACCAGAGACTGTCCTTCTGCGGAAAGCCTGCCAGAAGGAGACTTGAGAGCCTTGGACTCGAGGAAGCTGTTCAAGGCAACATCGACTTGTTCGTTCTTGATTATATAGGTGTTAGTTTCATAGGAGCTGTCCTCGAGGCGCATTACTTGCCAACTTACCGAAGGAACCTTTCCGGCCTTGAAGGCGCTGTAGATGCCGTAGAGCTGGAGCTTGGACTCGATGTTGTCATCCCGGCGCTTGATGTTCGTCGGTCTATTCACTGACGTTCCCACTAGTGCAGCCATTGTTTCTAGTATCTGTAGCGGGTATTACAACAACTTGAAAAAGATTTGCTAGCAAGATGACACTAAAGTGAAAGAAAAAGAAGGAAATATGTTGAAGGTATCGTTGACGGAGGTGGTTTGATATTAGGTGGAGTCTCCTGGGTATCAAGTAGAGGTAGGAGATAGTTTCACCAAACTACGTAACCAGATAGTCGTTAAATGTCAGATTATAACCTTGTGAAAAGAAAGGGGAGAAGAAGATAAACTCGGATCACGAAGGGATGGAAGAGGGCGCCTGGTTTATACTCATGAGCTGGGTTCGCGGGGAGGACATGATTAAGACGTCACACACTTGACATCCAGAATTCGATTGGACAATCAGACAAGCTGTAGTTGGGAGGATGTAGTAATGACACCATCGCACCGTCTCCTCGATCGAAGAGGGAAGAAGAGAGCTGAAGAAAGCTCAATAGCTCAGGTCACGACCCGAGATGGCTTCGGAAATTGTTGCGTCGAGTTGTTGCGTCGAGTTGTTACGTCATGGAGATGTAGCTCCATGGCGACATGTTTGTACCTTTGACTAATCGAGCAGTCTTTGCTTCCGCCACTTCGCTTAGCAGTGAAAGATCACCGTGGCGGTCTCCGTTACTGCTCGAGGCACCGAAGCAAACCGGGAATACAGTTCATTAGCGGCGCCATAACCTGGTTGCGACTCTGCGTAAGACCATCGATACACTGGGTGACCAGGGTGTACCCGCTACATGTGCCCGGACAATGATCGATTGACCGCTGATTGCACCGAGTGTCAAGTAGAGGCGACGTTCACGACGATATGGATCTGGTTTCCTGATGTGGTCAAGCAGCAGGGGAGTTACGCAATGTTGACATCTCCATAGGATGGAGAATCGGCCTCGCGAGCGGTTAAATGGTGTCCTTCGTGAAGGCGTGTGCGGGTCTGGCGATGCCCTAACGCCACAAGGGCCCCAGCATGGGAAATACGGCAAAGGCATTGAAGCCTGTCCCATCACCAAAATGCTTGGAACTATGGCCTAGAGACAACAGAATGGCTGTAAGTATTGAAGCATCTGACCCTCCCTCCACCGGAAAGTTACTTGAGAGATTGATAGTTGAGAGCTATCCGATGGGAACATTGGGGCAGGAACATCGGTCCCGTTCCTTCTCGGAGTGTACGCGCCACCTAAAAGATGGAAAGCGTATGTAGGAAAGGAGGATGGGGGGCATCCATGGCATAGAAGCGCGCCGAACATCAATATCAATTGAACTTGAGAAGTGGGCTTCCCTTGAGATACCCAGTGTGACTAAGCTTGGACACTTTACGTTGAACTTCCAAGCTGAGAAAGACCATAATTACACAGTAATTATAAGCCAAGGGTTTTGAGAGGTTTGGTAGGGAGGAGCAAATAGGGGAAAGTTGCGGGCTCGAAAATGACGATATTGGATGAAGTCGAGACGTTAATCTATGTGGATCAAGCACAATTGCGCTGCAATTTGACTACCGGAGCCCGTTTTGACAGCTCGATGTCTAGCAATCGCTGGTAGCTCTAGTGTCTCGCTATATCCCTATCCCCTCACTTTCATTAAACACCAACCGGTCCAGAAATCCAGCAATCCACCGATGGTTTGATCTTGATGAGCCTCTCTTTACATAGGTCAGATAGCTTCTTCTAGTCAAGAGAAATCCGGCTTTCGTGCCTAGAACCTGCCATTTTACTCTCCTGTATCTCGGCGGGAAACTCGTTCGAGCTTTGGAGATGCAATAATGGAGAGATGCGAATGAACTCTACGTCGCCCAGGGCCGATTGTTCGAATTCTGAAGATTGACTTCACGTCGGGAGCAGCGTCTCGGGCACCTGTCAATCACACCACCACTCCCAGAGCCTAGACAATGGACAGGACCAACTGAGTTCATCGGAACCCCACAAGATAGAGCGCTGGATAAGGACTTTCCGGGGGATTGACTTGAAAATAACTTCAGACCGGTGCTCTTTAAACTCCTTGAGATGATGACGTAAATTCGAGGATAATCTTTTTCTTCTTGTGTGCGATTGCCTCTGGAGAGGGTAATGCCCATGTAAATCGATGGCGTCACTGTGGCTGTCGCTGTTCATGACTTTGCGAGTCTCCTCGATCGAGAGTCCCGTGGAGGTAATTATCGCAAGAGTTGTCCTTGTGTATGCGACTCCACTCGGCGGTGGCTCAGAGCCGGCAAGCAGCACGGCAAACAGATTGATGGAACTCTAAAGCCTCAAAGAAACAGGGTACGGCCAATGAAGATGCGAAAATTAGACATGCAAAATTTTAAGAATCGAACCGCCTGAACTCCTGCCAAGAGCAGATAAGCCGCCTCTATAGTTACAGCAAAATATCAAGTGCCCCTCTAGCAAACAGTAGGGGCGAACCCCTCCGACCATCGCAGGCCTCCCATGATAGCAATCATGATGAGAACAGACACCGAAACACTCACGGCACAATACTTGTACGCATGTGCCCGTCTAAGTGTAGCAAGCTCCAACACCCACGTAGACACGGTCGTCAGACAGCCGCAGAAGCCATCCTCTATGCCCTGTAGGACCTGGCATCCCACAACGCCTGCAATGGAGCTGTGGGACAAGTCCCAAGTCATCCCGAGGATGACCGCACCCAAAACATTAGCCAAGAAGGTCCCTAGCGGGAAGGATTTGATTTTCGTGTTGAAAAATATGGATAGGTAGAATCGTGCCAGGCACCCCGGCGGAGAAAACACCAGGGAAAATAACGCCTGACCTCTCCAGCGATCATTAGGCGGGAAAATCGCGAGGAAAATGGCTGCCAGCCACATCACCACAGCCAGAGGGACGGATATCCTGTCCAAAAAGTGGCGGATAAATCGGTAGGGCAACGAGGGCGTGAACGAGTCAAGTGCTGCGGCGAGATGCACGCCGAGGAAAAGACCGGCGAGCGACAGTGAAATGCTCGTGATGATGACCGAAACGAACGCCATGAATGAATAGCCACCGTTCCTTGACATCGGGGTCGCGATATCCGTAGGTTTCAAGTCGTTTGACAGGGCTAGAAAAGCATCACGTATAAAGGACGAGAAAGATGTGAATGAGCCGCAAAACCCCGTTGCGAGACCAATGTAGAGCGGTATCGTCTTCTTGATCTCCAGGTTCCTTCCTTTCACAGGCGGTGCGCGGGATGACGACGTCCGGTTCGTGGCCACCCTTGATACAACCGAACCAGAACGGCTCCGAGTACCTTTCTTTCCGTGTCGGAAAAGCATCCGGTCCTCCGTCAAGAACCCAATAACAAGGCTTCCTGCAAAGTTGGCCCATACAACGCTAAACGTAACCGGTGCTCCTGGATAGTGCGTGAGAGCCTGGAGCCCCAGTCTCGCCAGCGTACCAAGAAGGGAAAATATGACGAGGTAGCTATGCGTGTAAAGCTCCGTAGCGACGCGCGCCACTCTCTCTCGCCTTTGCCTCCTCAACTCCTCCTCAGGATGGCTTGGGAGTCGGGCAATTTCCTTTGGTTGAAGCGGTACGGGCTCGGCTCCGCGAGCGCCCTCGAGATCTGCAATATGATAGAGGTCGTGAAATGCCTCCTCGTGCACGGGCGACGGAGCCGCCAGCTCGTTGAGGTTGACATACTCCTCCGGCAGGTCATAATCGCTCTGTTCCGCGACGTCGGCGGTGTCTGTGGTGTCCGTGGCGTCCGAGCCCTGTTGCGGCTCGGGCCCCATCAGATAAGCCCGGTTCGGCATCTCGAGAGTAAGTGGCCGGTCTATGCCAGTTGATGATGATGATGATTCATCTTGTCCTTGTGATGGTGGCGGCCGCGTCCCTGAGGGTACAGCAGCCGGATCCATTCTGCAGCTGGTCTGGTATCTGTTCGCAAGATTCCACGGCGTGCATAGGCTGAGAGCGATTAAGCTGGAAGCTTTCCATCAATCACCTCATCGTTTCTTCATAACAGCGTTACGCGCAATCAATCGTCGTCGTGAACTAGAATGGAGTTGTGCTGTAAGACAGGGATGATCCGTCGTTAAAGCCGACCGGCCCGGTTTTGCCAAGAAGTCTCTTTCACTCTAAGCTCCTTCCCCTTTTGCTGAGCTTCGCTTATCTTATCGCTCGGACCCGCCCGCAGCAGCTCTAAAGCCCCGCCAAAATAAGAGCAACCCCGCCAAAGCCATCAATCCAAGTGTCAGTTGCTGCTCAGCTGCTCACGTCCATCCACACCTCACCATCTTGACCGGCCTGTCGCCCACCGAGCAGACCTCCCCTGCTCCCCAATATCCTTACACCGACACTGCTTGTTGAGGCCCGACGGTGTTGCATTCCCATCTATACCCCAAATCTCGAATGCAAGCTCTCGAATTCTAAATAAAACCCTATTTCCTCCTTCTTTTTACCTTTTCGCACCTATTCCTATACTTATCTTCATAATGACTGCCGCCGATCTCCCCTCCAATGTCCATGTCTCTACGCACCCGTGCCTCCAGGCCAAGCTCAGCCAGCTCCGGTCGGCGTCGGCGAATGCCCGGGAGGTGAAGGCGTTGATCCATGAGATTTCTACAATCCTAGGCTGCGAGGCACTGGCAAAGGCCGTTGTATCTACGCCGGGATCAAAAGTATGGTTTCGATAAGTTGGGCTTATCTAGATCAATAAATCAGTTATCTTTAGCTTGCTCTAACACTGATTTCATGGTGGAATAGGACAAGACGCCCTTGGGCTTCGAGTACACCACCACGGATATCTTCCCCAAGACTATGAGTCTCGTGCCCATTCTTCGCTCAGGCCTAGGAATGGTTGACGGTATGTTTACAATGTTTTTTTCCTCCGTTTCCCTTTTCTCTTTTCGCAATTGTCATGCTAATCCTCCACTCGTTATCAGCCATCCAAGGCATCCTCCCCCGCGCCGTCCCCATCCACCACCTCGGCCTCTTCCGCGAACCCACAACCCTCGAACCCGTCGAATACTACAACAACCTCTCCAACCACATCGCCGACCCCGAAGACCCCTCCCCCACCGCCGCCAGCAGCCTCGCCATCATCCTCGACCCCATCATCGCCACCGGCGGTACCTGCGCCGCCGCCATCCAGACCCTCCGCGAGTGGGGCGCCCAGAGAGTCGTGGTCATCTCCATTCTCGGGGCAGTCGGCGGTATCAAGAGGGCCGCTGAGGAGTGGCCCGAGGCTACGGAGGTTTGGCTGGCTGGCGTGGATGAGGAGATTACGGGGAGTGGCATGTTGAAGCCGGGGTTGGGTGATGTTGGTGATAGGCTGTTCCTGACGATTGGAAGATAATCGTAATATCATTATTATTAAAGGAAAATAGCAAGAATGCGCATTTTTTCTCAACCTTCTATCAAGCTTGGATGGGAACTTACGCCGAGACGCGATCAATTAGGCGAGGGAGAGCATCCCGGGGGTCTTCAGAATACTCTTTTAATGGTAAATGAATTTCGTGAGCATGCATATCTATAAAATTACACGACAGGGTACTCCTCCTCGTCAAGCAGCGTGCCCTCCTTCCAACTCTCCTCAACCCACTTACTCGTAACTATCCTAGGAATCTTCGACCTCGAGGCAATCTCCTTGCGCACATCGCCGACCCCTTCCTTCTCACCCCTTCCCACGGTAACAATATGCGTCAACTCCGGATCTCCCAAGTATCCTACAATCTTCCCACCTCCAAATCGTACATAATTCCCAAGCCTGAAACTGGCCAAGGTCGACTTGCCCTCAGCGGCGTCGGGATCGTGGAAGTAGACCACGCACCTGCCAAACATTTGGCCCCTCAACTCCTCGAGACCGTGTCCGTGCTCTTCGAGCTGGCGTAGAAAGAGGTCCTTGTCGAAGGGGTTGTGAAGACCCTCTAGCTTCGGCATATCTTTCAGAATTTCCGCGAGCTCGTCGACGTTGACATCTCGCGCGTAGCTGTCCCCGAACTGGTCCGTATTCCTATCAGAAGCGTGTTTAAGCTCGTCCGTAGCGTGGAAGAGATGGCCGTGTGTCTCATAGGGAAGTAAATAGCCCCCATTCGGCTGCGCAACGCAGTCCAATACCCATTTTGGCCGAATGATGTTGACGCTTCCCTTTTTCATGAGGCTGGCCACGCCGACGAGCTTCTTATCTGCTACTATTATCATACCCGTCTCGGGCGTCGGGCGCTGCATGATTGTTCCGCCGTTTTCTTTGATGATAGCTTCTAGTTGCGCCTTCGTCTTCTTCGTTGGCTTTACAGCGTCGCTCAGCACGCAGAATTCCAATCCTTCAAAGACCTTCGTCCTCGGACCGGAAAATCTGACAGGCGCGGAATCCGTCCCGGCGATCACGAGCTCCCGCTTGGCCCTCTTTGTCGGACGGCGCTTGCGGCTCTCAACTTTCATGTCTTTACTCTCCTGCTCTGCTTTCACCCTCTCTCGCAGAACTTGAAACTCATCCTCATTTAGCGCCGAGTCCCACGTCCTATCCAATCTCAGCCGCCGGAACCGCGGGAACCTCAGCGTCTGCCCAACAGCAAAAGACTTCGACTCCGTAACGCTCGCCCCCTTCACCGAGATGACGATGGAGTCCTTGGGCCGAATCCACACATCGGGCTTCTCAACCTTTTCGCCGCCAGCCAAGGTGATGTACTCTATCGGCGGTTTATTGGCATCCCACTTGGTCCACTTGCCCTCCGTGTGATGGCGGATCTCTGCATAATCCTCCACCTTGAAACCGCCACCGACTTTGAAGAAGCTCTTGCACTTCTCCGGGTTGGCGCCCGTCGCGATTTCGTTTTCGCCGACGCGGAGGCCGCAGAGGAAACTGGATAGACCACCGCCGCGGCTGCCTGAGCCGTAATAACCCCCGATAATGACACAGTCTAGCGACTCGCCGAATTCGTCCATGTAATCGGGTTTGACCTTTTGCCAGTCATCGTTACGGCTATTGAGCCGGTACATGGATCTTGGGTTCTTGAGGACGAGGCCTTCGCCGCCTTCTGCAATGACATTACGTAGCTCCGTCTCGATCGTATCAGGAGAGGTAGCTACGACGTGTGGATGGATTTCTAGACGGCGAGTCATTCCGAGTACCGCGCTCTGCAGGGCGCGGAAGCGGTCCCGAAGAGTGTATTGTCCGAGCTGCGTATCATTTAAGTAAAGGATATCGAAGACGAAGAATACAGGGCGCAGGTCCTTTTTCGCATCATCTTCGACGTTGCCGTTCTTTTCCTTGTTCGCCGCAGTCTTGAGACTGCCAAAAGCGTCCGGCTTGTCTTCCTTCATATTCCACGCAACCATTTCTCCGTCGAGGATCAAGTTTCGGACCTTGGGCGAAAAAGCTCCCTTTAAGAAGCGAGTAAGGGCGGAAGGCTCGTCGTAACCGGACCCATAAAGATCGGTATAACCCTTCGCCTTTCGAGAGCAAAAGAAGAAAGATTTACCTCCCGGTTTATCCGGGTCATCCATCATATGCAGCTGCATCCTCTCGCCGTCGAGCTTCACTTCAATCCAGTATTCGGGGTCATCTTCCGTCACGCCAAGGTGACTCACCATCTTGGAAAACGTCGTGGACATTTGGAACTGGGCGAGCTGCGGCTGGAAGGGCTGACCGAGCTTCAACCCCGTTTCCTCTTTGTGTAGGCGAATGTTCGGGTCACGCAGCTGCCAGCAGACTTGACGCAAGCTCGAGGAGACGCTAAAAAGAGCTTCGGCATCGGGATGCCAGTTGTGGAAGATTGTGTTCTCTGAGGCGCCGATTTTCATTTGCTTCAGGATGATGCGGATGAGCCAGAGCATTTCCTCGGGATTCATTCGAAGGTAAAAGATTTGGAATACGGCCAGATTCTCTGTTTCGCTGGACGAGGCTGCCAACTTATCAAGCAGCTCGTTCACATCAGCAATAGTCAAGTCTCCCACTTCCGTTCTCATCGGGCGCTTAGATATCACGTCGTAGCATCTCCCGGGAAAGTCACCAGCCATTCTAGCAGCCATGGTTTGACCTGGCAACTTCCAGTGGAGGAGATTGTACCCGTCCTCCGAGTTGCGGTCGATCTTGAGCAGCTTGACGAGAAGTTTACCAATGTTGCTCTCCTTCAGGCCATAGACGGTCCTGTCGCGATCCTTGTCTGGGAGGATGAGACGCATGGCCGGATAAAAGTCGTCGCCGACTTCATTGCGCCACCTGGTAATGAAGCGCTCGATGATATGCCGCCGCTGCTCTTGGACGGAGAGATGGCCGCCAGAGCGGGTCTTGGGCCGACCTGGCACCGGACCGGTGGCATTCTTTCTCAGTTCAAGTAATGGGTTAAATAGAGTCTTGAAAAGCTCCGAGAACAGAAGCGTTTTATGAACATTGTGGGGACGATCGGGAAAGCTGTTGCGACAATGTAAGCAAGGTGCGCCTCCAGGACTCGGACAAGAGAGAGCTTGAACATACGCTGCATCTACGTCCCCCGCAGAGGATTCTTCTCCATACATGCGCTCATCCTCGTCTTTTGCTTCAGGATCCGGTGAACTTGGCCTCTTGATTCTCTGGCTCATGGTGGTTGGACAGTGCGTGATGTGAAAGCCTCAGAGGGCGAATGCGACGAGTCGGGTCTTGAGAGCGAAGAAAGAATCGAAGGAAGGCGAATTCTGGCGGCTACATTGACGGAATTGATGTTCTTGGGCCTCTATAGAGGGAACATTCCGGGGTTTAAATGATGAAATTGGATTTCGGTCATAATAATCACAATTGACGCGGAGCTTGATTCCATGGTTCGGAAGTTTGCATTGATCCCACGTCTGCCTGGAGCAAGCTGTGTGGAGCTGGATAATCAGGTATACTCGTTATAAGAATACAGAAAGAACCTGGCGACATTCGCTTCTCAACGACGACCACAACAACAAGGGCATCATATATTTTAGTACATATCTATCTATCGAACAAATTCCTACCGTGTCTTAATCAAGCTTGTTTCCCCAGTAATATGTAAACACATCAATGCCAATAAACTCATCAGCATAGTTCCCCGTCGCCTCATCTCCGCCCGCCGCAGAACAGACAAGCAAAGGCAAGAAATGCTCCCCACCATACTTGGGATGCATCTCATCCGCATACGGAAACTTCCTCCACCCCTTCAACGCTCCCAACCTCTCCGTCGTAGAGTTCTTGCCCACGGCTTCCGTCAGGGCGTTATTCCACTCATCCGACCGCTTCTTAAAGGGCGCCGGAGCACCGCCTAGCTGGCGACTCATCATGAGCTCACCCATCTTTTGCAGATTATGGAACGACGCGAATCCGGAGCCGACGACGGCGATGTTCTCGTCGCGGAGCTTCTGGAGCGCCCTTCCCATGGCGAAATGCTGAGCCGGGTCCTCGGACTTGAGCACGGAGACCTGCACGATGGGGACGTTGGCCTCGGGGTTGATCAGCATCATGGGGATGAAGACGCCATGATCCCACTTTCGCTTGGGGTCGAGGACAGGCTCGAGCCCTTCTTTTTCCATCGCGGCGGCGACTTTTTGCGCGACATCGGGCGCTCCCGACGCATCGTACCTGAGGGAGTAGCTCTCCTTGGGGAAACCATAATAGTCGTAGAGGAGATCGTGCTTGGCGCCAGAGCTGATGATGGGGGTGGAGGTGGTCCAGTGAGCTGTTACGAGGACGATAGCGCGGGGGGCTTCCGGGGTGTTGAGGCGGAGGAGCTTGGGGACTCGGTGTTTGAGGGAGTAGACGATGTCTTTGTGCATTGGGTCGCCGAGGACGGGAAGAGGGCCTATATATTTCATGTTAGAGAGACTCAAAAAAAGCGTCCTTTCAACTCATCAGCGCAAACGCATCAAACGTGATAGCTTACCACCGCCGTGGGACAGAGCAATTACTGGTGCTCGTGTCATCGTGACCTTGGGAGCCGCAGCAGGAACCGAAACTTTAGGAACCCTCTTAAACAGCGCCAGATTCGTATTGGTGCTGGTGTACTGAAATATCGCGGCAATCAAAAGACACACAAACGCGCCGATGAGGCCTCTCCGAAGATAGGTCGACATGTACGATTTTACTCTCTTTCTGGCGTCGGGGAGAAGAAGGTGGGGTGAGGGTCGAGGTTATGTAGTTTTGCTGACCTTCTGACGCAATCCTGCTCTCGACTGGTTGTTTCAGATCTCCAAGAGAGCGTTTCTAGTTTATAATGCCCAATTGATAAGAGAACGGAATCGTATATACATAACAAACTACTTCGTACTTCGTAGATTAGTACGCATATTCAATTGTTCCTGGGAATCCCGTCGTTTAAGCAATGGACTCGGAGCAACGGTGGGTTGCTGCCGGGTGGAGGTGGAGGCTTCAACGCCGAGTTTCGGCAATGTGGAGGATTGGATTAGTCAGGGCTCGTATTCTCCTGAGGGCGATGACGATTAGAGTCCAGAATATCGAACGTTTTTGGAGCAACAAATGTGGACCACATGCAGCAAGGATTACCAACGGATTGCAAATATTCTAGTAATCCAGTCGATCCTATTCGGACAGTCGTTGACTTGATTGACTCGGTTGACTTGATAGATATGATCGTCGATTGTTAGGACAAGCTGGCTTTACAGAATACCGATTTCAAATGTTGGGAAAAGAGGCGACTACTTCGTATGAACAAAGTTGGCCAAGCATGCGGTCTGCTCTCTTGGTACACATTGATCGATCCACCCGTTTACTCCATCACATCAACAGACCCGCTTCCTCCTCCCACAGCCTTAATCCTCGATCCAATCTCCAACGGATTCCCCTCAAAGACCGCGAAGTCGCTGGTCCCAGTCCCCTTAGGCTCCTCAATCCCAAGCACCTTGTAAACATTAGCCGAGATCAGATCCAAGGCCGCCCTCTCGCTCAGGCGTCCCTCGCCGTTACGATACGCAATGCCCGCAAACAACGCCAGATCCCGCACGACCCAGTCCTCGTAGAGTCCAATGGCCACCACGACGCCGGCGTCCAGAAGCGCGTCAACGGCCGTGCCGTTCGTCAGAGGCGCGCCCGTGAGAGAGTGCCTCTGTTCCCATGAGGTGCTGTAAGGAAGGAGGGGAGCGAGGACGACCCCGATGTCAGCGCGTGCGAGCTCTTTGGCGAGGATGTGGGATTCTGCACCGCCGAGGATGGCGACGCGAAGCTTGCTTCTGTCCGAGTTTGCCTGGGCGATTGCCGTCTCAACGTCAGACTTTAGGCGAATGATGGCCGCAATGGCACTCGCGCTGTGAGCGGATAGCACGAGAGGTAATTCGCCATTGACGACCTTTCTGAGGAACGCCTTCTCCGAGTAAGGATCCGTAATCTTGTCCGCGGAAGTTATGGCCGCGAGGAGCTTCGACCTGAGATCGCCCGCAGCACTCGAAATAGAGGGTGTATCGCCAGTCTTGGCGTCCAAGGTAAGCGTGTAGTGCACAGAAACGTCTTCCGACCAGACGGCATCATCTTCCAGGGCATGTTCAGCGCCGGTTCGGAACCCAACACTAGTTCCGTGACGTGCAATACCACTAGAGTGCTTGGGCGCTGTAATGGCCTTGGTGATACCGTACCGGTGAGCGACGTTGAGTTTCTTGCTATCGAGGGCGAGGCCATCAATGCCACGGCTGAAGGTTCTGCCATCGCTGGCGCCATTGTCCGTGTCACTCTCCATATCGATTTCATTAAGACCAATCAGCGAACCAAAGGCAGTGAAGCCGTTAGTCACGTATCCATTCTTCAGATTGATAACCTTGACTCCTGACTCGGAGGCCGCCTGTAGCTCGGACTCACACCTTCCAATGCATGAGATTTTGCCGTCCTTAACAATGACCGTAAGGGAGCCCTCGGCCGATGCCCTCCAAGAGAGAAGCATGCGAGATACGCCCGTAAATACAACATCCTTTAGGGAGGCCGGGTTCTCTGGAATCTGGCTAAGGCTCTCATCGGGCACAATAGGGGCCGAGACAGGTTTGTCCAACTGGACAGGGTCGTTGAATTGGGCGATGCCATCGATCCAAACTTGGACAGGGGAGGCACCAACGCTCAGCGGGTCACTGTCCCAGACGACGATGTCGGCGTCGAAGCCCGGCTTGATCTTGCCCAACCTCTCGCCCATACCGAGGTAGCGCGCCGGCGTTGATGTTACACTAGAGAGAGCGACATGATACGGCAGGCCGTATTTGTAACCCTTTGCGGCCTCGAAAACGACATGCTGAGCGTTGAGGACGGGGTTGTCGCTGACGTACACCGTATCTAGGCCGTTATCCCAGAGAATCTTACCGGCATACTCTGAGCCGACGTAGGCCTCGGCCTTGTAGTACATATTGTCCGCAAATATGGCAGAAGCGGGTGTATGGCCCCAAGCACGTTTCAGAACCTAGAAATGTCAACGTTACTCGGGGAAGGGGCTTGGAGAGAAAGGAGAGAAAGGAGAGAAATACACACCTCTGGGATGAGGAAAGTACTATGCGCATGGTGGAAGGCCCGGACAGAAAATTTGAATTCGTTGGTATGGTCCACGAAGCTCTCAAGGTCAGGTACCGTGTAGCAGTGAGTGTTCACATGGACATGGCCACGGAGAACAGCACCGAGAGATTCCCACTCCAGTTCTTCGGGCAGGTATCGAGAGATCTTCTCAATACCAACGGCCTCAGCCTCATCACACCAGTCGTCCTGGTCCCTCACAAGCTTTGATGCCTGTTCAAAGGCATGACGGAAGTGCCAGGACTCGCCCATACGACTGAATGGCCCACGGCCAATTCGACCGTAAACACGCTTGGCGTTCTCGCCACACGCCATCTTCATATAACGCCAGGTTTGGTTGGGATCGGCAAACATATCTTTGATGCTGAGCTCACTGCGGCCGTCATGCTTACCGACAGCATGCTTGATCAGGAAGGCCTCGCCGCCAATGTTGTTTCCGGAGCCGGGGAGGACCAAGCTCGTCGTGACACCGCCCGATTTGATGACCTGAATCTGGTGGTCCAAGGGCTGGATGGCATCCCAGGAGCGGACGTAGGGCGTGATATTGTCGGACAATTCATTAGTATCATCATTTCCGCGGATGTTGGGGAGGGAGTCAACGCCAGCATGACTATGCATGTCAATAATGCCGCTCGTCAATTGTCGCCCATGAGCATCATAAACTTGCGTGTCCGAGGGCAAAGAATCGAGCGAGATCCCAGCCTCGACCTTTTGGATTAAACCGCGATCGACGAACACATCCGCCCTTATCCAGGAATAACCCTTGCCGGCACGAGCATCCTCCTCACTCGTCCCCTCCTTGGGCTCACCGACCCAAACCGTCGCATTACGGATAAGGGTCGGTTTCGTGCCATTAACGAAGCGGCCATTCTGCTCCCGACCAAGGCCGCTGGGGTCTTGCGGTTTATGCCTGAGCTTCTTGCACGTCTCGAGGTTTGCTTGGAGTCGCGTGACCGATAGCTTGGAAGCGCGCGACGAAGATCGCAGGCCGCGGAGCTGCTCGAATTGGGTGTAGGCAATGAGAAGGATACAAGAGAGGAGTACGATTCTGAAGAGCCTCGACTTTCTTATGTTTCGGCGGCGGGTTTTGAGAGCGAAACGCTCTGGCGGAGCGGGATGCACCACCGTGGAAGGCAAGAGGTCCTCCTTTTCGGGGATCGTCATTGCTATTGAAATCAATTGATCTTTTTTTCTAAAGAACGAGGTTTATTCCAAGTTGACGCTAAGACGAGGAGCGGAAGATTCGCACAGGGGGAGCAATCAATGTCGAAACTTGAGGGTGCCCGCCCGGTGACGACATTGACGACGATGATGATGATAAGAGAGGACCGATAAGTCCGGCTGCTGCCTTCAATTTAAAGTCACACAACAGCACGAGCGGGAGCGTGGGCGGGACAGGGACTTTTGCATCGCACCTGCGCCACCCCAGATCCAGGGACAACTCGCCGTCCAAAGTACCACTATCGCACTTCGAGCCTAGCGCGCTACATACCCCAAAACGCTAGGAAGTACGGAGGTAGAGCGGGTTCGTCCCGAGTCATTCATTATCAGACAGCATTAAAAGAAGCAATTCAAAAGGTCTTATCCTCTAGAGTATATAAAGTCGTTTCTTTTTCACCATAGGAAAGGAAAACAATGCAAAAATAATAATTTAATTTCTTATTTACGAAGTATTGTTTAGTTCCTCCTCTCCCTCCTCTCCTTCATCACAGGCCCTGCCCTCTCCTACTTGTAAAGGTCGCACCTCTCCCACTGGACCACTCGCTTTGCACAATGGCGATATTCGTTACGGCGGGGTATTTCCTTGTCTTGCTTTAACTCGATCCCTAGGCACCGTTCGTAAACCGCGATCCTGCGTGAGACTTGGGCGGGGTAGGATTCCAGCCCAGCCCCCGGCGACGAGGAGCAACAGCTACCTTAGCCAATGCTTCGTCAAGTCGTCTGGTGAAAACTCGGGAGGTTTTGTCTCTTATATCACTGTTACGGGTAGTATTTTGAAGTTTTTTCTGGGAAGGAGTGATTCAGTGGGGTTGGAAACGGAAGGGACGTAGCTACTCTATGATGAGGTGAGGCTGTCTATTTTGAAGTCCACCTTGGCGGTAGCAATTGACGGTTTCGGGGAAGATACTCCAGAATCACTTGATATAGTGAGTCAACTGCCTGCCATAATCGCCGTAGAAGGTCAGCTCGCTGGACGGTTAACTCGTTGATTAGCGAATCTGGCCCTGTAGCATCCGCTCTGTCTAGTCGTCCAACGGATATACTAGGATGCTCAAGACTCAACCTGTAATCGAGCGCTGTTCTTTCTTGGTGGCTGATGGGGACAGAGAAATAGAATTCTGGGGAAGTTTATTGGGTTCGATGATATGGCAGGTTATGAACATAGGCACAGCTTAATTGGCAGAGTAAATATCCTCATCGTCTGCCGTCAAGGGGCCTGCTCCCATCCCCAGCTGGCTGCTGCTGCTAGACCCAAGCTCCATAGGGCGATCCTCGTTGGGCGCTTGAAGGGCACGCAGTCCCCAGAAGCCGGCCGTCTCGTACACGCGTGATCCATTAGGAAGAAGCGGCCCATCCGAGTAAGGCTTAGTCCAGTGAAATGCGCCGCAACTTGGGTCGATCACTCTCCGATAGCCCCATGGTTCCGCATGGTAATCCCCATCTATGTTCCAAAGAGGCTGGCCATTATAGAATTGGCGAAGGCTTGGCGGCGTTTCGTTTATCGTAACTTCGTTTGCACACATCCCTTGACATCTGCGGAACCCTTGGGCTAGAAAACGATACAAAGCGTGCCGCAAAGAGACGCCAGTAGGATTGACCCGTGGGATAGCCCAGCATTCGGCGATACAATCTGGGCTCTTGATGTCACTTGCAACAGTCGCTTTGAATTGCAGTAGCAAAAGAGTCCTTCCATCAAAACAAAAGATCTGAGGGCAGCGGTACTTGGAGGCATACCTGGGCATCTTAGAGATAAATGTAAATCAGTTAAGCAAAGGGCAACATACCCTCTCAGTTCTCGTGCAAGGTTTCGCTGGCCAGGTCGAGTCAACCTCCCCTTCTGCCATTGATCTATATCAATGATATTGCGTTTATATTCCCCTATTGCGATATGGAAGCGCTTCCCGTTCATTTGCACTGAATATGAGGTGTCAATATTCTCCAGTTCAGGCTCCTCTCCCAGCGGCTTCTCAAACGAGGCTTGGAGAACTGAAGGAAACCGTGCAAACCCGCCGAGAACGATATTAGAGACCTCTGCATCAAACCAAGTCGTCATGTCCCCCTCAGAGCGTAGGCGATATTTCCGGTAAGTCGGTGGAGATACAGGTTCCTCTAGCCTAAGTTCATCATCTTCGAAGGCGGGAAAAAGGGGACCATCGAAGACCGCTTCTACTGCACCAGATGCCTCTCGAGTGGTGTGGACCTCTAGTCGGAGATCTGGTGGATATTGTTTCGCCCATAGCTTAGAAGGACTCGTTGTAAGGCCAGTCTCGTGGACAGGATTTGTCGAATGCTCAAAGAGGAGGTCTCTCAGTGTATGAGACATTTTGGCCATCTAGCTATCTCGCTCGTCGCATTAGGCATACCAGGTTGGGAAGTTGGAATGAGCGGGGCCGCAAGGTTACCCAGCGGCCAGGCTCTCATCAACATCAACCTGTGGAGTTTGCTCCTCAGTGCTGCCCACTCAGGAGGGGCGGGGTGAGGTGAGCCAGGCATCCATCGGCCAAATGCATCAAGGAGGAATGCAGTGATGCGCCAGAATTTCACATCATTTGCAAAAGCCAAGCAGTCTCATCAATGCTCTCAGCACACTGCCAGACTTACTTCATAGTTCGATAATCGCGCATCAAGATCATCCAATCTTTTTACAGTAGGTCTGATAAGCCCCAAACTACTCTCTATTTTCCGCAGCGGTCATTGAGCTCGTTGAGCCCCGAGAGAAACATCCCGAAAGAAGAACGGGCTTCGGGATTAGAGAAAGCGAATATCCTATTAAACTGGACGTGGTTTCTGGTCGTAGTTGACCAAGGGGGCTGCTGGTTGGTCGGCTTAGTCATCAACTTGCTTGGTATTTGGTTAAAAACATTGTTGATACTTAGGAGATACCGTCCTTTCTCAACGCCCAAAACTGCCGTTGTCCATGACAGACACACGAAAAACAAGTACCAAGGTGTGTATTAGCGTATCCCTTGTCTAGAAAGTACTAATTCAATTTCTTCAACTCCCAGTTCCGCCTTGGTCGAAGCGTAGTTTCGGGGGAGATCTGTGTCCTTGACAAGCACAGCCCCCATGTCTACCTCATTACCACCTACGATACTCCAGGCAAGACCTTCGTTCTTTTTCTCCTGCGATTCATATGGCTACTCACGCCATTTGTTAAGAGACATTGGCCCGGGATTTTCCTCCCTCGGCAAGTTGTCCTGAAGAGTTTGAAACCTGGATGGGACGAGTACTTCCAGACCGAGATCGAGATGTATCATACATTGGAGAGCCTACAAGGCAACTTCATTCCGATATATTTCGGAGAGACTGAGTACGGTGGGACGCGAGCTATCCTTCTATCGTATGTCGACGGTGTAAAATTATGCGATGTTGATATGGAGGAAAAAGAAGTACGGCAACGCCTGCGCGAGACCTTTAAGGCGTTCTTTGCCTACAGGGCTGTCCCGGACGACGCCCGGCTGGAGAATTTCATTTTATCACGAGACAAAATAGTCGCGGTAGATCTAGAACATGTCTATATCTATGAGAAAAGTGTGGAGGATGAAGGCAGGAGAGATAATATGCATGACGAGGACTACGAGGACGATAAGGACGACGGCGTCTATTCGATGAAGTGTGTCATTAATGACCTCATGGACAAATACCACAGAATCAGGACGACAGGCTGGTAAATTTATCATAGAGATAGTTTATTAAATCTTGTTGAGCGAGATGTCATGATGGCCAAAGAGGCATCCCTTTCTCGTCGACATCGTCAACCATCTCCGTTCCTCTTCTGCTTGTCCGCATTTCTCTCACGATGACGTTCGGAGAGTTATCCCGATTTTCACGTGATTTCACTCCGGGACTTGGACTCCGGATATTAGTGAAAGAACGATGGGACTAATCCCTCCGAAGATAAATCGGAGAAAGGGCGGGCGGTAGACTCCACCCTCCTCCTCAAACCAGGAGGAGAAGGGTTCGTTGTAACTAAGTGACAATTTGAACGAGATGCGGAGAGCTGAATTTGTCATACGTTCGGATTCTGATCCTCACCCAGCAGCTCAGAGGGAGAAACAATGCGGACCCCGCTCCCGCGGCACTGCCCGCCGGTTACGTTAACGATATGCAGAGGAACTATATATAAACATTCACGCTGCCTCTGGGAGCGTTCGACTCAGCTTCGACTCCGAGGACAATCATCTTGGAAATCCATCCCATTCTCATCAAACATCAATTGGCTTCGCAGACATCACTCTTCCACATCCACACATTCCCCCACCACAATGTCCTCCCCCACATACGAGCTCATCTACTGGCCCGGCATCCCAGGACGAGGTGAATTCATCCGCCTCGTCCTCGAGGAAGCCGGAGTCGAATACAAGGACACAGCCGTCGTCGACCCCGGCGCAGCCGCTCAAAACGTCGCCGTGCAAATCGATTCCTCCAACACCGGAGACGGTAACAACCCCCCTCCTTTCGCCCCACCTATTCTCCGACACGGCGATCTGCTCATCAGCCAGACGCCCAACATTCTCCTGTACCTCGCGACCCGTCATGGTCTCGCTCCTAAGGAGGACAGCCCCGGCTTCTACCATCTCAATGCCCTTGCCTTGACGGTGCTGGATGGTTTGTCTAATGAGGCTCATGACACGCATCATCCGATTGCTGTGAGCGAGTACTACGAGGACCAGAAGGAGGAGAGTAAGCGCAGGGCTGCCGATTACATCAAGAACCGCATTCCCAAGTTTTTGGGTTATTTTGAGAGGGTTATTAAGGGCAAGAAGAGTGGTGATGGACCCTGGTTGTATGGTGGGAACTTGACCTATGCGGACTTGGTCCTCTTCCAGGTGAGAAGACCAGCGAAAGTGATTATTTCTTCTTTGTGAATATGAAGACTAACCCCCATGATAGGGTATTGATGGTATCAAGTATGCTTTCCCCAATGCCGTTGGGAAGCTCGAGGCCTCTGGGAAATATGCCAATGTCTTCAAGCTGCACCAAGCAGTCAAGGACCGCCCTCGTATCAAGGAATATCTTACCAGCAAACGTCGCCAGCCGTTTGGTTTGGGCCTGTATAGACACTATCCCGAACTTGACTCGAAGTAGTTGTCGAAATCTAACAATTAGATAATAATGATAAGAGTACCATGACCCTTTTCACCCGAATCTCAAGAACAGCCCCATTTAGATAATTCGTCAAGATTTCGTTGCTTTCGGTTATGAATAGTTGAGCTTTGCGACGTCATCAACCGTAGGCGCAACGGGATTTCAATAAAGTTATCGTCTTCGTCTCGTTCGTGTCTCTCACCGATGTCAGCTACCTTATACGCAAGTACACATCACTTTGACCCTTAAAACGCCTTGCGAATCATCGTATCGAAAGCGGCGGTCTTAAACTTATGGCAGACTCGAATCAAATAACGAGTCTTGAACCTAAATCTAACACACAAGTGTGTTAGCTTTCGCAGACTGCACTGTCTCTTCCTCACCTGGTACCTTTAGATGGGTAACTTCCGTCTCCAGATTGTAAACAGCCCACCCGAGAGTGAGAGCAGAGACCCAGCGAAGGAATAAGCACGGTAGAGGCCATTTAAAAGCCATGTAATGTAATACTTCCAGAATCGTTCGTCTCACTAGTGGTCCAGAGAGTCTATCGCTGAATGCTAGCCAAGTTCTAGCGCCTCTCCATCTACGCACGCCCGTCGGTCGAAAAGGTTAGAACAACGTTAACTACTACATCGTCAATTACCTTCATATTTATCCCTCCGCCAATATCTTGGGGGTCCGCTTGGGCTTCCCCAGTGATCTCCCTCATCCGAGCATATAGTTCCGCGTCCTCTCTTTCCCATCTCTAAGGCTGGCAGAATAAGGCTCCCAGACATCGCGTCCTAGGGACGAGGAATCCCGCTGGAGCATTGTGGAAGCTTGAAGGTTATGAACAATACCGAATATTAGCTAAAATCACGCTTCTGATCTACACTACCCTCACCTGTTCAAACTCCTGCGTCTTGAAGTTTGCATCCACACCTTTGGCGCTATAGAAATCGCTCAAGGGTGCCTCGAGAATTCCCAAGCGCTGGAATTCCATCCCCTTCGGATCCAACCAACCCAGAATCATAAAGAGCCCCCGCCCATACTTGAGATCGAACAAGTGAAGCGCTAGTACCTCACATCTGCAATCCTCTTCGATCTCTATCCTGCCTCCGGCCTTCGTTGCTCTGTTCGCGCTGCTTTTCATTGTGCCAAATGCACCTTCGTTCCGGAATGTCACCACCTCAATCGCAACATCCGGCGTAAAGATCGCAGCCCGCCACTTGTGCATCTTCAACTGGTGCACAGCCCACTTCCCGAACTTGACCGTCAATAGGCATGTGAAGACCGGTCCCTCAAGCACCGCATACCCTCCTTTTACCTCTCCAAAAGGATTCGTGCCCTTTTGGCCGCAGATCACATCAACTAGCCCCGTCCTCTGCTCTCCTAGATTCGTATACTCATAGTCAACACTCCCACTTATACTAGCCCACGACCAACTCGGCGCCTTATCCCCACTTTCATGAGGTACCGCCTCATGATTAGCAGTCCAGCACAGATCCTGCATAAACCTGCTCTTCCATAAGCCTGCACAGTACTCATCACCGCCGCCAACTTTCTTTAAGTATTCAGACGCGATACCGCCCAGCGCGGGTAAAAGGTCCGAAGAATAAGTCAATCGCCGATTCGTGTACATCTGCAGAACTTCTCGCCACACGCGACGCATATCTGCCTCTTTCACTTGCTGTTTGTCGGGATCAGAGTCCAAGAATTGTGACCAAAAGCGCCGAAAAGCCCATGGGTGACGGAAATCCGCAGGCTCCCACTTGGTACATCTCGGCAGTTCAATGAGAGCAGCCACATTCTCATCGTGCTGTGCGTCCTCGGCCCGGATATCGCCACTACAACAATGTAGTTGCAGCCCGTTGGAGTCAAAATCCAAAAACCGCCTCGCAAGGATCATCTCCTGGAAACACCATCCCCTTTCGTGCAACGGCCATGTTACGCTTCCGCCTTGTGTCGAGCACAACACATTCCCCCACACCCCTTTGCCCTCCTCCCCGCTCTCCATCTTAGAAATGGGGATGGGGACCCGCTGAAATGGCTGTGGAGCAAGGGGCTGACTGCTATCCCTAGCACTCGTCGCCCCAACAACGAGCCACGCATTCCGGTAAATAGCGCCCATAACCGCGGCTTCACGTTCCCAATCAAGCGTGTCGTCTTGCTGAATGCAAAGGGCGTCTATCCATATGCATTTCACGCCCAAGAGCTGGGCGAGAGAGACAAGGTCCTGGAAGAGCTGGGGTAGGGATGATGTCGGGATGCCGTCGTGAAGGGATTGTGATGTGGAGACCGTGAGGCGGAGGGGGTTGTGGGGCGGATTGCCCCAGCGGTAGCTTAGGGCCAGGTAGTGGGTATTTGTTGTTTCTGGGGAGAGTAAGCTGGTGGGGAGAAGTTTTACGGTTGGAGTGGGTGCAGACTGGATCTCCAGGAGGCGGGCCGGGAGAAACGGCGGTGGAGATGGTGGGAGGCAGTGGCGATGAGTGATGGAGCAGGCTTGGATGAGCTTTTGGGCTGAGAGGAAGACGTATTGTTTGTAGGTTTCCGGGTCAAATGGGGTCGGAGGCGGTTCTAGCTTGACTGGCGGACTGGATCGGCCGGTCCGAGTGAACTCAAGATGCTCTGACATATCACCCAACTCCCCGACCCAAAAGACGCCGACCAGAATTCGTTGCACGCTGGGTGTCGTTTCCCTCTCTGAAGATACTTTAAGTGTCCCGATATGAAGCCGGTCCGTTTGAAGGCCATAACTCTCGGCGAACATCCCCACACCTCGAACGATCTGCCCGCAATCTTGACACCCATTCGCCGCGGATCTCTCCCATGTATCGAATGGATAAGAAGTTCTGTCGCGGGGTTGCACCTTAAGATCGATTTTGCACACGAAGCACCGATCTTCGATTTTTGGTAGGTCCTCGTAATCGAGGCCGCCTCTTTCGGACCAACATATTACTCTAGTTTGTTTCGTTCGAGTAGCCGCGGAATACCATCGCCGCTGCTCGTCGGATTGTGCCTCAGTCCCGCTGCGGATGACGGGTCGACGATCCGTCCTGGAAAGTTTGGCGTGTGAAGCTGGGAGCCGAAAGTCGATATTCCATTTGGTGGTTCCGGGTGGATCTGGCGGATCACCAGGCTCGCTTTTGATTTTTGCCGAAGAGGCTGCGAGATCATCGAAGGAGTTTCTGCGCTTTCGTTTTTTAGGGGCCTGGCAGGGCTGCTGCTCGGGGGCCATGGTTCGTCTCCACGACAAGTTCTTCCAATGGCTTGGTTGATTTTGTTGTACCAAACTTCGAGGTCGTTCTTGGGAAGAGATGAAAGTTGGAGTTTGCGGCTGAGGTTGGATCGGATCTGTCAGGGGTTGCCAAATCAGGTACGCATCGCACTAGCAACCGGAAGGCTGAAAATAGGTGGTGCAGCGGATGGACGAGTAGAAAGGAGTAAAGTAGGTAAGGTGTTGATTGATTGATTTAGTCTCTCTATCTTCTTGTGAAGATAGATTGTCTTGTAACCTTGTGTTGTTAATTAAAGGTGGATGAACCACGGCATCTCCAGAAACAACATCTCGATGCCCAAGACCGCAGAATCCGAGATATTGATGGATGGTCTTTTGCGGCCACCACGACCCAGCGACCACCTGCCGCCTTTGCCTTTTTATTTCATTTTGTTCTTTTTTTTATTTTATTCATTTATTCTTTCTTTTTTTACCGGGCGGTGTGATTCTGCCGTGATTGCGCCGCGATCAGCCAGTCAGAAATATTCTATCGCAACTTCCCTCGGTGAGCGCGGTGTGCACCAGTGATTCATCACGAAAATCACCACAACCTCAATAAATCTGATCGCGACTTCCCTCGGTGAAGGCGGTGAAGGCAGAATGATCGAGTGATCGGTGACACGCTCGAAAAACTATTTAAACCCTCAGACCTCACCGAAAACCCTCCCTCCTTTTCTTCCTTTCCTCTCCATACTTCACTTTCACAAATCTCATGCCATCTATTTGCACTTACCACTTCTACCCCTTCTTTTCCGTAGAGCTTGCCTTGAGCAAAGCGTTCCCCACTGCTACCTCCCACGACGAGTATTTCTTCAGACTCGATCGATGGTTCGTTTGCAATTTCTGTGGGCAGATCAAAGTAGACAGCACGCCCGAGGCTTCTCGTAACTGTCCTTGAGAACCAAGGTTCATGAGGCAGATCCAAGGCTCGGAGACATGATTCCTGTCTGTAGATAGTCCCTGGTAGCTTAGGTTAATGAATCCCAAGGTCTTCTTGTGTGAATGAATCAACGTTTGGATGTGTGCCTTGTCGTCGATGCTTGGAAAGCGACTTGCGACCCAACGCGCCATCCAGCAGACGTGCCACTCCCGGAAACATCACCAAACAGACGCGTACTCGAGGAAACATTGAAAAATCGGATGAAATCAATTCGTCCTTGTCAATATCAACCACTAAAACAAAGACTCACTCTGAAAGGCCGAACAAACGCCCCATGAAAACGCCCTGGTAAACGCAAACCCCCCCAGTATACGCGACAAAGCCCTGCCTCCCATCCCTTTTGTCCAGAAACACCCCTTCACAGCTCCAGCTCCAGAACGAGCCTGCCGTTTCCAGCTTCTGCTGCCCCTTCCCAACCCAATGACCGTCGCCCCATGTTTACGCTCTCTGCGGCACCTGCCCAGCTGGAGGTCTCCAGGTGACCAGGGCGAGGGAGATGGTAACTAGAGACGCGAAGACGACAAAATGTTGAAGATGAAAACAATAAATACAGTACCAAAGGAACAGGTCGAGAGACCGATAAGTGTCGAAAGAAGTCACATCATTAATACAGGTAAGAAGCGAACACGGTCGATAGAAAGCGCAGCCCCAGGGGGGAAACAATAAAACCATGGCGCCAGGGGAAGATGCTGTCGGAATTCACTGCAACGTCAGTCGTAGACGGTCGTGGTGTCGACTTCGTAAAGACATCGGATACCATGGGTATTGACAAAAAAAGGCGCGCAAAACTCATGGAATTAGGCGTAAGTTCATCAAAATGCATCCTCATCCGTCCACTCGCCAGCAGACACAATCCGGTTCCCATCCTGATCAATCATGACATGACCAGGGTGCGGATGCGAGCTAGGCGGCAGCCCACGAGGCCGCTTCGACTGACTCGCGTAGGGACGGTGTCCGTTCTCCGGCTCGATGCGCTTGATGCGGGCGGCGCGTACTTTAGCGTAGTACGTGTCAGTGGCATCCTTCTCCGGCTCACTGCCGTCGTCGTACGTCTCCCAGTTCTCCGATCCGGATACCAGCGTCGACGTGTGCGAACTATGAGAGGTGGCAGATATTTGTCTCGCGGGAGGGGCGGGGGGATACGTCGAGGAGTTGAGGTGTCTTATCGAACCTTGTCGTTCTTGCTGTTGTACGTATGAGTTGTTTGAAGGAGGCCTCGGAAATCGGTCTGCTGCTCCATCGTCGTAGACGTCCTCGGGATCTACGCCCCGTACAATGGAGCCAAGTCCGACAGACGAGTAGGGGTTCACCGGGGTTTCAAGGGTTGGGGCGGGGACCAGCTCGCGCATCTTGGGAGGAGGGGCTCTCATCAGGGGCGGACCGTTTCGGGCTGATGGTAGAGCCCTCGACTCGGGTCGGCGCTCGGGTGAGTTGGTGCCGTGCTTAAGATTGCCGAGTGGCACTCGTGCGGGGATACGCGATGGGCTACCTTTTCCATTGGCGGTCGTCTGGTGAGCTGGCGGGGCGCGCCTCGAAGTCGCAGTAGGAGTCTTGGTCATGGCTCGAGAGGGCGCAGCTGACCGACCGCTGTTCGTTCGACTAGGCGGTGCCGACTTCGGGGCAGCCTTACTTGCAGATGCTGGAGGACCAGCTGGAGTCTTCGCTCTGGGGGCATGTGCGGGTTTTGGCTCGTCTTCATCCATGGTCTCGAGGTACCTATCGCCATGAACAAGGAAAGGTCGACCGTACTCGTCCTCCCATTTCTCAAGCGCCTTGCGCAATTCCGCAGAGACTTTGGGCAACTCCCGGGCGATCCTCTTGCGCATCTTCTCCTCACGGAGCAGCTTACCGGGGTCGCGTCGTTCACCCTTCTGGCCGCGCATCATTAGTCGCGAGGCATCCTTGGCGGACGCTTGAAGCTCCTTTTGCTCGGTGACTAGGCTCTTATGCTTGTCAACGAGTACAAGGAGAGGGGCGCGTTGCTCCCTCAACGCCTCGAGACGAGCAATCTCCCGCTCATGAGCTTCGAGCAAAGCATCACTGTATACGTCGGAGAAAGCTGGCGTAAACTCGAGCATCTCATCCTCCGAGAGGTAGAGCGAGTCCCATAGCTCCTGGAGCTTGCATCGCGCGTCTTCGACAAACAGGTGAAGGTTTTCATGCTTCAACTCGTTAAGTCGCGCTAATTCGTCCTGGAATTCGTTAATCTGGCGCACGCCACACCCGCGGTTGGCATTGAGGAAGGCCTTCTGTTCGCCTTCCTCTACGCCCAGCTTGTTCCAGAGGGCCTCGACGGCAGCCTTGAGATCTTTCAAACGCCTTTCACGATTCCTCTTCTCCTCGGACAGTTTCTCTCTCTTGGCTCGGAGCCGCGAGATGTCTTCTTCGTGGAGACCTAGTTGCTCGGGGGCATCACGATAGTACTTGACTATGGCACCATCAGTCTGGGCCTGCGGCGTGCCCAGTTCCGCCCAGAGCTGGATAATGTGTTCGCACAAGGCCTTGACGGTGGCGACGCGGCGCGTGTATTCTTCGTAGACGCGGGTGAATTCGTTGTCAAGCTTGTCGACATAGGAGGGGGAGATGTCGAAGTTGGGAGGGATGGACTGGTTTGGCCCGGTGGGAGGTAGGGCAATCTTGACAAAGGTGGGCTCGAGGTGAGACGAATAAGACTCGAGCGCTTGTACGAGTTCTGCGAATGTAGTTAGTATTTTTTTTTTTCTTTTGCTTCATTGACCAGCGACTGGTGGAAATCGGCGTGGCCTACTCTTTACTTGCTCGAATCGCTCGCGGTGTATCCTGCTGATTTGAGTGTGCTTCTCCTTTAACGTTAGGAGGCACTGGTTGAGTGGATATGTGATCTGTAAGTCGTCGTCGTCATGGTAGTCCCGCCGCGGCCGCGAGTCGTCGAGCGACGCCTCCATCTGGCGGATGGTAGTGACGATTGTTTGTGCTTCATCGATCAGGTCCTTTTTCTCAGCAGTGACTCGGCGTAGTTGATTGTTTAGAGTGTCGGAGAGTGCGGCAAAGAGCTTGTAAACAATGTGAGAACTTCAAGGGCTAACAGAAAGCTGAAAACGAGGGGTCGTGGCTGCTGTGCACTTACCTCGGCCTCACGATTTTCGCGATCATGTTCGGGTACTCCGATCTCGTCAAACAGCCCATGGAGCTGGTTGATGATGCTATTAACCTGCTGGGACAGGTAGCTGGTGTCCATTTTGGACGTGTCCATGACGTTTACCAGTCAGGTTCCGAGATAGTTAAGGGGAGGGGCGGATGCGGTCACTTTCGGTTCGATCAGTTCCGATAATAGAAAATGGATGTCGAACGCGGTAGAGAAACGGAGGGACAGGAGGCCGGAAAGACGAGGCCCGTTGCGTGTCTTAGAGCGGGAAAAGAAAGCCTCGAGAACTGATTTCGGCGAGGCGTGTCTGCTCTTCTTCCTCGAGGGCTGGCGGTTGACGACCTTGGATGTTTACTCCAAGCAAAGATAGCCGACCAACATCAACACAAGATCGCGAGTTTTAGAGGAGAAAGACGGACGCATTGCACGGAAGGAGGGACCCAGAGTTCATTGGCTGGTCATTCGGGATTCTGGAGTAGGTTCTCTTTTTCCTTTTCCAGGCAGGCGCGATGCTATAAGACGGTGGTAGTGGTCAAGAGTGGACACTATTTTTCTGGGCTGGACGACAATCTTTGGACAGACGTCTAGTTTTAGCAAAGGGAGAAGAGGATCATTGGCTGGAATGTTTTGGGTGAGCCGAGTTCTTGTTGACATTTTGTGGACAGGGTCGAGGTCGTCGGGGCAACGCTGCCATCGCGTGAATGGCGGCCCCACTGGTTTCATCTGGAACCCCGCCTTGCAGTATCACTGGCTCAATGCAGCCTCTAATTTCTCGCATCCCGGGCTCGAATAATCAGCAATTGATTCTTAGGTTGCAGAACTTGCAGGTCTATCGCCAGGGATTCTAAGTGCATGCGCTGACTCTAAAAGTTTGCTCCTTCTTGCCGAGTTGACGGGTTGACGGCCGCTGGTATCCGGTTGAGACTGTACGAGATTGCAATCCCGCTTCATGAGGCGAAATCAGTGACTGGAGACGCGCTTCCTACTTTGTGTGTAGACTCATTGTTACCAGATTCGCTGCCTGACCTGGCCATTTGTGTCCCCATCGCTAGGGGCTGTATTACTTCGTATCCCCATCCTGGGCTGAGCTCCAAAGTCCAGACCAGAAGCCGCCAACGTCGAAGGAGGCTAACCCTGTTCGGCATGCTGGGATTTGGGTCAAATCAATTGTTGACATCAACCAGTGAATACGAGTGCTGACTCAACTCGGTCAGAGCAAAGAGCAATTGAGGATGGATTTTGGCTGGGGTTTAGCGAATTTCAAACCACGATTTGTACGACGTGCACATTTACAAGACTTTCATCTTCGCAACCAACTTCACAGGATACCAAAGGTTGGCTGGGAGGAGTCCACTAATGCAAGGAACCAAGGTCAAAATACGAAAGTCTCTGCTCTTCAGCTCGCATGATTTTTTTCCTCAAACTGTCCGAAAACCGCCGCAGAGAATTACCAGGTTCCGAGGCAGCACATTTTCACTCTCCACGACAGCCAGCCACAAGGCGCTCTGCCCGCGTTCTCCCAGATCTCTTCGATTGCCAAATGCTCCGGTGACTCTGACCAGTGCTCGCTTCCGGAAAATACTGGCCGAGGATAATATATATATCCAGAGCGCATTTGAAGGATGAACATCTCGTCAGGTCTTCCCGAATGGCGCAATTATCCACCCACGAGTATATGGCGATGGATATCGTTGGGCCCAGTTCCCCTTATTCGGACTAAAGTTCCATCACAATTGAGTTGAGGTAGTTGACCCTTGCATGTCCTGTACGAAGTATTAAGTTGCCCGTAGTCTTTCACTACGAAGTGCTTGGTCGGGACCAGACCTCGACCTCGAAGAGAGCATATTCGTTCTCGAGGTATTCAATCGGATTAACTGCTAATAGAATAATCTTGACTCGGACGCATCACCGCTCTCACCCATCGCCCAGAAGATGCAAACAAAGGGGACACTGTCGGATCCGTTTCTTGGCAAGCGATCTTCCCTCCCTCCCCGCCTCCCCATGATGCCTGATCTTCCGCTTTAACCCCACCCCGCACTTTTCATAATACCTGGAACTTTTTCACCGCCCGCCCTGGCGATATATCCGGGCTCAATGCGTGGTAGAAGTCCTTCGCATATAGAGTGACTATTATGGAGCAAAGCGCACTGGGGCATGGCAGATGCAGGGGGGCATCTTAATATCCAGCCAGGCAGCAGGGAAAGGACAAACTAAGTAAAATTGATTCGTTGATGGAGTGGCGGCACCTTTGAATCTTCAAGCGCCGGCATTGCGCAGAATTCCATTTGATCAATCACTGAATCAACGGGCTGCTATAAAAACCTCTGTCTCAGAGGAAGATGTACGACGCGACGTATGTACTTCGTAATCTACAACTGTCTTGCTCCTCCCCAAATTCGACATGGCGAGAGCCCCACTAAAAACGTCGCAATGTCCACTCCTCAAGCAGCATCGCAGCTGCCGCTTCTGGTGATCCGATCTGCACACGGCGCGTCTGTGATTGGACAAACCATCTTACAACAGAACAATGCTATTTGAGGACAGAGACGCACTCCCCTCAAGTCCGGTACCTTTGATCGTGCCAAGCTCCCCGCGAAGAGCGATGTCGCGATCCGAAGCAACCTTGAACCTGCATACCTTCCGCTTTGATATCCATCGATCATGAGTTGCAATTTCCCTCGCAGACAGGTCCGAAGGTCCTTTCGTGATACAGACGGAAGGATTGAGGCAAGATGCCTTAATTCGGCTCACAGCATCCTTCGTTTCGGCAGGTGATGATGACATCGGCGAGGATGCGTCCATCATATTGCCATTTCCGTATAAGTCATAATATTCCGGCGGCTTATAGAGTTACATGAACGGAACACAGCTTACCGGCCCCCTCGAAATAAAGTCGCACTCCAATAAGTCCCTCCGTCCAATATACAGATTAAACGAAAGCTTAGGGCTCCAAAAGTTCTTTATCTGGGCCGGTTATCTATATATTATATATATGCCCGGTCCGGGACGCCCAAACCTTCGTGGTCCTCGTCTTGGCTTGAGGCTCCATCGCCGAGCCGTCTGTCCTTCGTTTACCCCGGGTCGTCGACTGACAACAAAGTCAATCCACTCCTTGAACCTTGTCGCAAGGTTGTCTTCAACATGAAGCTCTCCGCCTCTCTTGCCCTCCCCCTGTTCGCCCTGCCAACCCTTGGTAAGAAGTGTTTCTCTCCCAATAAGATCGAGAGAGACATCACTACTTCGGCGTATGTCTACAGCATATGTGACCCTTGGCTGCAAAAATCGCGGCGCTAACCTTGTTTGCCCTACAGGTTGAAGAAGACGTTAACGGACCTGAACGGAATCGCCAACCGGAATGGAGGGAACCGAGCTTTCGGCCTCCCTGGCTTTAAGGCCTCCGTAGATTACATCCTGGAACAAGTTCAAGATAACCTCGGTGATCAGTTTGATACCTGGGTCCAGCCATTCAACCACACTTTTGAGCAGACTAGGAAGATCTCGGTGACCGGGCCCGACGGAAAGGACGTCTTTGCTATCACGCTCTTATACAATCCTCCGACCCCAAAGGAGGGCTTTACCGCTGCATTGGTAGACACACCTGTGAATGACGAAAATGGTTGGTTTCATTTTCTTGCAATCTGAATATAGCCTGGAACATCCAAACTGACTATTAAAAGGTTCGGGGTGCACCGAGGCCGATTGGGAAGGAATCGACGCTACTGGCAAGATCGCCTTGATCAAGCGAGGAGTCTGCACCCTCGCAGAGAAGCTTATCCTCGCCCGCGCCCACGGAGCAGTCGCCGCTATCCTCTATAACCAGGACCCCGGAACGAACTACTCCAGTGCCACCCTGCAGGCTGAGAACCGAGACAAGGTCATTCCCACGGCCGTCATCCCTCTCGAAGTCGGCACCGATTGGAAAACGCGCTTGGCCGCAGGTGAAGAGCTAACGGTGACCCTGCTCGTCGACTCCATCTTTGAGGACCGCGAAACCTGGAACGTCATTGCCGAGACGAAGGAGGGTGACGCAGACAATGTCATTTTCCTCGGTGCGCATCTCGACAGCGTCCAGGCTGGCCCCGGTATCAACGACGACGGAAGTGGAACGGCTGGTATTCTTGAAATTGCCAGGAGTTTCGCGAAGCAGAAGGGCATCAAGAACAAGGTCAGATTCGGCTGGTGGGGTGCCGAGGAGTCTGGATTGGTTGGATCACTCTACTACACCAGCCAGCTCACTGCTGAGGAAGCGGACAAGATTCGATACTACTTCAATTACGACATGATCGGTTCTCCCAACCCGGCCTACATCGTCTATGAAGGCGAGGAGATCGGCTCCAAGAAACTCTTCGACTACCTTGAGAAGGCCGGCAAGCCAGCCGCCTACGGGTATGCTCAATCTAAACTGTGCCTCCTATTTACATGTCTCCACCTTAGCTAACTGTTATATAGTGCTTTCGGCTCATCATCTGACTACGTTGGCTTCCTTCAGCTTGGCATTCCTTCCTCTGGCCTCTTTACTGGCGCCGGAGATCCTGAGGACCCATGCTACCACCAAGCTTGTGACGATATCGGAAACATCCATTGGGACGCCATCACTCTCAATACCAAGGCTGCTGGCCGCATTGCTGCCGAGTTTGCCCTCTCTCTCGAGGGAATCCCCCAGAGGAATACATCCACCACACCGGCCAAGAACAGGCGAGGAGAGATTTCTCTTCTCAACTGGGAGACAGCGTTGGCTCAGGTCCAGCCTGTCCTGCCTTGCTCTCATGAGCATGATCATGATAACTTGTTTTAGTGGCAGTAAAAAGGTGCAGAAGCAAGTTTTATTAAACATGACATCTCGGGACTCGGGGTAGATGGTCCCATGGGTGCCTCTTAGACTAAATAGCGACAACAGCGACCAGGATAGTATCTGATGGACTAGTCTTATAATAAAACATTGCTTTCTTAGAGCCTAGGTTCATCCCGATCCCAAACTGCGGAACCTTTACTCTTGTCTGTAGGCTCCTCCACTTCGCCGTATGTTCGTAATGTTACGCTTCATCCCCAATCCTTCTGCCCCTGATCAGATCGGCAGCCTAGATTTCGCTTTAGTATATGTGAGGTTAGCCGAGATATGGAACTGGAGCAACATACCTTTTCGCCAATAGCATAAGCTGTAGAACTAGTGTGGGTTCCCGGCACAAGTGTCATGATCGAGCAATCAGCAACCCTCAATTTCCTCGCACCATGCACACGCAAATCCGGACCAACGACACCACCCAACTCCACAGGACCCAGAGCACAAGTACCGCTCGGGTGAGCAACACTAGGATTCAACGTCTTCCTCAACCAATCCTCGAACTCATCCGAATCAGCATCCATAGTCGGGCTCCTCTCCGTAGGATCCAACGCCTCAACCATAGCCTCGCCAGAAAAGAATCTCCTCATAAACTTCAAAAGGACCCTGTTGAGCGCGACGTCCACGGGGTTCGTAAGCGCGCGGTAGTCGACAATAGGCTCGACGTCACCCTTTCCGGTGGCGCCGTCATCGTCGGGCGAGATGTAGACGTAGCCGCGGCTGAAGACGCGGAGGTTGATGGGGCTGAAGGAGGATGCGCCTGTAAAGAGGAGCTCGAGGACCGCGGAGGATGTGCCGTTGAGTTGGCGGGCGAGGACTTGGAGTTGTTGCTTGTAGCCGGCGATGAGGGTATCGTCGATGTGGTCGGGGAGGTAGTCGGTTGGGTCTTGGGCGAGGACTTGGTTTACTATGGTGGTGAATTCTTCGGTCAGGACGCTGAGTGGGAGGAAGGCACCGCTGTTGGGGTAGGCGGAGTGAGGGCCTGGAGTCCAGTTGTTAGCGAACGCTGGGCAGTTGGGGATACATGGAAAGTTTTGGATGTACCGGTTTTGTTGGCCTCCCACAGTTCGCTCGCAAGGGCCGCATACTCGGGATCTCGGGCAAGGGTGGACGAGTCAGGTCCGACGTCGACGCCCCCTATTCTAGTGTCAGCAGCCAGTATAATCCACCTTGCCCCCTGAAATATAACTGGGCATCAACTCACAGTTCCAGCTGACGGAGTACATTTGGTGATCGTGGAAGTTCCAGCCTACGCCAGGAAGGTGATACTTCACCTCGACACCAGCAGCCTCGAGCACATCCCTCGGGCCAATGCCAGATCGCTGCAAGACCTGGGGTGTGTGGAGAGTCCCGGCCGAGACGATAACTTCCTTCTTAGCCCTCACTTGGTAAGCTTCAGCAGGCATATCTCCATCGCGAGGAGTGAACTTGACACCTGTAGCTTCCCAGGCCTCGGGGCTGTCCTCCTCATCAACCTCATCCAGAATTAGCTGCGTCACACGATGGCCCGGCAGGAGATGGAAGTTGGGCCGTGTATAAGGTCCGTTCTCGTTAGAGTAGTGGCCGAGCCGGGCATAAGACCGGGTACGCGTGGACGGGTCAATTGAGTTGGGGAACCAGAATACACCAACCGCGTGTCCGTCGGCATGTTCGACCGGGAAGTCTATGCCCTCTACGGACTTGAACGCATCCCACATGAGCTCTTCATAGCACAGGTTAATTAGCTAGCTCATTCCCCCAAGTGAGAGAGAGAGCAACTTACTTTGCGCAGGCCATTGAAACGGCGCATAGCTCGAGTGAATAGGAGTAGATCCACCATACGCAGCCTCCTCATCGGACGTCATCCCGTATTCCTCCTGCATACGCTCATCAGGTGGGTGGAAAGTCACGCTCCTCTTGAAGTAGGGCAACAAATTATCCCATCCCCATTCCTTTGCGTATTCATCCTGCCACTCGCCGGCCGCCCAGACCCAGGCGTCGTAGTCCTCGGCAGAACCGCGGTCAAAGATCATGCCGTTGACGGCAGAGCTACCGCCAACGACGCACCCGGCAGCGACGTCCTTGGTTCTGTTGTTTAGGCCGGGCATAGGTGGGCTGGTAATGTTGTAGTAACGGGTTGCGCGGGGCATTTCGTGGTCGGAGAGAATGTTTGAGTCGGGGCCCATTGCTGTGATGGCGTTGGAGGAGTCGAGGTAGCCATACTCGATGACAAGAACGGTAGCTGCGTTAGGTGTTAGTATAAGTTGTTATACCGTTTCATTTGAGACGGGCGTAAGCCAATCTCGAGAAAGCATCAATCCATTGTCTATTCCATACTATCTTTGTCCTCGGTGAGACGATCAGCGATGGTCAACCCGACCGTGCCACCACCAACGATGATATAATCGTACTCCTCCCTCATCTGAACCTGTCGCTTGAGGACGGATGCCGAAGCGGCGTGGCCAGGCAGAGCAGCTACATGGTCAATTACGACTGACGAAAGGACGAAGAACGAAGAGACGAGTCTCGACGGGGAAACGAGTGAAGTGAAAACAACCATTATCACGGGCGCTGAACTCGGCAGGAACGGCGACACCTGTTGAATTTGGGTGTATCGTTGGGAATAGAAATGTAAACCATCACGAGTCTCCACAACCTCCTCCTCGGGGGTTTATCGTATATACACATCGACCGAGAGTTGCTTCATTTATCCCCTAGAAGCCACTCAGCAGACGATTGGAAGCTCGACCAAGGTGTTTCCGGCCAATAGGTCGAGCGAATTCTCCCGCGGGATATATGGCAATATACGATTCCGCCCGGGGTGCAGGGTAACGAAGTCCACATATCCGCCACTTCTACCGGGAGCACCAAGGACGCATCGGGACTTTCAGGTATCGTCCTCGTCGAGAATTAACCGACTCGTGGGCTTTTCCATAGAAGGTAATATAAATAGCTATATTGTAATTTAACACCTGTGTCTCTATCGTCCTCACTTATAGTTAATTGAAGGAAATGAAGCCAAGTGCCAACGGCGCAGAAGACTTGCTGACTTACATTTGATGTTCTTGTTGAACTCTGTGTTTCTAGCCGTGAGCTCAGCGAGCTCCTTTGCATCCCTATATCGCCGGATCTGGTCTTCCAGGGCCTGTAGAGCTTCTTCCACCGTCACTCCAGGGGGAAGCGGAAACGAAACCGCCCCAGGGGGAAGCTGATGTACCACTTTGAACTTGAACTTAGGTGCGCTGTGAACCTCCTCTCCCCAGTCGACGGAGGCGAAGCCTGGTTGTTGTTGGCTTGCGAACTAGTGGAGCGGTCCATGGAGGAGAGAAGGCAAAAAAAAAAAGTAAAAAGAAAAGGAGAAAAGAAGAAAAGAAGAAAAGAAGAACAAGAAGAAGAGAGAGAAATGGGGGGGCTGTCTTGTAGATATGATGAATGGCTAGGTGAAGTCGAGGAGCAAAATGTCTCAAAGATGATGGGGATAACTCGATGGGGCTTGCAACATGGGAAGGGGAAATTTGGATGTTGGTTCTATTCAGATGTCAAATGAATCAACAGGTAGCAATCTTGCCAACAACCCAACAGCCTGCAAATGTCTTGGACCAGTTAGAATGTGGGTGCCTCGATATGTAGGCGAGATCAATTGATCAATGGTTTCTATCAAAGCATCATGGTGATAGGTACCAAAATGATCACTTCGATCAGTGTGTAGCTCTCTCAAGCAGATATTCACAAGGGCCACAACAGATGACAGGCACCAATACAGAGGCCCATTGAAAAGTTGAGCCATTCAAACTCTTTTCACCATTCATCAATTGACCCCATGGAAAATTAAAGGCCCAACGACTAAGGTATCATCAATGTGATTCGTGCAACTTTGTCTGAGATCCCGGTATCATCTCCTCTCCTCTTAACATCGCATATTCCAACAAGCCATCACTTCTGTTTAGGATCAGGCATGTCAGTCAAGTCAGGACCTATTCAAGTATGTTAATTAGCGTGGATTCAATCATGCAAACGACATTAGGGTCCTGTTGACCTACATTTAATGTGCTTGTTCAGCTCAGTGTTTCGAGCTGTGAGCTCGGCAAGCTCCTTTTCCTCCCAAGATAGCTCGTCCTGCTCTTCAAGATCTTCGAGAATTTGGGCCATCGTCCTTTGGGGGGCCATCGTCTTTCTGAGGGGAGTCGGTCCTGAATATCTGCCGGGGGGAGTCGGAATGAGCTTCAGCTGAAGGGGCAGTTTCATTCCCTGCCTCTTGCGTGAGAGAGAGGAGGGGAAAGGGAGAGACTGGTTGTTGTTGGCTTGGTGGCTAGTATTGTCATTCATGATGAGAGGAGGGGGAAAACAAGATTGGGATTTGGGCGTAGGGATAAGAACGGTATTGCTTGAGACGAGGTGTTGACTTGATGGTCGCTCTGCGAAGTGGTGTTGTAGATGGTGAGGTATCGTAGCTTGGGGGGGGGGGAGCGTTGTTAGCTTCTGTTTGTTTGTTCAATATTCAGACATCAATGATGAATCCTGAAGTCCCGAGGTGCAACAACAACGCGTCGATGCATCAACATGTCTTGCCCCAGTTGGAAGGGGCTCAATGTGTACGTAGGAAGGTGAGATCGTCTCCATCAAGGCATCATGGTTATGGACACTAAAACCATTACTTCGACCAGTCCAAAACGCTTCAAACATACTCCCTTTAGTTGCCTTTATATACAACTATATATCATTATTTATGTAATTCTTCCTCTTTCAATCTGCAGAAATGATTTTGGTGGTCTTCCGCACCAGCAACCTCGATGACTTCGCCTTGGCTCCTTCATCTTCTTGTTCTTGATGGACTGTATGACGCCCTTCATCGTCTTGACCGAGTTCTCACCGGAATGAGAGAAACCGATTAAGTGTTCTCCCCGCATTTCTGTGGAATTAATTAATACAACGATATACTGACAACCGCCTTCATGGCAAAAAGCCGGCCGGCAAAGTTCTCTTTGACGAAGCCCAAATTCAGACGGATTGCTCGACGTGGAACCTTAGACTTGCGATATAACACACATAAATTCTCGTTGACATATGCTGCTTATTAAAAAGCTGGCGCAAGGCTAAGAATGGTCAGGAGGCCCTCAATAGCTCCTTCATCGGGGTTGACGAACGAACGAGTGCGGAGGTTGTAGCGAGGTCAGTCTTAATGATGGGCTGGACTAACACAGCTGAGGTTGGAGTGAGATCGCCATTACATAATCTCCGATCACGTGGAAATGCGTTCCGTGGGGTCCGCGACATCAAAATGGTGGGCACCAACTGAATCGCTCGCCCTGGCTAAGGGGTCTCGCCACGCTACGAGACCAACTAACGCGCCAGTCCCCTCCGATTTGGGTTTGAGAGGTGTCTTATGTCACCTTTCCATTTGCGGGCGGCAGTTTTGTTTCATCAATCGGATGGGCTGCAGTTTCCCTCATGGAAGCCTACCGATCTTCGACGGTTCCTCTGATCTTTTTTTTGCGAGCATCGAGCCATTCATTTTCTCGAGTGCATCATTCGTTTCTCAGCGTTTCCCGACCACGAGTTCATGGCATACTTTCCTCCAATATTGCCTTTGTATAGCATGCAATCTTTTGAGCTCTCCTTCCACGTCTGTTCCTTCTGAGCTCTTTCCGTCGCAAACCCCACCAACCCTCCTCGATACCATCGTGCGATCCCGTTTCTCTCCGCATCTCCGCCTGGCGCCGTTGCCCATTCCCAACAATGGGCCTCTTTGACAAGAAACCCAAAATCTTCAAAGGGGTCCAACCCACCAAGATCCGCATCGAGAAAGTCCCAATACCGCCGAAGCCGAAACCCAAGCCAGCCCCACAACACTCCTCCAACTCCCTCAAACCCTCCTCCCGAGGCGTCTCGCGATCCTCCTCCTCCAGCCATCCTTCCCCCCGCCCCTCTCCGCAACCGAGCGCGTCCTCCTCCTCCGAAGCGAAACTCGATCGCAAGCGCAAATCCAGCGCGCCGCATAAATCAAGAGCATCACCCGCCGTCGCGATCCCGCGCGTCGAGTTCGATACGGACTCGGGGTCGGAAGATGATGACGATTGGATCGGCGCGCTGAATTCGCGCAAGAGGCAGAAGAGGGGTAGGCTGGATGACGGGCGATATGTCGATCCCAACCGGAACCTCCGCCACAAGAAGGCTTTTGAGGGTCGCGTCGAGGGCTTGAAGTTTATACATGCTGCTCACGTCGCGTCGCTCGACCTGAAGTGCGTCCCCGTTCTCGGTGCAAAGAACAATGAAGTCGCGGTACGGCTACAATATCCTAGTCTTCAAAGACCGGAGAGGTAAAACAACGCTTTTTTTTGTTCTTCTACATACTCAACTTTCGAATACAGCAGACTGACAGGATGGTCTATTCTACAGATACGAACTAGTCTGGGGCAAGGACAAAATCGACGCTGTTAATAGCATCATCGCTGTTGTCCAACACGTCGCCGACACGTACCTCACCGAGGAGCAAGCGAAGCCGTTCACCGACCACACGACGGGCATCGTGCGCAGACTGGAAAAAGCCTCAAACCACAAAGTCCAGGACCTCGCCGCATTTAAAGAAGCGCTCATCGAATACAACGACAGAATCCTCCGCCTCGTCAGGGACGGAACGGTCGCCAGGAACCTCGACAACAGAAAGGAGCTACCGAGAAACTTCGTTTCGTTTATTCTGGAACAGGTGTACGACCGGACCGTTGCGCCCAAGGTCGAACTCCTTGCCAAATATGAGAACGGGACAGACAACGTCTATGGCGAGCTCCTCCACCCCTTCATATCATCCATCCTGGTTGAGAGACTCCAAATGACCTCTGACCAGGTCTTCGTTGATCTCGGCTCCGGCGTCGGAAACGTGGTCCTCCAAGCAGCCCTAGAGATCGGATGCGAGAGCTGGGGGTGTGAAATGATGGAGAACGCTTGCAACCTGGCCGAGGCGCAGCAGAAGGAGTTCTCCGCGCGTTGCCTGCTTTGGGGCGTAGCCCCCGGTAAAGTGCGGCTGGAAAGGGGGGATTTCCGAAAGAATACGAGGATTCACGAGGCGCTGAAGCGGGCTGATGTGATCTTGGTCAACAACCAGGCGTTCACGTCCCAGCTAAATGATGATCTCGTCCGCATGTTCCTTGACCTCAAGTCGGGATGCAAAATCATCTCCCTCAAGAGCTTTGTCCACGACCACAAGAGCGCCTCGCACAATATCAATGACGTGGGCAGTACCATCCTAGAGGTAGAAGATTGGACCTATCCAGAGGATTATGTGAGTTGGACGAGCGCGGGCGGAACGTATTGTATTTCGACCAGGAAATAAGGCGGGGGTTCGGGAACCTCTCCTCTTTTCCAAACAAAAAAATAAGGTAGGGCCAGGATTGGTTGGACGGTGTTTTTGAAGGGTATTATATAGATATATATTCTCGGTAGTGCCGAGGGATCACGATGGGAGGAGGGCGGTCATTGTTGTTGACTAGCGGGCGTTTTGATCAGAAGCCGTGGTTTGGCTTTGCGCTGTCTCATCTCATGATCTATACATAAGCGAGAATCGGTAGATATGCGTCGCATAGACTCTAAATAAAATGAGGTATAACCCAACCATCATCGTCGTCATCGCCATCGATGTCACCATCGATGTCGCTATCATCGTCGCTATCGTTATCGCTATCGATATCATAACCATTGGCATTTTTCTTGGTCTTTCCGACCTTGTCGTGTGAACTCTTCAGGCGAGAGGTGGATTCCTCTCCCGACAGATATGTAGAGCCGGGTAGTCGTCGCTTCGTCATGGCGTTTCGTTTCTCAGCTTGCTCGTCCTATCGGCTCGCTTCGAAGAGCGCCTCATTGGCGAGATTCATCTTGTCGGCTTCGGCACCCTTGCTCTCCATCCACCTCGCGATGAGTTCTTCATTATCCTTCTTGACTTTGTCGCGCTGCTTCTCTGCCACTGAAAGTTGTAGATTTAACGCAATCATCTCGTCTTGAACATTCTAGCATTGGGCCACGTTTTAGTACCTCTCATGTAGTTGGTCTTGGGGGAAAAAAGAGGTGATTTAGACCCACCGACGACAACTTTCGCTGCTCACGAAGTTCATGGTCTCTATCCTTGAGCTTGGTCACGAGCTTGTTCCTCTCGGCCGTTAGTTCGCGTATTATCTTCTCGCCGTTCTTGGCATCGCTCTTGGTCTTGTCGAGTTCCGCCTCGGCTGTCTTCGTCCGGGATTCGTAGTATCCCTTCGAGCGGAGTGCTTCGGCTAGGTCACGCTGTAGCTGTGCGATAACGTAGTCGTTTCCGCCAGTGGTTGGAGGGGCTGCTTGGCGGGATTTGTTGCTGGGTGGTTGGGGGGAGAGGGTAGGAGGGGGGACGGATTGTTCGAAGGCGGCCTTCTCGGCCTCGAGAGCTGCGACCCGATCAACGAGCTGGGAGCCTGTAATAATGAAAGTCAGCCTCAAGAGTCCCAAAGATTGGGTACGTGGCAATGGAGGTGGGGGTAGGAGAAGGCACACAGGCTTCGACAAGTTCCATGTTGACAGGGTTGTTCTTCTCCGCCTGGAGAAGGGAGCTCAAGTATTCGTCCTTCCAGTTTGGCATGTCGATAATGGTTTGGTCTTCGCACAGTTAGATAGAGAGGTTTAGTAGAGAGTTCGTATACACATATGCACTCAGGATCGTGGTTGAGGTTGAGAGTAGAATGGGGTGTGAAATTGAGTATTGATAATGTGTGGGATTGGAGCTGCGTCACTGCTTCAGCTATAAGGTGGAGGATGAAAGTTGATCATGGAACCCCACCCACCACGAACAAACAAGTTCGATGTGAAATATCAATGGGGAGCAAGTCAGATTTGGCGGGGTAGTTGGACAATGGGGTCAGCACAACTTGTCTCAGAATTCTGGGAATTATACTATGTTTCTGCTCTCTTGCTCTCTCTCCAAGAGTGAGACCCTATTATTGAGTTGGCCAGACATACACCTTTGTAATTATAGTCACGATGACTTCATGCAGTTTCTGCTGAAGAGACAATAATGAAACATTTAATCCTGGAGCTGAACTTAACTCCAGAAGTACCACAAGTCAGTGTCGCCAGAGCGCCTGGTCTCTCTTGACTCTGATGCGCAATCGTTTGTCGGTGGCGAAACCCGAGGATTAGCCGCGAAATGGTGCTCTGATCATCCCAACCACGCTGAGGTCACTCATAGTGAGCCTAAGAGCTTAAGCTTCCAGGCGGTCATTTCAACCAAGTCCGACATCTTGTTGTTGCCTTCAGCACTTCGCACCCAACCTCAGCCTCTCATTTGAGATGAGACGAAACTTGATCGACAACAACAGTCATAGCGGGCGATGATGAGTTAACCCCCTTTTAGATCTCCATAAGTATAAGTTGACCCGGCCATGGATACTGCTCTACCCCGGGCGACCTGGGAGCGGCTCGGTGATAAATGGTATCGGCGCATTCAGCACTATACCGAAGTGTTTGACCTAGATCTCGATCTTGACAATTATATCATCGCCGGTGCTCCTTACGGTGGCGCCATTGGTACGTTTGAATAGATTTTCGTAACCGAAGGCCCATTTCCATGCCATCGGGAGTGAAGCCATCGCAACTTGTCTCTGCTCCTCATAACCAAGATCCCCATTGGTCGCTTTTCTAACCCCTATGCAGCACTCTGGAATGATGACACCAAACTCCAACAATACCAAGCGACTAGAGCCGTCAAGCCGAGTATAGACATCTACAACTATGCGGGCAAGAAGCTTCGTAGCATCCCGTGGGAGAAGGGCACCATCAAGGGCCTAGGTTGGTCTGAGGAAGAGCAGCTTCTCGCGGTACTTGCAGACGGGACTGTTCGCTGCTACGACTTGCAAGGCGACTTTACTCAGTTTTCGCTCGGCCATGGATCAGACAACTATGGCGTACACTCTTGCAGGTAATGAGAGTATGATAGAACCTGTTTGTCGCAATCCAGTCCCGCTTACATGACAGCCAGATTCTATGATCACGGAATGGTGGCGATGCTCACAAATAATGCCTTGATTACGGTGTCGTCATACGCTGAGCCGCGACCAAAGCTCTTGGCGAGTGTGCCGGAAGGTGAGGTGCATTCCTGGGGAATAATACCGCCGGCTTATACGCTATCTCGGTCGGTGGAAGTTCTTCTTAGCATAAAAGAGACGGTGTACCTGGTTGATTCAACCGAATGCGAAGATCGCTTTCTCGACATCGGCCCCTTCAGCCATATTAGTGTTTCTCCCGACGGAAAGCTGGTCGCCCTGTACACGAAATCAGGCAAGGCTCATGTGGTATCAAGCGATTTCCAGGAACGGTTGGTTGAGCACGACTCGAACTCGAAGATCCCTCCAAAGCATGTTGAATGGTGTGGCAGGGATGCCGTCATTGCTTGGGAAGACGAGGTTCATATTGTTGGCCAGGGTGACACGTCTGCCCCTTTCATCTACGACACGAATCGCGTACATGTTATATCGGGTATGGCGTCCCTGCAGTGTACCAATACTGATCGCATGAAGGGTAGACCGCTAAACTGGATTATAGAACATGATGGCGCAAGAATAATCACGAATGCCTTCTGTGAATTCATTCAGCAAGTTCCTCGGGATACATACCAAGTTTTTGGCCTTTTCTCCGAATCCTCCCCTGCCTCTATCCTCCTCGATGCTATCACGCAACTCGAGGCCCAGTCACCCAAGGCCGATGACTACATTCAACTCATCCGCGGTAACCTGACTGAAGCCGTTGGTACCTGCGTAAGTTTGAACGGGACTTTCGTCTACGTTCCGTCCACGTTCCGTCCACCAGCTGCGACACTAATACGATGGATGGCCCATAGATAAATGCTGCTGGTCGAGAGTTCAATGTGCACTGGCAAAAGCAGCTACTAAAAGCGGCATCGTTTGGTAAATCTGTCCTGGATTTATACAACAGCGATGACTTTGTTGACATGTGTGAGACTCTTCGGGTCCTCAACGCCGTTCGATACTTTGAGATTGGAATGCCACTGTCGTACGAACAGTATCAGCGACTAACGCCCGAGAACCTAATCAAGCGATTGACAAATCGCCACGAGTATCTACTGGCACTCCGAATTGCCGGTTACCTCAAGTTACCGACCGATCGGATATACGTCCACTGGGCGTCTACCAAGGTGCGGGTTGGTTCAGAGGACGATGATACCATATGCCGACTGGTGGTTGAGAAACTAGCTGGGAAAGCTGGTGTGTCGTTTGAGGAAATTGCCCAGGCAGCTTACGACGAGGGCAGAGGCCGACTTGCCACAGAGCTTTTGAATCACGAGCCAAGAGCCGGGCGCCAAGTCCCCCTGCTTCTGAGCATGGAAGAAGATGAACTGGCCCTCGACAAGGCTATAGAGAGCGGCGATTCGGATCTCATACTGAGCGTCCTGCTGGAACTCAAGAAGAAACTTCCTCTGGCATCTTTCTTCCGAGTGACCAACAATCGGCCGGCGGCAACAGCCTTGGTTGAAGCGTCCGCGGCAAGAGAGGGGGATAACACGCTCCTAAAGGATCTCTACTACCAGGATGATAGAAGGGTCGAAGGCGCGGACGTCTTCATTCGCGAGTCACTAGTCCAGCCCGATGCGCGAACAGCCTCGGACAAGTTGGCGCTGGCGGCCAAACTACTCTCGGAATCCCGGGATACCAATTTCGAGCTCCGGGCTCTCAAGGAGGCGACTATGCTTCTGCGCGCCCAGGAGTCGTTCGACCGGGATTTGACGGATACGTTTACGGGGCTCAGTGTTAACGAGACGATGTTCAAGCTCATCAAGCTCGGATATTACGGAAAGGCGAAGAAGATTCAGAGCGAGTTTAAGGTTCCGGATCGTGTGGCATGGTGGATACGGTGAGTTTGTGGAAACCCCGTGGCCCCCTTTTCTTTTCCGCCCCCTGCCCTTATCATGCGACCTCCGATTGCACCGAGAAGGTGCATATTTTATTTTGGGACTTTGAGATACTAACCGATGTCCTGCGTAGACTACGGGCTCTTGTCGCCAAACGAGATTGGGATGAGATTGCAGAGGTGGCCAAGACGAAGCGGAGTCCGATCGGGTGGGAGGTGAGTAGTACTTTGGTGTCGTTTTCTTTCTCTATCTACCGAAATCTTATTCTAGCGAGCGAGGAATTTTGCCTTTCATTGGGGGGCGGTATGAATGAGCGTGAAACTGACCATGACTCCCGTCTTACACCATTAGCCATTCTTCAACCTCACTCTCCAGGCCGGGAATCCGAGACTCGCGGCAACGTTTGTGCCGAAATGCACCAACGTGGAGCACGGCGAGACCATTACTATGTACGAGAAGTGCGGATTGAAGGTAAAAGCGGCGGAAGAGGCCGTAAAGCTTAAGAATAGGGAGGCGTTCAACAAGATTCTCGAGGCGGCGGGGAGGAATACGCATGAAGGGAGGGAGATTGAGAGGATTGGCGCGGCGGTGTTTAAGTCGTGAGTGAAGGTTCGGGCATATTCAAGTACTCTTTGTTATATAGAAGCTCGTTTTCATTGTGTAGACGTGTAAGTTGAGTATCATTTTCCCATTACTTTGTGAGACCATGTCCATGATGGGTTTTGAGTAGGTAATACCAGACTGGCTCCTTTCTTGTCGTCTTTATGTATTTGATTATTTTTATATTCTTCTTCTATCGTGATGTTCTATACCGCAGTGTTTTATTCTTTTTTATTTTATTCTTTTACTTTTTATTAAGATTATTCACTTACTAGATTTATTTCCCCCTCTTCTCTTCTGGCTCTGTTCGTAAACCTCCCGCCTCGATCTCCCTTCTGACTGGACCCTACACGCATGGGATTGGGGGTTCGTCGCCACTAGGTGGAGAAAATGACATCCCAGATCGGTGTTCTCCGCATCTTGGCATGAGGGGGCACGTCAAGTCTAAAGTCACGAGGTTGGGAAGGGAAAATTGGGGGTGGCACGCTTTTTTCGAACAAAAAAGTGAGGCGGTCGGTTTTTCGCCATCCTGGTTCACGGAGCCGGAAGTCTGGCGCCTCCTCATCCCTGTCAGCAGAGACTTCTTTTTCCCCTTTTCGACGGGCATTTTCTAGAAATGTGAAAAATGAAGAGGAAGGAAAAAAAAGTAAAAACTTTCTGAGAAAAAAAAAGTAATATAAAAAACTTCCGCGATCTCGTTATATTTTAGGTGGGCAGAGAAATTCTCCTTGATGGATCGGATCGTTTATGCCGCCTTGCTTGATCTTGAGAGTGGGGAGTTGACGGCAAAGGGGGGGATCGTGCAAGGAAAGGAGGGTAGACCCCACCCTTGTCAATGCATCAAGAATGGACGGGCAGGTCAGTGTTTAATGCCTCTGGATGCGCTTAGATGACGCTAAGTTGTACATGTGCCTATGAAGTACACCAAGTATGTCAACTTGTCAACTACGAAGGCAGTATTTATGCGACAGAGCGTCGACGGAGTGCGTTGGTGCTTATACTTCGTACGAGAAGTGGTAGTTGGTTCGTACGACGGAGCTGCAATGCAGCGAGCTAGCTACCTTTGCAACTCTTACTCCTGCCGAGGTGCTAGACATTTACATCCCAGATCGTGGGTGTTGAGGGAAAGTGAGGATGACGAAAGCAAGGTAATCAGGGCAGCTGTCCGACTCAGACTCTGTTGCTTCTCCCAAAGTGATAGACAGCGGGGTGCATGATAGGGTCACGGTGAAGGTGGGTGCCCTGCATTATTTCTCTTTTCGGGCTGGTATAAACTTTGATGTCTAACCTCGTGCTAGCACGGGGTTCCCATTTTGAGAGTGACGGCATCAGTAAAGGACAGGTTTTGAGACCTTTCTCAGGTATGAGACAGTTATTAGATTCTGGATAGACAGAGCTGAGTGTTGATGGTTGATTAATGATTATAGAACCGAGACATCAATGATCCTCTGGCGGCTAGGGCTTCCTGGAATGGAACAGGTCAATGGCAATGTTTGAACAATGAAGCCCGGTTCCCGGTTTTCGGGCGAAGATCCGAGTCCAATACGTACTTTGTACGAAGTGTACATCGCCGTTGTTGAGGGTTCAGATTCAGGGCTCAAGCTGACTTCCCATTCAGAGCAGCTGGTCGAATGCCAACGGCAGCAACAGTCTTACATTGGAAGAGGCAAGTTGTTCCAGATCTACCCGAACGAGAACCGACGCAAAGTGAATTTTGGGTCTTGAGGGTAAGGTACACACACCGATATAAGCCAATTATATCAATATTATATCATCCGATCTAGCAATCCCGCAATAATAATCTACGATGTCGGCGATTTGGGGCGGCGCCGGAGATCTCAGCTCTTAACGGTGTATTCATAGTGAACCCTTTTTTTGGGGTTTTGAAAGTCAAAAGACACCCTCGCCAAATCAGATCAGAAGCCGTCACATCACAGGAGACGTCTCTCGTAGAAGGATTCCGCCCATGAAATACGTTCCTGACAAATGTTAAAATATTTTTGACATTTTTGCAACATGGAAGCCAGATTCAATGTGTGTTTGTCTTGCCAAGACGCCAAACGTCGAAGTAGAGGAAGATGGCTCCCTAATATTGGACCTTCTATGTCCTAAAACGAGTTCATAACCCCCAGAGATCGGACTAACTGTTATGATGCCAGATTCTTGTCAGTCACGCATGGCTTGCTGGCCTGGGATTAAGCTCAACCACAGAACAATGCCGATGTTCATAAACTGCGCGACAGCTTCGGGAGCTGTTCCTTTTTTTTTTTTTTTTCTTTTTCTTTTTTTTTTCTCGGTACCTCTCGATTTCTGGACGAGATGCTTCGTCCACCACCAACCTCACTTGCTTTTCATGTCCAGGGTCCGGGTGACTTGACGTGTTGCCCGAGCATTGTTCATCCAACGAGAGTGCCTGCAATTGTCCTGGCTTGTGACAAGATAGGCTTGACCTCCGTCGTGGTGCATGGGCTAAGTATTTCGTACCTCTCGTTGGTGGCCGCTACCCCTGTCCTCACGTCCTTTTCTACGCGTCATTGGAGGTAGATTCGGTGTCCGAAGGTATCCTGTACCTCCCAACTCATACCAGAGACCACCAGAACAGCCGGTCGGCATCGCAATGTAATGCCATCAATCCAACGTGGTGATGTTACGACGCCGGTACTTTGAAGGCATGCCGTTGAACAGCAGAAAAAAAAAAAGGTAAACCAGGGCTAGTGAAATACCTTGAAATTCAATGTTCCGACGAGTGTGGGCATGAAATAGCTTCAATACATTTTCCCATCCCCACCACAACGGGGAATGGCAAATGCCAGTCTCTTTTCGCGCTAAACACAAGCAGATATCGATCAAAATGGTTGATGTATCCAGTGCCATTCCTCAGCCTGTGCGTGCATACTTCGCGCAAGTAGCCTACTACCTTGAAGTACACGCGGATGGACACTGTACTCACATGGCGTACTTCGTACCTTGCACTTCGTGGCTCGTCGTTGGCTCGTCACAGCTTGTAGAGCATCATCCAGTCCAGGCCGTTCGATCGGCTGGGTCCGGTTCGAGTCCCGCCATCTTCTTAAAACTCCACTAGTTTACGAGGTCAAAGTAGCATCGTGTAGCTGAAGTAACAAATGAACCTTGAAGCCAAGTGAAGACCCAATCGAGTGGAGCGCACCCGGCTCAACCTGGTCACCCACGCTCGGGACCACCTCAGACCTGATCAGAGACCTGACCTTTGGCAGCCCATTAATATCATTTGTGTTTCCTGGAAACCTGACGGCAGCTGGCTCACTGGTTTTATATCGTCTACTTTCCCTCTTTGCCACTTCAAGACTGCTTCTCCTCCCCGACCCTGACCCTGCATTCTGCTCATGAATCCCAGCTTGTGAAGCTTGTGCTTCTTCCTTCGATTCTCGGTTTTCTTCGAGTCTTCTCTCCAAAGCTGATCCAGCATTGACGTTCTCTCCAAAATACATATATTGTCTACTCCTGGGAAGCTCTACCTTACATTAGCGCAGAGATCAACAGCAAGCAGCATACTCGCCTCACACGTATAATCCCCAGTCGCTTATACTTCACCGCCCCCCCAAGCCAACCCCCCCTATACTCTGGACCCTCAAAACGACTTGCTCTCGTGCTCCGGTTCATCTTCCCCTGCTCCAATACCCTTTCGCTTGCGGACTCGACTCGAACCCCTCTTGCGATATCTGAGACGTCGGTCTCATCCACACGACTTCGTGCCAACTCTTCCACTTGCGCCCGGGCACCAGCCAAAGCAACAGGAGCCATCAAATCAGGGCCTTTCCATCATTTCAGCAGCTAGCACCGAGTCCAGGCCAACGCCAACACCCAATACTGCCAGGCTTGGAGCGCTAAGTGATCCTAGCAAATCCGACTTGGAAACTCCAGCAGTTAATTCTGTTGGTGTTCTATGGTCTACCCATTGCACTTGCATCACAACAAAGCTGCAGGGCTCTCTATTATCTGTCGACGACACGGGACATTTTGGCAAGGCCCTGTTATTACCTGACCATATAACATCATAACATTTCCTCTTAAGGTGACCCGCTGTGCAGTGCAGCTCCTAAAAAAAAAGGAGCTTCTGTTATCACCACTGTCCACCCATTAATGTTATAGTTCCGATTGTATTGCTACCGAATGATACTATCGCTCCAGCTCCATCGCCCCTTCCAGCTTATTATTATTCCTCCTGCTCCCTATTATTCAGCACAGGCATTCTTCTTTTTACGAACAGCCAAACAGTGGCAGCTCACACTCCAAAATGTTCACCCAACCATTCTCTTCTCCAGCGACATCCTCACCCACCCCCGTGGTCTCATCCCATGCCTCAGTATCTTCCAGGAGTAGCCGCCTCCGGGGGCTCAGCTACCTAAGAAATTACACACAGAGTCACCTTCTATCACGCGATCAAAATTCTTCATCTTCTTCATCATCTTCAGCGACATCTCCACGATCTTCTCGCCCACTCTCGCTCTCAGCTCTTTCTCGCTCTTCTGGCTTCTCCCACTCCCACTCGCTCCACAGCCCAACCTCTGCTTCCACATCTACCAGCACTACTAGTCCTACCACCACCACCCCTGCTGCAGCCCCGACTGCCGTAGCGAATTTTGACGACCAGCCCACCGAACCAGCGCATTCTAGCAATCGATTTTCCGCAATCGAACCTCTTCGAGAACCATCTCCCACTTCGACTTCTCCTACGTCTTCTTCGACTTCTGCAATTAATATCGCGGGCTCAAATACTGGCTCCTCCTCGATTTCTCCGATCGCCCCTGTTCCTGTCGAATCGACTCTCCCAGACGCACCACCACCTGCGGCGGATGCCACCAATCCTAGCGCCCCTCAAACTACCGACTCGACTTCTCCCGAAACTGACACCACTCATCCCCTTGACGAAGACACCATGCCTCGTTCTCGTGATAACGGGGCGGCGGCCGCCTCCGAAAATCTCCCCTCCATACGTTTTTCGTCTTATTACGACGCGAGGGCTCCGCGACCCTCTCTGAGTTTCCTGCCCGTCTCGAGAACGCTTCCTACCGGTTCCGAAGTGATCAAGGTCGGCAGGTATTCCGAACGCGATGCACAGCCTCAAGTTCCGCCAAATACGCCCTCTGCTGCGCCCGTGGGCTTTAAGAGCAAGGTTGTGAGTAGGCGACATTGCGAGTTCTGGTTTGAGAACGGAAAGTGGTACATCAAGGATGTCAAGAGTTCGTCTGGCACCTTTTTGAATCACATTCGCCTGAGCCCTCCCGGCACTGAGTCGAAGCCATACATCGTCAACGATGGAGATATTATCCAGCTCGGAATTGACTTCAAAGGAGGGGAGGAGATGATTTTCCGATGCGTGAAGATGCGACTGGAACTCAATAGAGGCTGGCAGAGCAAACTCAATAATTTCAAGTACGTCCGTCCTACTTCACTCTCAACCCCTCTGCAGCAGAGACCTGCCCCTCGCTCGCGGCACTTTCCTTCGAATATGGCCATTGCCCCTTTCAATTTCGTTTTTGAGGCATACAAGTCTAATTTATTGGTTCTGATGATAGCATGTCTACGCACAAACGTCTCCGAAACCTCGCTTCCAATGGCTCTGGCAGCAACTCGTCCCAGGACTGTTCCATTTGCCTAAACTCCGTTGCGGTACGAAATAAACCTAACTTTATTTGTTAACCTTTCCAATTTAGAATTCTGTTATATCGTGCAACTCGCGGAACTAACACATGGTACAGCCCTGCCAAAGTTTATTTGTCGCACCATGCTCTCACACATGGCATTTCAAATGCATCAAGTCGTTGCTAACATCGCCGCAATACCCAATCTTCGTGTGTCCCAACTGCCGCGCCTCGGCCGATCTAGAGGCAGAAGTAGAGGATCCATGTGAGGAGTGGCAACAGCTTACGGGCGAAGAGTCAGCAAACGACGAGTCGAACAATGAGCCAGCTAGCACCGCTGCAGACACGACGTCTGTGGATTCTCATCTTCAAGTACCGGAGACAAGTGTTGCAGACGTCGGCGATGTGACGATGCCAGTCGATATCGCCACCCCCCCTCGGTCGGACCAGGCTCTCCCTGCCAATAGGTCGCAGAACAGCTCCGATCCGGTTCCCATCCCCCCGTTACTCCGGAACCAGGCTCGCCCTTTGCCTGCCGGTCTAGATGTCCTAACGAACGGTCACGAAGGTCCCATTACGCCTAGGAACAATGCCGGTCCTTGGGTCTTCGACGGTAGCGCGGGTATTGCTGGACTCGCACCCGGACTGGCAGGGGCTGATGTCGCCCTTGGCGAGATGCGGAGTCTTGACTCGGCCGCAATGGAATCGGTGGGACATTCATAGGGGAGCCTACCGATGCCAAGCCGTCGCTATTCTCGCTGCCCTGCGGAGGATGAATGGGACACCATCACCTAAAGCGGCATATAACAATACTTATTATCATTTCAATTCCGGGCGGCTGGTCTCTTAATTTTGTTTTATTTTTCTTTTTCTCGATTTGTCGGCAAGCGAGTAATGCATATCTCACCTTCGGGAGTCCCTCTGGACTGGAGTTTTCTACTCGAACTGGGCCATGAAGAACATTCCATGACGACCCACACCGGCCTATACAGCATCCATTTTTATTTTCCACGGGTATCTTGGGACTCCTCAGGAGTATCCTAGATAGTTATTATGTCTAGCGACGGCGCACATACCGCAGACAAACGTCATTTGAGTTTTTTTCAAATACCCCATCGAGGAGGAGAGAAATAAGCTAGAAGTCAAAGTCAAGAACACACCGCGCATAACATATATATGGCGTTTGGCACAAATGGAGTTTGGGAGAGAGCATTGATCTGAAATCCAGGCGCTGGAGGTCAAGCTTTACACGGGTCTCTATATGAGCCCCTTTTCATAGGGACGGACAAGACGGGATTGGTGGAGGGCATGAAAGTTGTTCCGGGGGCCGTTTAGGGGGCACACATTCTCTATCTCTTTGTTTACTTCTCTTTTCCCCCTCCTCGGCCTCCCTTGTTCCCTGCATTTTCTTTCTGGGCGACTTATGGTGGTTTTTTTTTTTCGGGACTGCCGATATCTTTTTATAGCCCGTCACTCTCCTTGTTCATATGCATTATTGGCGCTTGTATTCATGATTCTAAACGTTTTCTGACGGTGCATTGCCTGTTTGACCTGGGCCTATTCCACCCACAGTGCCTCTATAATGAGAACCGATGACCTTGTTCATATTGATGATACCTATTAGCTATGTGTTTTTCTTTTTTTTTTTCGTTGGAATCTATGCGCTGCAGGATATCGCGTGTCCAAGGGACAGGAGAAGACCCCAAGTTTCGATACTCGGAGCAACTTCCTACGGGTGAGCTGGCCATTGGCGGGGCTTGCATGTCTCCTGTTAAGGCTCCATGTTCCTTTAGAATACCTGATGTCGTTGAGGAGATTCTCGAGCCGGACATAACAACATTGAAGCACGTGGGTGTCTGCCCAACAACCCCCACCGTCGTAGGAGGACCGTGACGTAAAGGTCAGCTGTTTGTGCTCTGCCCAAGCTGCGAGAAGATGTAACAATAGGCTTCCTTGTCTGTAGCAACTCAAGACCTGGAAAGCTGAGGAAGCCAGAGAAACTAGTGGGATTCCCCGTTAGGGCCCCCTTTTCGGAAATAAACTTAAGATTATGAAATGGTTGCACGCCCTTGTTCCTTGTTCGATCGGAACATCTTCTGGCGATGGCGTCCCGTCCTGACTGTATGGAGTAATACACCAGACTGCCACCAGCTTGGGCTCTCTGGCACGTACATTTTGACGACCTGCAACCTAGGTACAATTATTTCGTTTTCAATTGGGTTTGTCCACTTCAAAACGCGTTAAAATGCATAGCCAGGCGTCTTGTGCGACCTGTAGGCACGAGTGTCTGGGAGGGCAGACATCTAACCCCGGCGCTCACAGGCACCGTGAGTACACAGCCAGGCCCATTCTCAAGACCTCCTTGCCTTAGTTTTAGGCAGCCTTTGATATTGCGAAGTATATCCCAATCACATCACTCGACTTGGCAACTTGTTCTCGACCCTAAAATAGATGGCTACAGAGACCCGGCCGTTCTCAAGCCTCCGCGGTACCGCGGATACATCTTCATTTCTCACTGGCTCAATCCCGGCCTCCGCATTTCGAATGCGTCGCGAGGCTTGATTAGGCGCGGGGAGGTTACTTACACCTCCCCACCAAACCTCCTGTCTTTAGCCCCGCGCTGCCAGCAAGGCTATGAACACGAACGAGATCGTTTGATGGTTCGTTTCATCAGGTATGGGCAGCCGCCTCATTTCTACGGACTGCCGCTTGAGCGGGCTCGAGAAGGAAGCTGCTCTCTCTCAATGTCGAGCCTACTAAGAGCAAATTTAAACAATAAAATATATAAAAATACTGAAAATGAGAAGCACTTCCTTATACACCATTCCAATACAATAGCTGTTTTCATACACTTATTGACCCTTTTTATTCTAGTTTACCTTGTGAAAATTCCGAATACTTTTATAACTATTAATTCTTATTTGTTCTCTTAATCTCGAGCCTACTTAAAGGTCGGCCAAATGCCTTCTCATCCCATCACAACGCCTAGCCAGGCTTGATCCAAAGTAGCTCACAAAGCCTTTGCCTGCCCAACATGCCCCTAGATTTTCCATCAGAGGGGTACAACCTCACCGAAGATCCCGAAGTATTGCCCGAAAACCTTTTACGCACCGAGTGTCTAAAGGTCTTCGTCGAATTTCTACAAACCAGCGGGGCAGCGAATGCCAAAAACCACGTTATCCTCAAAATCGACTTCAAGACTACCTGTGAGGGATACCGAGGCACCCGGATATCCATGGACGTTAAATTCGACTTGGTAGCACGGGGTCTGATGACTCGGAGCCGGGGCGTAAGCCCGGCAAGATGCTCGTGAAGCCAGTTATATATACCGGAGTATCCGCCAGTTCTGCGCGTACCTTCCAGATCAGCGTGCACCCCAATCTTCCGCTCAGCTACATTATTGACACCCTCCTGCATCACAGGTTGCATGACTTCTACTTTACCAACATTAATGCGAGGTACTATGGCTGCCGCGATTTCATGTAAGTATCCAGCACCTAATATATCTTCTAGCCAGAGCTAACCCCACCACTTCAGTGCACAAGCTTTGACAGTACTGCGCTCGCAGACATACATAGACCCGTATATTGTTCGCTCCATCCCAACCAACCCGGAAATGCCTGTTGATAGTGTCTTTGATGCCCTGGGAATGCGGTTCAGAGGCGGGGGTTTCTCCGCTTTCCCAATTGATAGAGGTTCTTTCGCTGAGTTTCAGCGTGTTGAAGAAGGACTGCCGTACGACGGCTCATGGAGAGCAGCGGAAATCGAATCGTTGATTTCTAGCCTGTAAACTAAGGGGTAACTGTGCCCTAGTCATTTGCGTAGTTAGAGGGTAGCCCTGGAACTTGCAATTTGGACAAGATAATATATTCTCATTTAATAACTTCGTATACATTTCGAGCCCTGACTTACACTCTTATTCAGAAACAACTTACGCAATTTGGACAAGCTAATATATTCTCACATGAAAACTTCGGATACATTTCGAACCCTGACTTACACTCTTATTTAGAAATAACTTGCGAAGAAAAAAGAAAGAAGCAGCAGTCAGATCATAATGAAGAGGGTTGCAGTAGTTCAGGGCGGATGGGTGGAGTTTCTCTAACTGGTTGGGGTAAGGGAGCTGTACTAGCTCCGCAGGCGTGGGAATTTGATGGCCGTCGGGAGGAGGGAGCCTGTGGTATTCCCAAACAACATGGACAGAGGTAGTAGAAGACATGATGGAGATATCTAGCCGATGTCTGGTCCATATACAGAGGTGAGGCTAGTGTGAGGAAGGATGACGGATGGCAAGTTGGGTTGATGGGAGGCTGTTGGGTGGTGGTGTGGCGATGCCTCTTGTAATGTGGGACCTGCGTTCTGGGGACTTGTGGTTGTGGGGTCCGTCCCGAAGTTCAAAGGGAAGGTGCCGTGCTGTAGTGATTGCACTGGGGCCAAGAACCAGTACGGGACTTCTCAGCCGCTCAAGTACTGACGTTGTATGAAGAAAGACGACTTCGGAAGACATATTAATCAGAGTTATATCTCATTGAAAAGGATATACAATTAACCAAAAGGGTGAAGCAATTGAAGAGAGAAAATAAAAATAGCGGAAAAACGCCGAAGATTTGGTTCTTCCTTGATCTGGCGTGCAACCTTTGCAAAGCCTGTTGTTGCCTCGGAGCAGGGCTGGTGTCGGAAGTACCATTGTACCAATTGATGCTGACAAAATCCTCCGTTATCTTATCACCGAACTCGCCTTTTACGCCTCGCAAAGTCTCGGCTCGCATATTTTTCATCAAACTTCCAGCATCGAAGGTCCCGCGACGATTCCTCAGAATTCCCGGCGAAATACTTTGGAAATTACCGCGATCGGACCGGACTCGAAAATTGAGACACGAGGCAAATAAGATACTGTTTTCGAGATGTTGCGATCGCTGGTTTCCCGCGCCTCCAGCCGGACGGTGGCGCCCTGGTTGACGAGGACGGTAAAGCCGGTTGCTGCACGACCTGCGGTTGCGACGAGGTCTCTTGCCACAGTAGTTGGTGGTGAACGGGTGTGTCCGGTCTCAATTCCATGCTCTCCTCTGTTCCGGGGGATATCCTCCATTGTTTACTGACCACAACTCGCATTTTCAGGAACCCACAGAGTTAGACAACATTACCCGACTTCCAAATGGCCTCCGCGTCGCCTCCGAAGCGCTCCCAGGCTCCTTCTCCGGCGTGGGCGTCTACATCGATGCCGGCTCGCGATTCGAAGACGAATCCCTCCGCGGCGTAAGCCACATAATGGACCGACTAGCCTTCAAGTCGACATCGAAGCACAGCGCCGACGAGGTCCTCGAGCAGATCGAGATGCTTGGCGGAAACATCCAGTGCGCCTCGAGCCGCGAAGCCATGATGTACCAGGCCGCCACGTTCAACTCGGCCGTCCCCTCCGCGCTGGCCGTGCTCGCCGAGACGATACGCGATCCGCAGATTACCGAGGACGAAGTGGCGGACCAGCTGGACACGGCGGCGTACGAGCTGCAGGAGATCTGGGCGAAGCCTGAGATGATCCTTCCGGAGCTGGTGCACACGGCGGCATATAAGGATAATACGCTGGGGAACCCGCTGCTGTGTCCCAAGGAGAGGCTGGATCAGATTAATGTTGCGACTGTGCAGAAGTACCGTGAGCTGTTTTATAGGCCGGAGAGGATGGTTGTTGCGTTTGCTGGCGTGGATCACTCGACTGCTGTTAAGCTTGCGGAGCAATACTTTGGTGATATGAAGTCGACAGAAGACCCGGTCTTGTCGAGGACGGGGTCGGAGACGTCCCTGGACTCATTGAGTTCCCAGAACAGCTTCTCGTCCTCCTCGTCCTGGTCATCGTCAGGATCCTCCCAGGTCTCCGGAGGAGCCATGGCCGCCATGAAATCTCCCGCCAGCCTCCTCTCCAAAGTCCCCTTCTTCAAGAACCTCTCCACTTCTGCCCCCACCATGGCCTCCATCCTCAACACCACTCCATCCCAAGACATTTTCCGCGCCGCCCAATATACGGGCGGCTTCCTCGCCCTGCCCCCCTTACCTCCTTCGCCTAACCCCGCTCTGCCCAACTTCTCCCACATCCACCTCGCCTTCGAGGGTCTACCCATCGTATCCGAAGATATCTACGCCCTCGCGACACTACAGTTCCTCCTTGGCGGCGGCGGCTCCTTCTCGGCCGGCGGACCCGGTAAGGGCATGTACTCCCGCCTCTACACGAACGTGCTCAACCAGCACGCCTGGGTAGAATCCTGCATCGCCTTCAACCACACCTACACCGACTCGGGCCTCTTCGGCATTTCCGCCTCGTGCATCCCCGGCCGGACGGCCTCAATGCTCGACGTCATGTGTAGGGAGCTCCGGTCCCTCACCCTCGACTCGGGCTTCTCGGCCCTCAATGAGACGGAGGTCTCTCGCGCCAAGCACCAGCTCCGGTCTAGTCTGCTCATGAACCTCGAGAGCAGGATGGTCGAGCTCGAGGACTTGGGCCGACAGGTCCAGATTCATGGGCGGAAGATCCCCGTTGCTGATATGTGCGAGAAGATTGATAGGTTGACCGTGCAGGATCTTAGGAGGGTGGCGAGGAATGTGTTTGGTGGGTTGGTTGAGGGTTCGGGTTCTGGTGCGCCTACTGTTGTGTTGCAGGAGTCGCAGCCTGTTGGGCTTGCGAGCTGGAGTCAGATTCAGGAGATGATTTACGGCTGGGGTCTTGGGAAGAGGTGAGATATGTCAAACTGGTTTGTTCCCTGGATAGGGCAGTGCAACAATGATGGGGGTTCGGTATATTCTTGAAAACATACATACACACACACACGCATCTCAGTGGGCTTGGCGTCCTTTGTATAATAACTATCAGACGAATTTCCTTCTTTCTTTTTTTGTATAAATCGGGATCACTGAAACGGGGCGAGAAAACGTGCGTATACCAGGAAGAGAGGCATCTACGATGCTAGTATGACACAGAATAGACTCCTCACTTCATTAAGGAAAAGAAGGTCAAATTTCTAGTAGACTCTACCGTTCAAATTTCTCGCAACTCTAAGCAAAATAACACCAAATCCCAAAGCGTTTCTTGGGTCGGAAGACCAAACCAGTTCTATGCCACAATAAAATAAAACGCCATTCTTGTAGTCGTTAGATGATACCGATCCAGGCCAAATCCTTATATCTCGCCATGTAACCCCCCTCAAAAGAGAAAACCATAGAAATCGCCAAAGTAAAACAAACAAGAAGCGGATAACCGAGACGCGGAATTGAAAAAAAAAAAAAGAGCCGGTGAGCTAGTCTCATAGCTTTGACCGTACGGCCTCTAGTCTGTACTTTACGTCCTTGAGGGCCTTCGTCGTGGGTTTCCAGTCATCGAATTGTCTAAGCAACTGCTCGGTCTCGGATGAAAGTTCCGTCTTGACGAAGTCTTCTTCGAGAAGGCCGCGCATGACCCAGGGGAGGAGGTAAGGGTTAGGAGAGGCGAGTGCGCCGTGTTTATGTACGCAGCAGGCAGTATTTGCTGCTACATCGGTCGTTTCGAGGGCGTGGGAGACGGCGAGGCTAGAAAAGCATTAAGTGAGCATAATAGTTTCATAAAATTGGCGCAAGAACAAGGAATCATACTCGTAAACTTGGTCGTCATAGTAGAGACGCGAGTGACCTTCGCCGCCGTACAAGCTTCCCGCTAGTGGGATGGAGAGTTCACGGATAAGACCGTGGTCTGATACGCCAAGGTTCCTCAGCTTCAAAGCGAATCCAACAAGGTGCGCAATGCTAAGGAGCTCAGTCAGCAATCTTCGAGCAGATTCAAAGTCATATCAGGTTACTTACAAGTCAGGTGCGTGAATACGACCGTCGATGAAGACTGCTCTGTAGATGTATGGGTGGTCGGCAGGGGAGCAGACAGCAGACTAGGTAAAATGACACGTTAGCCACGAGTTTCGCTACGGGTACTGGAGCGATTTCTCATACCTCCATAGGAACCAATTGATCATCTATGCTGCCGATAAAGGTAATTCGGACTCCGTACTCCAGAACCTCCTTCAAGGCCGTCTCGTATCGCTGGGATACTTCACTTGCTGGGTTGGCAAGCTCCCACAACTCAGCTGCTGCACCCATAAACATGCCCATGCTGGACTTGTAATCAGGGAATGGTCCCAAAGTGACGCCGGCTAAAGAGATAGAATTAGTGAATGTCTTGGAAATGAAAAGAAGAAATTGAGGATTAGGAGGAAAACGTACCCATGGCACAGACGCCAATCTTGGCATTCTTAATAATTCCCAAGTCTATGAGCTTCGCAAGCAATATGATGCTTACAGGAACGCCCTGAGAATGACATGCAACGATAACCAAGTCGGCGTTTCGTAGATGGTCAATCCAGTTGAGCAACAGCGTCCACAGATTGCTCACCCGGTCAGCAATCTTCCCTTCACCCTCGAGCGCCACCGTCTCGATGACACAATCCGACTGCCCGTTTGCCTCTGCCCATCGCCGGATGGCCTCCGCGCCAAGGTTCGCAAAGCGAATCGACGTTCCCGTTGGCTGGCCGATAATAGCCTTCAGATAGGCTGCCGGAAACAGCCCATGAACCCCGATCGATATCGCCTTCTTGATCCTTGGTGGCTCTTTTACCCGATAAACGTGGTTTGCTGGGGGTTGCCTTGTCCGTAGGAGGAAGTCGGTAATCTGCCGCATGATTGACGGATTGCCTTTCATACTGTACGTGCTCCGGAAGGATGGAAGTAGGAGGTTCGGAGGGAGAGGAGCGATAGATGGCTCCTTGGCTTGCGAGGGAGTCTTCGCGGGGGTTGTGGCAGACGGAGGTGTGGCCTGATCGGTGGCTACGGCTGCCTGTTTGGCACCCTTTGTCGGCTTTCCGTCCTGAGGGCCTGGTGTCGTCGGGGTGATGGGGGCTACATCAATATCCATCGACTGCGGGCGGTTCCTCTTATTCTTTGCTCGAGGGGTAGCGGGTGTTGCCACCTTTTTTTTCGACTCGGCAGCGTCTGATGGCTTCGGCTGGCCAAGCTCAGAAGTGGTCGCGGGCTGAGGTTGCGATTCAGAACCTTCGCCAATAACAGCTAGCTCACCCACTTCCGCCGGTTGACTTGTGGTACCTCGGGATTTTGCGCGGCCGTTTCGCGACCAAAACGCCCACGTCGACCCTGCCGAGGGCGGCTTCACCGGCTCAGGCTCCGCCTTTGGACCTGCCTCGTCACCTTTGGAATCCGGAGGCGTTGCGTCGGTCATGACGACATCTTCGGAGGCTGGAGGCACCGGAGCTTCCTCCACAGGTGCCCTTGCTGTGGCGGGGAAAACCTCGGGCGTAGGTCCCGTCCATATGGTGGTTGAAGATGACCAGAATCCGAACCAGTAGCTGGTGGACGTAGTAGTTTGGTCCAAAGTGGTGTCGGCAGACTGAACCTCTCCAGTCTGTTCAGAAGTCTCTATAGGAGTAGAGTCTGCGGGTTGTTCCGACCCTTGCTGTTCTTCCTCTTTTACATCGCTCTCATCCGCGTTCGCTGTCTCTGTGATTTCTGTGGCTTCTTGAGGTGGTAACTCGGAAGGAGGTGCCGGCGACCGACCAAACCACGTGAACCAACCAGACGATGTGGAATGCGAGTGAGAAATCAAGATATCGGGTTTAGATTCGTTCGTAGCGTTGGGTTCTTCGTTGTCGGGCGCCGATGGCGCGTCTGCGACTACTGTAGGTTCGTTCGAGTGAATCTGGTCATCTTCTTCAAGATCCATTTTACTATCGGTTCGGCTCGGTACGTCCTCTTGTGATGTAGTCTCTTGGGCAGTCTCCGAAGTCTCTTGGGCCTTAGTGATGGTGCGCTGGGACGGGGCGAGTGATGCACTGGAGGGAGATCGGTGAAGACTCGAAGTCGGCGTCCGTCCGGTTTCGAATCGCGTAAAATCGGGCGTGCTTCCGGCTTTCATGGTTCCTCCAAGGATATTCTCTCTTGCAACTTGTGTCGACGGGGCAGATTTGGGCACTCGTGGCCATGATCCATACCAACTGCGAGTTTTGTGAACCTAGAAGGAGGTGAGTTAGTACCCAGCAAACCTCCAGACGCATGCTAGAAATTACCAACCTGTTTACTTAAGTTCTGGGCAGCCCCAGGGATGTCTCTCCCTGTCGACTTCTGGGTTTGAGGAGGCGGTGGTGGCATCTCGTGTTGTGAGGCCTGTGATACGTTGGAAGATTCCGGGATCGAGCTTGGTTGGTTCTCGGCATTCGGCGGCGATTTGGAGCTGGACGAGGCGGTGGATGAGGCAGAGGGCGGATTTGGCCTCAGCCGCTTCCGAGGCATCATCTTCACAAGTTGGCGAAGAGGGAGGATGTGTAAAGTCGACGTCCCCATAAATCGAAGATGAGCCTGACTGGGGACGCCGTGTTATTCCGGCTGCCTTGGGTCTTGGGGTGGTGTCGTCACCGGATTCTAACTGGTTTGTACTTTTATGGACCCCTCCAAGTCAAAGTCTCTGGTCCACAATGGTGCTGCTTGTGGACGCGCTGATTGGTCTCAGTCGCTTGACCGCTCAACATTGCAAGGCTGATTCTCGGCTAAACTTCCTTATCTTATCGCCTAATTTTTGGTGGGGTGGGATCCACTAAACAGCTGCAGGAATTGAAGGGAAGGAACCAAAAAAAAAAAAAAAAAGGTAGAAAAAAATAAAAATTTCTGAGCTTTGGTTTCCTTTATACACGAGCCGGCTACATGTTCGACATATCCCCTCGGTCTTTCATGCACACACAATGAGTGCGGTAAAGAGGAAGGGTGGCCCTAGTGCCAAGGGCACAAAAGAAAACCCGGCGAAACGAAAGAAATTCGATACACCAGAGAAGAAGAATGCTAAATCGCTAGGGCAAAATGGGACGAAGGCGCCGGCTTCCGCAAAGGAATCGATATTGACGAACCCCCAGGCGACGAAGACCTCAATCTTGTCCTCGCTCAAGGATGATGAGCCAATGTTCCCTCGAGGAGGGGGTAATATCCTCACTCCACTCGAGCAGAAGAAGATTCAAATGCAGGCGAAGGAGGATGCTCTTCAAGAAGATGAGCTCGAGACCTCCTCCAAGCGAAAGGGTAAGAAGAAGGAGAAGTCCAGGAAGAGAGAAAAGAAGACCGCGGACGAGAAGTTTGACCCGGATGCTGTGAAAGTAGAGAGTTTGAATTTCAAGGTAAGTGCGCCAACTCGTCGTATGGCTCTATATAGGCATCAGTCCTCGACACCCACTTACGCAACTCGACATGTAGAAACTAGTGAAAGGTTCTCTTGTACTGGGACAAATCATCGCAATCAACCCGCTCGACCTTGTAGTTGCGCTTCCTAACAATCTCACCGGCACTGTCTCGATCACCGCCATCTCCGATACCCTTACAACTCGCCTTCAGGAGCAAGAGGCCACCTCGGATGACGAGAATGACGAGCAGCCGACGGCGCAGGAAATCGATCTTTCGTCTCTCTTCCACATCGGACAGTACATCAGGGCTTCAGTTCTTTCTACAATGGACGAATCCAAGCTGGAAAAGAAGGGCAAGGCCAAGGCCAAGAAGCGGATCGACCTTTCACTCCGACCATCCGATACGAACCCAGAGCTCACGACCGAGGACATTGTCACTAGTGCGTCGCTTATGGCTTCTGTTATTAGCGTTGAAGATCATGGTTGTATCATGGACATTGGACTCGAGGGCTCCGATATTCGCGGTTTCCTCCCGAAGAAGGAGATTGACGAAAGCATCGGCCAGCGCCGCCTCCAGCCCGGCAACGTCTTCCTATGTCTCGTGACTGGCCGGAGCCCCAACAAGCGGGTTGTTCAACTTACCACGGTTGCCGAAAAGCTCGGTTCGCTGAAGGCGGTTCCCTACGATGCGACGACCATTAACACCTTCCTCCCCGGCTCTGTTGCGGAGGTGTTGATTACCGATACAACTTGGGGGGGCGTGATCGGCAAAGTCCTAGGACAACTTGATGTGACTGCCGATATCGTACACTCCGGGGTAGCTAGTGACGCGGTCAACATTGAAACTGCCTGCAAAATAGGTTCGAAGATTAAGGCGAGGGTGGTTTGCAACTTTGCCACCGCAAAGGACCCTAAGCTGGGCATATCTTTGCTGCCCCATGTCCTTACACTTACTCGGAAGAATGTTTCAACCGAAGATGGTGAGGTGAAGAGTCCACTTGAGGCGCTGCCGATCTCGTCTATAGTTGAGAAATGTGTTGTCAAAAAGGTGGAGAACGACATGGGCCTGTTCGTCGATATCGGCCTGGACGGCCACCGTGGATTTGTTCACATCTCCCGAGTCAAAGACGGAAAGGTTGACGCACTCTTCGAGAACAGCGGCCCGTACAAGGTCGACTCAGAGCACCGAGGCCGTGTGTTAGGATACAACCCTGTGGATGGTATCTTCCAACTTTCTTTCGAGCAAAGTGTCCTCGACAAGAAGTACCTTCGACTCGAGGATATTCCCATCGGCGAAGTCGTTAGCTGCACGGTTGAGGCGGTCGTCATTGGCCCTGAAGGCGTCAAGGGTCTCATTGTGAAGTTGGCCGATGGCATAACCGGATTCATCACCGAAAGGCATCTCTCTGACGTGCAGTTGCAGCATCCCGAGAAGAAGTTCCGAGAAGGCATGACTGTCAAGGCTCGTGTACTTTCCGTCGACCTGCTCGAGCGGCAAATGCGCCTGACCCTGAAGAAGACTCTTGTCAACTCGGATGCGCCAGTCGTCAAGACCTTTGACGATGTGGCAGTTGGCATGCAAGTGCCCGGTACGATCGTCAAGGTGCTCCCTAATGGCGCTTCGGTTCAGTTTTACGGATCGCTTAGGGGCTTCCTGCCGCGCTCAGAGGTGAGCGAGGCTTTCATTCGCAACCCCGAGGAGCACTTCCGCGCTGGCCAAGTCGTTAGCCTTCACATTATCGATGTAGATCCTGAGACGAACAAGCTGATTGTCTCCTGCAAGGATCCTTCATCTTTCGGCGTTGAAAAGCAAACTGCGCTGAAGAACCTCCAGATCGGGGATATCGTCTCCGGGAAAGTGACGGAGAAGACGGAGGATGTGATTCTCGAACTGGATGGTAGCGGCCTTAGAGCGACTCTCTCTGTAGGCCAGCTAACTGACAGGTCCCTCAAGAAATGCCACTCTGAGCTCAAGCGGATACATGTCGGGCAAACTCTCAACGACTTGATGGTCATCGACAAGCATGACCGACGGAGAGCAATCGTCCTAACTAGGAAGCCTAGTCTCATCGAGGCTCAGAAGTCGGGCAAACTGCTTGTGGATGCTAGTGCTGTCAAGGTTGGTGATGTCCTCGCCGGCTATGTGCGGGACATACTGCCTGGCGGTGTCCTCGTACAATTTGGCGGTGGCACCCGAGCGCTATTGCCCAAGTCTCGCATTCCTGCCGAAGCCCGAGAAAAGGAGGATTTCGGCATGTTTAAGTTGCAGTCTCTCACCGTCAAGATTGTATCCGTTATTCCTGATCAAGGTCGCTTGGTGGCCGCTCTCCCCACGTCAGAGGAGGAGGAAGCCAGTGAGACTGAGCTCGCCTTTGGATCACGCGTAAAGGCAACAATCGCCTCTGTCCGTGACACTCAGCTAAACGTCAGGGTCAATGGAAACCAGCATGGAAGGATTGACATGTCTGAGCTCTTCGATAAGTGGGCGGACATTAAGGATCCCAAGTCTGCTTTGGCCTCGTTCAATCAGAACGATGTCATCGACGTCCGGGTGCTTGGTACTCACGACGCGCGAAACCATCGCTTCCTTCCTATTTCCCATCGCGGATCCAGTCACCAGGTCCTTGAGCTTACAGCCAAACCGAGTGCGCTGAAAAGCGAACCGCTTGAGGCAGTTACCATCGACAAGATCGAGGTCGGAGCCGACTACATTGCCTTTGTTAATGCGACTGCCGAACGACACATCTGGGTCAATCTTTCGCCTTTTGTGAGAAGTCGCCTGAACGCCGTCGACATCTCAGATGACGTCTCTGTTCTTAAGGATATCCCAGGCAACTACCCAGTTGGTTCGGCGCTCAAGGTCCGAGTACTCTCCGTCAACGTCGAGACTGGCAGAGTTGACGTTTCGGCCAGCCGCCGCGCTACAACTTCCACCCTATCCTGGGACGACGTGAAGCCCAATGACATCCTGACCGGGCGGGTCACCAAGGCCAACGAACGCCAGGTTCTCGTTCAACTGAATAACACTCTTGCCGGGCCTATCCATTTGCCTGATCTTGCTGACGACTACTCTGACGCAAAGCCCTTAAACTACAAGAAGAACGATCTCATCAAAGTTTCTGTCGTCGAAGTTGACAGGGCCAACAAGCGGCTTCGGCTTTCGACTCGCCCCTCGCGGATCCTCAGCTCTGATGCCCAGGTTGTAGATCGAGAGATTACGAGCGTCTCCGACATCACTAACGGTGATATTGTACGGGGATTCGTGAAATCTGTCACCGATGTCGGTCTCTTTGTTCTCCTGGGTGGCCACGTTTCCGCCTACGTCAAGATTGCCAACCTTTCGGACAAGTTCCTCCAGAAGTGGAAGGACGAGTTCCAAGTCGACCAACTCGTCAAGGGCAGGGTTATCCTTGTGGACACCGTCGCCGGGCGAATTGAGCTGAGTCTAAAGGAGTCGGCTGTTGACGAGAACTACGTTCCTCTCAAGACCTTTAGCGACATCAAGGAGGGCCAGATCCACACTGGCAAGGTCCGCAAGGTGGAATCATACGGTGCGTTTATCGAACTTGACCACTCGGCCAACATCAGAGGTCTCTGCCACCGAAGCGAAATGGCGGAGGAGCCCGTGAGCGATCCTCACAAGCTCTATACCGAAGGCGACGCAGTCAAGGTATACGTCGTATCGGTTGATGAGGAGAAGAAGCGCCTCAGCCTGAGCATGAAGCCGTCCCACTTTGACGGCGACTCCGATTCGGACCTCGATATGGATGATGCCGATAGCGATGCCGGTGCACCCGTCGACGTAGAAATGGACGATGTTTCCGACGACGATGAAGATGAAGATGAAGCTATGGGTGACTTGAAGATTGAAATCAGTGACGGCAGTGATGAGGAAGACGAGGATGACCAAGAAGGTGGAGTCGATCTGGTGGGCGGTGGTCTGGGTGCCGCTAGCTCCAAGTACGACTGGGCTGCCGACGCTTTCGGTGACGGCGACGCGGAGTCGGAGGACGAAGACGAGTCCGGAGCAAAGGGCTCCGAGGCGCGCAGGAAACACAAGCGGGCGCGCATCGAGGTCGACAAGACAGCGGCGCTAGACGTCAACGGCCCACAGAACGCCACCGATTACGAGCGTCTCCTCCTCGGCCAGCCGGATTCCTCAGAGCTATGGATCGCCTACATGGCTCTACAGATGCAGGTCAGCGAGCTTGCCAAGGCTCGTGAGATCGCGGAAAGGGCGCTTAAGACTATCAACATCCGGGAGCAGACGGAGAAGCTGAACGTGTGGATCGCGTATCTTAACCTAGAGATGGTGTATGGTACGAAGGAGTCGCTGAGCGAAGTGTTTAAGCGGGCGTGCCAGTACAACGACGAGCAGGAGGTCCATGAGAGGCTCATTAGCATCTACATCCGAACGGGCAAGCACAAGGTACGTTGCAGTGGTCTTTTCTACACACTGCAGATGTAAGTTCGGGGTCAACTAACAATCTAATTTCAACTACAGGAGGCCGAAGAGCTCTTCCAAGCCATGACCAAGAAGTTCGGCTCCAAGTCACCTCAAGTCTGGCTCAACTACGGCCACTTCCTCTACGTGACCCTCGAAGCTCCTGAGCGAGGCCGAGCACTCCTCGCCAGGGCGCGTCAAAGCCTCGATCAGCGCCACCACCTCAACACCTCCGTCCGCTACGCAGCGTTCGAGTGGAGATCACCCAAGGGAGACCCCGAAAAAGGCCGAACCTTCTTCGAGGGCATCCTCTCCAAATACCCCAAGAAGGGCGACATCTGGAAGCAGCTCCTAGATCTTGAAATGGGAAGCGGCGGCGATAAGGCCGATGCGACAGTGATCCGCGACGTGTTCGAGCGGAGGACGAAGGTCAAAGGCTTGAAACCGCTGCAGGCCAAGAAGTGGTTCGAAAAGTGGGCGGATTGGGAGGCGAAGAGCGATTCTAAGGGCAGGGAGAGGATTATGGCGAGGGCGGGAGAGTGGGTTGCTGCGTACAAGGCGAGGCAGGCGGCAAAGCAGCAGAAGCAGGAGGAGGAAGAAGATGCCGAGGAGCTTGAAGAGTGAGTGGTGAAAAAAAGGAGCGGATTTTGTCTGTATATAAAATTTCTTTTGTTTTGTCTTGTTATTTTCCTATGGAAGCATGGCCAAAATCGAGCTCTGGCTGGTCTTGATTGTCCTTTTTGCCAAGTCTTTGTTGTGTTTCTTGGCCTTGAAGATATTTCGTGTCTCAGGGTACTCGGGTACCGAAATACCCTGGTTCCGGTTTTTCGGTAATCAGATGAGGTCATCGATAAGTTTAGCTCAGCCTTACCCCTAAATTGTGTAATTGTGTGCTGAATCATCCACCAATTGACGCCCAGACTCCCTGAAGCATCGAGGCAAGTAACTTCCAGGCACGAAATATTATTGATCGATAAAGTACACTAGCACTAAGCCAGCCGTGCTGGTCTGATGCAAAATCCGAGCCGTCCGAGAGAGAGAGAGAGAGAGAGAGAGGTAGAGAGCAGCGGAGAGTGGAGAGAGAGATAAGACCGCGATAAAGTTCTCTCGAGGCCATGCTCCAAGGGACCCTTAAAACAGACCCTCTCCCTCTATAATATGCGGTGAACCTCGACGTCTCCGAAACATCCTCCTATCCGTCGTTCATATGTCTCACCCTAAATGTACGACATCCCTCTCGCAATGACATCCCATCAGCGACCCTCTCCCCCGTCAAGCGCGCCATCCCCCTCACCCTCCCATCCCACTACCACAGGTTCTTCCTCCGCTCTGCAAGGCGCGCTCTTAGCGTTCCATCAAGGATCTCCTCCTCGACGACCCATTCCCGGAACACAGCCGACTCCGCCACAGCCTCGACCGAAACCCCAAGCGAAACCGAAGCCAACCACGTCATCCCGACCCGCCAATTCGTTGGCACCAACGAACGCGACGCCGAGGGAGGCTTCTCCATCTCGAAGCGATGCGCCCCTCTCTACGCAGGTAACGGGGCGTGGTGGCGGGAAGAAGCCCTCGAGGGATATTTCTCCCGCGTCGGATACTATATCAGAATTCGCATTAAAGGGGGGAATAAGCCCCGTCTCGACCGGCCAGGCTCCGAGGACGAGCGCCGCGTCGCTGTCGGGTAGCCCAGCGCGGAATGCGTCTTTTCTTGCGGCAACGTTAGCAGCGAGCAGGTCGTCTTCGCCTGTTCCACCGAGGACTGTGAGTCCCGTGCGTACGGGGCTTGCATCGGAGAGGACGGATACCAGTTCTCTTAAACCTGCTACGGCACTGATATCGATGTTTGAGGGTGGTGGGAAGTCGGGGGATCCTATCAAGGTCGATTCGCCGAAGAGGGGGGTGAGTGTGAGGAAGCTGCAGACGCCGTTAGGAAGGCGGTCTGAGGAAAGCCTGGGGAACGCACTTGGGCCTAAGCAAAGAACGGGGCCTGGAGATACGGCGTTGGTTGCGGCAAGGCAGGTGGCCAGGGTTTCTCCCACGAATACCGGGAGGTCGGCGTCGGCCATTCCTGCGCCGCCGCCTCCCAAACGGGCAGGGAATGCGCAGCGACTGCCGACGCCGCCGCAACCTAGAGTTAATACCTCAACCAAGCCAGGTGCCTCTACGCGTGCCAGCGGTACTGAGCCGTCTACAACTACGATTGTGCGTGCGCCCACGACCATGTCGACTACTCGAAGCCCCTTGCCAACAAATCTACGAGACGATGAGGACTTGACTCTTACCAGACGCGATACGAACGACACCACTTCCTCCCACGATACCTTTGTGTCTGCCTCCTCGATACAGTCCCCTTCACCTCCACCCTCATCTCGCTCACCATCCCACACACCGCAACCACCAACCCGTACACCAACCTCCACATCTCCCGCCCCTCGACCGGCCCCTCCACCCCGTCGCAAGCCAGGCGGCACCGCCGCCCCTTCCCTCGGCGCCACGGCGTTATCCAACGCCATCGTAGCCGGCTCCCTTGCTTCCGCGAGGCTCACACCCAGCAACACAGGCGACACCAACCATATCGTCTCTCCTCGTCCTCACCCTTCCCCACGTCTTCTCCAAACCCTCCGCCCCCCCGAGAACCACCACCACTCCGGCCACCATCACCACACTTCTCCCGACGAAATCGACCACGAAAAGCGCCACAAGCGAAGTCGTCTGCCTCACAAAAAACATGCGCATCATGAGGGTTCGCGAAAGCGGTGGCGCGACGGCATGACTGGGGCGCAGAAACGGAGATACGAGGCCGTGTGGGCGAGTAATAAGGGGATCCTCCTCGATAGACACGTCGACGCGGACGGGAATCGTATTTTTGGAGGACCCGGTGAGGGGGAAGGGGAGGAGGAGGATGGATATGTGGTGAACGTGGTTGTGAGGGAGATTTGGAGGAGGAGTAGGCTGCCGAGTGACGAGCTCGAGGAGGTGTGGGAGTTGGTGGATAGAGGCCGGAAGGGGGTGTTGGGACGGAGGGAGTTTGTGGTGGGGATGTGGTTGGTAGATCAGAGGCTGAGGGGGAGGAAGATTCCGGCGAGGGTTGGGGAGAGTGTGTGGGATAGTGCGTGTGGGGTTGTGATGAAGAGGAAGTGAGCAGGTGGGCGCGGGATTCATCCATTATACTTGTCCGTTATACTTGCATTGTATCCTGGCATCATTTGTTTGCGTTGCGGCTTGAACTTTGTACAATACCCTTTTTTTTTTTTTCATAGACGCCAAGTTCTTTTCTTTTCTCTTCAACTCAGAAACTGCGGATATACTAATTTGCAGTCTGAGATATGCCCACCAACGCCCCTCACTATCATGCTCTATAGATACTCCTTCTTCGCGATTCGGTCGCAAGCAGCCTGCAAAGCATCCGCCCCATACTTGAAATCGTCCAAATCAAGATAAACCTGCGCGCTCAGCCTCACCCAAAACCGACCATCATGAATAAAGAGCGCAATAAAAGTCTTGTAATCGTCAATCAAAGTCGTCAACAACCACTGGAAGGCCTTGTCCGACTCGTCAGCGGGTAGAACGGTATCCGTCTCCTTGCCCTTCGCCCCAAGCTCGCCCACCCAAATGGGAAGGGCCACGTTCGACATGGCGCAGTTCGTCAAGGTGCCCTGGCTGTTATCCATGACCTCGGTGCCGAGCTGCTCGGCGACGAGCTTGGCGCCCGTCTTGTTCAGGTCCCACAGATACGCGAGGATCTTTTCCTCGCCGCCGAGTACATCCCGTCGCCACTCGATAGCGTGCGGCACACAGAGGTAAGAAGAGTCATCCAGGGTCCCAACGAACTCAAAGTTCCGCACATACGTGCTCTTCGAGCTCGGCGGCAAAGGCGAAATGCGGCCCTTCTTGGACACGTAGCCGTGGCTCGTGGCCAGGGTAGTGGCGATGAGGTGGTGGTTCCTAACGGGCACGTAAAAGACGGCGCAGCCGCGCGGGACGTGCAGCCACTTGTGGCAGTTGGAGACGAAGAAGTCCGGGTCGGCGGCTGTGAGGTCGAGCTTCACCATGCCGATGCCCTGGGCACCGTCGACGACGCTCGAGACGCCTAGTTCCTTGCAGACGGCGACGAGCTTTTCCCAGGGGAAGACGACGCCGGGCCGCGAAGAGACGACGTCCATGAGGCAGAAGCGGGCGCGCTTCCCCTCGGCCTCGATCTCCTTCACGGCGTCGCGGAATTTTTGGAGAATCTCATCATCCTCGAGAGGATACGTGAGGGGAATCTCCTTACCCGTGACGAGACCATCGCTATAATCCGAAGCGAAATCGATGACCTTCCCGCAGGCCTCATAGATGGTCGAAAAGCTAATGACGACGTCCCGACCGTCCTTGTTCCACTTGATGTTGCGGAAGACGGTGTTGATGCCGACGGTGGCGTTGGAGACGAAGACGACGGTCTCCTCGGGGACCTGGAGGAATTCCGCGATGGCGGCACGGGACTGGTCGAGGAGTTTGGGGTATTCGTAGCGGATGAAGGGGTCCGGGCGGGCTTCGTAGAGAGATTGGTAGTGGGTGCGCTTCTGCTGGATGGCGGTGGGGAAGGTGCCGAAGGAGCCGTGGTTGAGGTTGGTCCAGGCGGGGTCGAAGAGGAAGTCCTTCTTGAGGGACTTGCCGAAGATGGGGTCGTGTTGTTGGGAGAGGGTTGGCGCCATGGTGGATGAGTTTATATATGGATATATAATAAACTATATATATAAGATATATTTCTTCTCTCTTTGAGTTGAAAAATGAGACTGGATCGTCGGCCCAGATTTCTGAGGGAAGGTAAAGTACAAAGCTTTAATCAAGTTCAACCTTGAGGACTTTGACGATGACCTCGAGAGATATTCGAGAGGGCGGTGGTTCCTTGATATCTCCTTCCTTCCACGTCCTGGTCTTATATTCCCTGCTGACTCATATATTGAAAGTGTCAGTCTCGACTCAACTCACTGGATTCTCATAATCTCGTCTAGTTCCGTCAACAACCACATGCATGAGATATCGATGCTGTCCTCACATCACATTGCATCACACATCAACTCGCGGTGAAGCTTACACCTCGTAGGCCAGAGCACATTTCTAATCCAATGGCACACGCCATCCACCCATTAATTTCCATGCGAGAATCCTCATCCCGTGTATGACTCTTTCTCTACTCGACCTCTTTTCTTTGTGCCTCCCAGGCCAGGCCGTCAATTGCCCTTGATAGCCGCCTCGGGGACAACCCACCTTGGTGGAGCTACCCCGCGTCTGGTCTAGCTTTTTTTTTTCTGATACTGCAAGACAACGCCCTTCCGGAGACGAGGTCTGCTTCCCGACCGAGCTCCGGATGAGACCTGTCCAATTGCACGGGACGGAAATCAGCGGTGGGAAAGTGAGTTTTAGGAGAAGGAATGAGCCTATTATTGAGTTGACTCGATCCCGATGGGTTCAGGCGAGTAAGTATGATCGAAATCAAAAAGTTCCAGCATCATACACTCCGCTTCATGGCATGGACATTGCTCGTGCAAATAGCTTCTCCGAAGGTAGGTGAGTCTCAATTGACTCACACAGGGAACCTGCTTTGAGCTTGTCGGGGATGGCACGAGATTGAGAGGAAGATTCTAACAGATAACAAAAGATAACAAACTGCGTAGCCATGGCAAACAAACTCACAAAAGAAGACATAATTTTCTCTCTGTTTTACAAATACGAGAGAATAACAGACTCTTCCTTAAGTCTTCCCGTCATACGTCGCAGGAAGCGGGAAGATTTGACCAAGTCCTTCCACACACTGAAACGTTCTTCTCACACATCAAGCCGCATCCATCCTGTCTATATCCGCCGCTTTTCCTTTCCTCTTTCCGTCCTGCCGCCACCTCATGTGCGTGTAAGAAAAACTCTCCCACGTTCAGGGGCACGCTACGGTATCTCGGAAGCGAGCAGCACTGGTTCGTATACGTTGAATATGTTTGTATTTTGCTGTCAAGACAAATCTCGTCTCAAGGAACTAGCAAACTCCGACATGACCGTTACACCGAAGCATCGCATCTCATCTCCTCAAGAGAAAATCCATTCTCCTCCATCCGCCACTAGCCATTCATTCGCGATTCCTCTAAAGAGACAAAATAGATAATACCCTCGCAGAAGAATCGTAAACACATCTCTCCCTTCGACTGTGACGAGGAAGATTAACTAGGTTTCCCTCAAAACCATATAAGAAAATGGTATCAAAAACAGTAAAAGAAAAGGAAGCCTCAAGTATTCCTCCCGCGGTGTTCCCCCGACTTTGGTTTCCGACTCCCTGATTGGACCTGAGTAACGCCAAGTATAATGAAAAAGAAAGAAGGATAAAAAGAGAAACTCTCAGCAAGGCGTTTGCTTCTTTCCGCCACGGACAACTTTGCATCGCACATCGTACAGTCCAGCAACCGTAGCGTACAGCAAGACACACCCCCGTTTTCGACTTCGCCTCGCAACCAACAAAGGGAAACGTAGTAAGAAAAGAAATTAAAAGTTAAAACACCTCGGACATGAAAAACGATATAAGAGGAAAGAAAAGAAAGATGGAAAAGGAAAGGGCAAGACACTCCGAGTACCTTAACCATACTGCTTCTGACCACCCGATGAGGTCGTGTAGAGACCTTCCTCATCACTATCCCTCGGCGTGGCCTTGGTCCTAGCATTCCTCATGGTAGCCTTTTCACGACCGCTTGGCTCGTTGTGGCCGAACACGCTAGGGAACCAGGACTTGAGAAGGGGCATGAGAGCAGGGGCCGAGGCCGTGATGAGGGCAAGGTTGGTCTCGATGGCGGAGGTGACGAAGCCAATGTTGTAGGTTGGGTCAGGGTTGGGTGCAAAGCCGTAGAGGCCGACGATGAGGATAACGAGCCGAGCAATACTGGCCGCGGTGACACTGCACACAAATCGTTGTTAGTCACCAAATTCAGAATAAAAAGGAAGAAAATGAAGGGAAAGGGAAAAAGAAACATGGCACATACAGTCCACCCAGCAAAAAGACAACGAGCAGTGCAATCTTCGTCTTCTTGGGAATATTCAAATCCCTAAAAATATACGCCGGCAACAAAAGCACCAACACATCCGTCAAGATGGTGAACGCCGCCGTCGATATGTACAGCGAGCGTTGATCGACGCAGCGGCCGCCCCTGAGGGTGGGCGTCCAGTTGAAGGAGATGGGCGTGCACTGCAGGGTGATGGCGACTGCGACGGCCACCATCTGGGCGGCGGTGATGCCGGCGAGGCCGAGGACGTAGAGCTTCACGCCGCGCTTGTGGGCGAAGAGGCGGTAAAGGAAGATGAGGACGGAGAGCTTGACAAGGGCGAGAATGGGGTTGTAAAGAATTTGGACGGCGTAGTTCCAGATCATGCCCTCGGTGGGGTCGTGGAGTGGGATGTCTCGGCCCCTGATACCGACGTAGTTGGTTTTGATGACTGTTTTTGGCGTTAATTCCAGTTAGAGATCCATCTCAAAATTGGCTTTCCTCAACTTACACTTGTAGCTTGCTGCCGTCTCGATCGCAGACATAAACATGGATATGCAGATTAGACCATCGTCTGGAATAGAGGTGTTAGTGGCACACTTGCTGAGTTTCCTCTCTCCTCCAAGATTGGCCTTGAAATTCGACATACCCCATCCGAATTGCCTCCAAGCCCAGCGTCCCGCAGCCCTCAATGACACAACAACCAACGCCATCGAGGGAAACGAGAAGAGGATAAGAAGCGCGAACGTCTGCAACGGACTCGTCCGATCCGGTACTCCCAACCCTAATGCCGTCCCATTGCCTATCCCCCCCGACAGCGTCGGCGGCGTTGGTGTCCCTGTGCGTAATGGATCCATGGCTTTTTCTTAAGGTTCCTGGATGTTCCAATTCAATTGGAACACGGAACTATTCTCAGTCGTTCTTATTCGAAGCAGTTCGAAAAGGAAAAAGAATGTAATTCTTCAGCGAGCGCTGAAGAAGAAAACGAAGAGACGAAAGAAAAGAAAAAGAAGGACAGGGACCGATCAAACATGTGGGGGGAGGATTAAGTCCTTAAGTTAATAGCCCGAGCCCATCGAACCTCCCTTGGTAGGTGAAAGGGTGGGAGGAGATATGGGAAAGAAGGGACATGAGATGAGATGAAGAGATCGTACGGCCAAACTGCCTTGATAGAATGCTACTGATCTGCGAATCCGACCGCAGATCACCTCTTGGCCATTGGCCTCGAAGTGGATACACGATACAGACTCGCGATCCGGTTAAAGGGTCCATGTGTATCATGTTGCCCAGGACGGGCGAGCGCAAGGACCAAGCCGTGATCTTGTTCAGTTCGTAGTGGCTGCTTCGCACGGGGGTAATGAAGGTTGAGAGGCTAGAAAAACAAGACAGACACGGTTGAGCAGGAACAGAAGCATAACGGTGGCAATACCAGTGAACTTGGCATCGTCACCAAGCCACAAAGTCCTTCATGGTTAAGCTCATCGTGTGGAGAAGAAAGAGACTGTGGGGTTGCCATAGAGTTGGCATCGCCGGCATAGAATGCAGCATGGAATTGCCGCTGGAAACTCGCCGGGCCGGTGGTCTGGTACTCACGAGGACGGGCGGCGCTTGGGGGTCGCTGCATTGAAGAAAATGGTTGATCGAGTTTTCGGAGTCCTGAACTTGCAGTATGACGCAGGTACCAAAGATGGGCGTTCAGCGACGAGCAACGGGACTAAGAGTACTGATAATGGCCAAACAACTAAGAATGGATACATTCCCAAGTTGACAGTTCTTCTGCTGTGCGTTCATTCACGTCGCAATCAAGTGATGTAATGGTGTGTGCGGCATGTTGGCACACGCCCCCGGTTGCAGGGTGTCGGTGTCGGGACAGTGTTGCGAGTGGGCGGGACGGTTAATCGCTGAAGCAAGGCTCAACGGCTTCGTATGTCTGATCAATTGATAGCGATGTGAAGTGCAAAGAGGCATCGTGTTGTGTTAGTATCACCGAGGATTAGACGGACAGACAGATTTGAATCAGCACAAGCAAACAGCATCAAATTCCATCATCAAATATACTCTCAACATCGAAGCTCCAAAGAAGCGTCGGAGAACATGAGACCACGACTTCGCACATGTACGAAGTACTTCGTAGAACGATGGGACCCAAATTCATTGATCCCATCCCAATTTCCCACGAGGGGGCAGGGGGATGCAAGCCATCATCCTTGAAAGTGCGACCAGATCCAGTTTAGGTAACATTTTTGACAATCTGTCAGCAAGGGTTGCCCCTGACGAAGACCAAAGGCGAAGGCCCCTGCGCCGAACCTTTTCGTTCGTCGGAAATGTCGATCCCTCAGCAGAGAAGGTCATGCAGACCCTTCGATGGGGCGGAAGTGTGAAAGTGTGAACCTCTCGGAGCGACGGAATGAGTCGAGATTTTCCAGAAAGCACAAGCGCATTGCAACATCTTTTCCGTTCACACAAAAAAGAAATAAATAAATAAATAAAAAATTAAAAAAAAAGAAAAGAAAAGAAAAGAGAGATTGTCGTCTGGGCTGGCTAACGGCGGGGAGGAGGCTCGGATCGAGGACGCCGACGTTGTGGCTGTTTCAAGCTTGATAGGCTGCAGGCAAAACAGCCGAGGGCCGCAAAGCTCAAAGCTCCCTGTAGATAAATAAGTAAATAAATAATCAAGATTAAATTTTGAGCGAGTTGGGCTAGAATGAGAAATAAGGATCTTGAAGTAGCAAGTGGAAATCCCAAGACTCAAGGCTAGTTCACAACAATGAGATCAGCCGAGCGATGACGACTTCACTATTGTCGAATCATACAAGTTTGAAGTAATCTTACATGCAGACATGGAACCACCTGAAATCAGACATCAGAGATGAAATGCAGAATGGTGGGCATGTGTTGCTTAGTCGACAGCACCAGCATTGAATGGTCGAACGAACTTGAGAGCCCATTGCCGCAGCCTCGACTGGCATTGACCAGGGGCCCCAGTCCCTATTCCCGTCCCCGCTGAGCCAGGCAACTAAGCCCTATCGGCTAATTTCCACGCCAAGACAGCCGATGGTAGTTTAAGTGGCTGCATAAAGAGTGGATGGAGTACGAAGTGCGAAGTACTGCAGTGCACTGAGCTACGATCGCAACGCCTTGGAGCAGCTTCTTGGAGTCTCCGGAATGTCGGAGGTGTTGGGGCTTTGGTAAGAACTGTCCACCCCGCTCGTTATTATGCAGTCTTCGAGATCAATTGATCTCTACGGATTGGTAGGTGAGATCTTCGCTACTTGACAGTTTGCGCTATATACTTCGTACAATACGATGGATTGACATAGGATCGATTTAGCGTACTAACTAAAGATTGATAGGAGAATGCGTCCTTAGCGCCGGGCTATTGATTGTGTTGACCATATAGCTACAACAGTTAACGACAAAAGCTCAGCAGCCTTCGTCCATCACCACCGCGGACACTGATCTCGATCTCGACTAGTCCCAAGCATTATTAGCATCTTCTATCAATTGGCAACGGGCTGGCTAGAGATTTACGCAGTACTGTGGGTACAGGGGCCATTTGATTTGATGTAACAAGTAGTGTACGCTTGGCACATTGGATGCTGCAGAGGTCTTTTGCCAGTTCATCTCCCCAGCTTCACCTTTGAGCTTAAAAGAAGGTGATATAAGATTATAGTGTGGGCACTAATCGTTCACGAGGTTTCGAGCTTGAAACCCAAGTAAGCGATCTGCCTATTGGCCCGACATTGGGAATCAATTCAAGGCAATTAATTGTCCGTAGACAAGCAGTCAGAAGATTGAATGATGTCATGCATTCCGTCGAGGCTGCAACTGCATCCACAGCTTCACCAGCTTCAGTGGCGATCTGATACGAGTGGAAAGTCTCGGTGCGCCATCAAACCATCAATGGTCACTTTACTAGATCACTTCGGTCACATCACCTTCAATCAATGGCTAGAAGACTGATCGAACATCCCCAGCACCTTACCGTAGATCATGATCCAAGAGAGGGTGGCGACACGGTAATACACAGCAGTTTTCGTACCGACCAATGATCCAAGTGAAGATGAATCTAAATTTGATGGATACGTGAGGAGTTTGGGTCCAGAATTTTACATCATTCTGAAATCATGAAGTATGCTTTTCAATATTGATGACGGTGAGCCACCGCCGCCACTGATGATGGGCGAGACCGATGTCATGGCCGTCAACGTCACGCCATCCCGGAATCTCCCATTGATATCCTCAAGACGTTTAAATACCTGCCTCTGATGTCCATATCTCTATACATATCAAGCGAAGGTCGAATTCTCAAAATTTTCCCAAAAAATTGTTTATATAAAATTTACTCAATTTCTCACTCTTATCAGATTCCGTGGAAGTAACTAGCTTACACTATTCGCATTATCCAACTATCGAGAGCTATGTTTCAGACTCGCCAAAATGGCAACTAGACTCTCCCGAAATCCCCAACCCCTCCGCTCCCTCGACACCGCCGCCCACCTTATCCGCACCCACGCCGAGCCCCTCCCCACCCTCACCGAATCCCCCGAGCACCTCGCCCGCCAATTCGACCGCTATGCCGACTGCAAAGTCCTCCTCATCGGCGACGCCTCCCACGGCACCTCCGAATTCTACGCCGCCCGCGCCGCCATCACCAAGCACATGATCCAGCACCACGGCTTCAACATCGTCGCCGTCGAGGCCGACTGGCCCGACGCCGAAGCCGTGGATCGCTTCGTGCGCCATCGCCGCGGCGTTGGGCCCTCGAGCGGCATTGATCCGGCGCCGAAGGCGAAGGAGCCGCCGTTTATGAGGTTTCCGACGTGGATGTGGAGGAATATGGAGGTGCATGATTTTGTGGTGTGGTTGAGGGAGTTTAATAAGGGGAAGCACGTGCAGAAGGCGGCGGGGTTTTATGGTTTGGATTTGTATTCGATGGGAAGTTCGATGAATGCGGTGATTCAATACCTTGAGAAGGTCGATCCGCCCATGGCCAAGGTGGCGAGGGAGAGGTATGGCGGGTTGATGGTTTTCGCCAAGGACCCCCACGAGTACGGGCTCGAGATGTTGATGACGACGTTTGCTGGCTATGAGAAGGACGTCGTCGAAATGCTTAGGGATATGCTATCCAAGAGGTTAGAATATTCGGCGCATTTGGAGGACGGAGAAGAGTTCCACAGCGGAGAGCAGAATGCTCGCGTCGTCGCCGACGCCGAGCGGTACTACAAGTCCATGTATCACGGCCGCGACGAGAGCTGGAATCTGCGCGACACCCACATGTTCCAGACCCTCCTGCGTATCATGAAGCACCGCGGCCCCGAATCCAAGGCCATCGTGTGGGCTCACAACAGTCACATCGGCGACGCTCGCGCCACGGATATGGGCGCAGGCCGCAACGAGCTCAACATCGGTCAGCTCTGCAAGGAGACCTTCGGGGACACGGCACTCAACATCGGCACCGGCACGTACACGGGGACCGTGGCCGCCGCGCACGGCTGGGGCGGCGACATGAATATCATGAGTGTAAGACCCGGCATGAGGGGCAGCTACGAGGAGTTGATGCATGCGGTCGGGCTGCCGAGTTTCTTGCTCGACCTACGGAAGGGGAAGTGCGACGAGGAGGTGTGGGATGAGTTGACCAAGAGGCGACTGGAGAGGTACATTGGTGTGATTTATAAACGGGATAATGAGCTTAGGGCTCACTACGCGCCGTCGATGCTGGCGAAGGAATTTGATGGTTACGTCTGGTTCGATGAGTCGAAGGCTGTGAGGGCGTTCGAAAAGTATCAGCCCCCGACGGCCCTCGAGCTCGAGGAAACTTGGCCGTTTGGCATGTAAGACGTACAACGGTGAGAAAAAAAGGAATCAAGGGCTTTTAAATAGGTTGATAATAGTGAATGATACTCTCAAATTGAACATACTATTTCAATGGGACAGTGACTAGGCCCACCAATCAAAACACTAGGCAGCGCTGAAATAGGCAAGTGAACACACGACCTTAGCAACACGATTGTCCCGCACAACAAGTCTTGACAGGATTGGCGGAATTGGCATCAGTCGTGCCCGAAGGCTTAATGGCATAGATCTTGAATGACCCTGGTGGAATGGCCAGTTAGTAAATGAGCTACGGAAGGGCTGGATTGTTTCTTCTTTTGCAATTTCACTGTGGTGCACCTACCGGCCCATTCATTAAAGTCCGTAACCCCGGACTCCTCCACCATCGTCTTGGCGAGAGTCTCCATCGAAGCTTTCGAGGTCTGGCTGGATGCTCCGCAGCAAGGAACAGAAGCAGCAGGCGCACAGCAGGATCCATCATCTCGAGAAACGGTAACGTAGGCATTCAAGTCACTCTTCGCGTCGACAATCAGGATATCTAGAAGCGAGATTTAATACTTAGCAAACAACACAAGCGTGCGGGTGAGGAGAGACGAGGTATTTGACCCACCATTAAACCCCGCTGTTCTGAGGTACGTTTCATACTCGCTCACTTGGCTCGCACCAGCCACGCAACCAACATACAAGGCGATGTTCTTCCTCAGCTCGTCGGTAAACTGCTTCCGCGCAAGGATGTCGCTGATAGCCACTCGACCGCCGGGCTTGAGCAGCCGGAACATTTCAGTAAAAACGGCTTGCTTGTCCGCGTCCGGGACGAGGTTGATGACGCAGTTGCTGATGATGCAGTTGGCGGTGTTGTCAGGAAGTGGGATGGATGTGATGGGACTTTGGATGAATTCGACATTGGCTGCGTCGACCTTGGCTTTGTTTGCGTTGGCTTTGGCAATCATGTTCTAGAAAGATGGATGCTAGATGTTAGCTAGATTCCGTATGTCAGTTGAGATAAACCGGGATGTGGCTTTCTCCTTGCCTCATTCATATCCACGCCGATGGCCTTTCCGCTCTCTCCAACCTTTTTGGAGGCTGCAAAGACATCGAAACCGGCGCCGGATCCAAGGTCGACAACGGTTTCGCCCTGCCAATGTCAGAAAAATAGGAGCGGAATACGGTTCTGGATTTCCAATAGCTCGAACCTCATTCAGTTTCGCAAGCGCAATTGGATTCCCACAGCTAAGACCCAGGTTTGCTCCGTCGGGTAGCCCCACGAGATCCTCCTCGGTGTACCCAAAGGCTTTGGCCACGGCATGCTCATACTGGCCCGAACTGCTCTTGGTAACTGAGCCGTAATGTTTATTGACTTCGTTGTAGATTTGCTGTGAATCTGTCATTTTGGAGATTGTTGTAGATTGTTGCGAGGGGTGAAGGGATGCCTGGATTACTTTGATGGGAGACCCTTAGAGTTTACGATCGCAACTGGCATTTCTCTATTTTTTCGCCTTGGAAAGCATCGCCGGCGCTCTTATACCTTGGCACAGCTACCCTCGATATGTCACTGGGAGATTCTCCGTGTTCGACTTTGAACTGATCCCCGGTCCTTGCGTACGACAGCTCGGTGATTGTGGGCAGATCAATCTGAACTATCAATCTGTACTTATCAATCTGTACCAAATTTGAAGGTACCCGAGATGAACGAGGTGCTGACTAAACACTTAAATCGATATGTCACCGCACTGCGCCTCCACAGTTGCACTCGCCAAGACCTGACCTTGGATCGTCGACAGATTCTAGCCCCTACGCTTTGCTTCTCGGAGGGCAGTTAGGTTCCGCCTTTCCCGCCTTTTCAGCTCAGTGACATATCGAACATTGCAATAAGAGTCCTATTATAGGTACATTCGTTAGCCTAGCCCATTATGTCTCCCCAGTCCCCTGCCAAGCCACGGAGACGGCAGCGAGTCTCCGCCGAGCACACACTAGAACGGGTCCGGAACAACCAAAGGCGCCATCGCGCTCGGCGGAGAGAGTACATTGCCGAGCTGGAGGAGAAAGTCGATGAGATGTCGCAGACTATATCGTCTCTCGAGGGCAAAGTAAAGAGTTTGCAGGATGAATTAGCTCGGTGTGACAATCATGATCATAACCACGACCAGGATGATGTGGCGAATGTTGACACCACTGCCGCTCCTCCTTCACGACAACTACAACAGGGAGGAATAGAGCCGGGGTCGGAGAGTCCCGTGGCGTCGACGAACACCGATCCGTACCTGGATGAGGATGAGGAAGAGCCCGAACCCGTCGACGACCCTGCAGTTGGAAATTTGCCAGATCGCCCAGCGAACGAACGCGGCTCCTCTGCAACCAACAATGAATATCAAAATAATTCCTGTTGCCAAAATCTAAAGGACCGGGCGTGCCCAGATCCAGAAGAACAAATCCTCGAAGACGTTCCGGGACCCTGTGTCTCCGCAGCTGGTCCTTCCCAAGCCGGCGCCCCATGCCCGCCATTCCCGGCATACCTGCTACGACCGGAATTTGAAGCCCAATACCAGCAAAACTCGGAAGATGAGAGCACAGTCCTCTGTTCGGAAGCCTTCCTCCTCATTTCCCAGCAAAATTACAAGAGCCTGTCCCAGGATGAAGTGGCGTCGTGGTTGTGGAGCGGATTCCGGCGTGCTCTCCGCCCCGGCGAAGGGTGTAGAGTGAGATCGGATTTGCTTCTTGGTCTTTTGACATATATAAGTGATGTATAATATTTGTTTCGAGACTTGATTCTGGTAATGGGTTGGCGTTGGCTCGGTTTACTTAATATTTCAAGGCTACAACGGGGGATAATGGACTTTATTTGATCTTGGGATTTGCCTGGAAGGAAGGTGGAATGGGTATCGCTCTTGCTCTCTTGCTTGCCTCTAGGAGAAGAGGAAAGTCCATTGCTCAAGTGATTGAATCACATCAATAGGACACTAAATTTAAGGGAGGACATCTAATTGACAACAAATCTCAAAACAACCATAAAATGAGTAGAAATCCCAGAGCCTCACATCTCGTCCTTTTTCCAAACTCCCTCACCACAGGTTCCTTACCTCATAACTCTGCCGCAGTTGCACTCCGCATCAAACACCATCATGCGTAGTATTGCCTCCTATGCCTTGATGCTTCTTAGCATCACCTTGGCCCCCAGCGTAAGTTCTCCTTCACCTCTTGATGTTCTTTAGAGACCGATTGGCATCAATGGCTAACTATTTGGAAATATACAGTCGAGCTTCGTCCAACAGGCTCGGGCCCAGGCTGTCCCCGTCAACGGCCCAAGTCTTCCCGATGGCTTCGTCGAGGTCCCCATGAGCTGGGACTTCAAGTTCGGAGATGAGGCCATCACCCTGCAGGGAACAATCGAGGTACATGCCCACTCCACACACACACACACACACACACACACACTCTCTCTCTCTCTCTCTTTCTCTCCCGCCAAAGTTTCACTAACGTTTCTGGTTTCCTAGGAGGCTCTGGCCCAAATGAACGTCATGAAGCCCGGCATCAGCCAAGAGCAGTTCATCCAAGCCATGAACGACGCCCATCCTTCCATCGTCCCGTCTGATTCCAACCCTGCCTCGGTAAGATTCCCTCTCTCTCTCTCCTCTCTCTCTCCACAACACCCATACATCTCCAACACTCCGGGCCAAAGCAACCTATAATGTAGGGCCATATATCTAACTGTAATGCCACCCCACAGAAGACAGACAAGGCCACCCCAGTGATCATCGACTGCCTCGATCCCGCGTTCACTTCCAGGCCCGCGTGGAAGGAACCAATCATGGAAGGCATCAACGTTCTCAAAGAAGTCTTTCACCCCTGCTACATTCCCGCCCATCCCCGCAACGAGACCTGTGCCCGTGTGAGCTGCAGCTACCACTCCGGCATCTTCATGTGCGGTATGAACGGTCTCCGCCCTAGCCCCATGTGTTCGGACTTGGCTCCGATGGCCGAAGCCATCGTCAAAGCGTGCACGGACGACTCTGAGATGGGATTCGTCCAGGGAACTTATATTCCGTCGGCCCAGACATACCTTGTCCATGTTGGTGGTGCTAGTTGTTGAGGCAGTGGGCTTTTCTTGTCGTCACTTAGGCGCATCTAGAGAAGTTGGCTGACAAGACGCATTGATGCGAGATGTAGAGAAACCGAGAGATGGGTAGATAACGAAACAATACAGGAGCGTCTTTAAAGCAATTAGTTGATTTGATCCTTCTCCAGTGATGTTCCCTGTGACTTATAAAAAACTTTTTAAAAAATATAATCAAAATAGTCCAAGGTTTCTCAAGGGGAGGGGAAAAAAGTGAAAATGTAGTTGGAAAAGAAAAATGGCAAAAAAGCTCGGCTCCGGGATCGAACCCTTCGCCTACGAAAACAATCCGGGGTCGTTTTCTAGCCTTGTGAGTCGTCTGGTCTTGGCCCGCCAGACCATCATGAGTGCAGGCTCACTTGAACAACTCGGCTGATAGATTCGGTCCGTACCCTCATATATAAAGCTATTTTGGGCTCCCTTTTGGGGTGAGACGAGAGGGAAGGAGGGAGAGAGGGACGGGGATGGTTCCTTCCCCCGAGGTGATATGAACGATCCTAGACATGAACCTGAACAACTTTAGCTGAGATATAGAACTGGACAACGGGGTCACCACATGCTGCCGCACCCAAAAACACTGAAAGTCTTGAACCATGTAAGGACTTGTATTTCCCCCCTTCCTCATCTGTTGTGCTTGCCCTCATCCGCCTCGACATCCTAGGAGAGAGCCTCGTCAATAGGTCGGACGTTGTATCCTATCTCGTCCTGAGGGCGTTCGATGGATGAGGTATTTTGGGGAAGGCCACACCGCATGTGAGGACTAGGGTGATCGTATGGGTGTAGGCACAGTTTTGGCAACAATGTCCCGTCTTTTTAGAGGAGAACAGACCTCCGGTTGTGTAGCGATGTCTTCCCAGAAAATCTAGACATGTTGGCATAGGCTCAAGTAGCTCTGGCTCTCACGCGGAGCCTGACCTCGCAAGGCTCCGCCCCCTCTACCAGAGAGAAGAGACGTGATGAATGCCTGGCTCAACATACCGAGCAATAGAGGTGTGTCTCCTTCACCGACGTCCGTCTCTTCCTCGGGTTGAGAATGATCCTCAGGCTGTTCGGCAAGCAGAGCCACAGAAAACGGGAGATTATCCCTCAGTACGCGGCGGTTTGGGGGGGAAAAAGGGGGGGGGGGGGGGGTTCTATCTCGTTCCTCTGTGAGGACCTTCTCGTCCTTCCAAAGCCCCCGAAGAACTCAACACACGCGTAACGAAGTGGCCAAGGAAGTGGACAAGGAAAAATGGCAGCAACCGAGCACAAAGCATGACGAGACCGTTTTGGCCAAGGGACGCACTTTACGGTTTTCTGGTCTGCGGCCGATATCGAGACCACGGCGAGATTTGAACCCAACTTGAAGCTTGAAGCGTCCTATAGAACGACCCTCACGGCGACGTCCTCCGGATGAGGCTACTATCACCAGGCTAAGATAGGCTGAGTTGATGAGGCGGAGGCATTGCCGAAAGGACTTGGCCGCGAAAACTGTGATCGAGGCTAAGAATTGACGTAATCACGGATGCTATGTATCTCGAACTGACTCAACGCAGGTGTGCGATGCCAACCGTCGTCCGTCGTCTTGGGTCCTAGATTGCTCTTCATAGTTCGTTTCCATGGTCACCAGCTTCAAGCAATTCTGGTGCCCTCGAGGGCTGTCTCTCCGTCTCTCTGGGGGAAAAGCGGTGGGGTTGGGGGGGTTTGCACAGATCTCTTTATGCGCTGCCATTAAACCAAGTCCCTGCCTCGGACAGATTGCGTCCTGCCTCGGACAGATTGCGTCCTGCCTCATCACGCATTTCAAGTAACCCGCACCCAGGGAGAATCTCGGAGACAACCGAAAACATTGCTCACTTCGCGCAACGCCTACAAGCCCAGCAGGATAAAAACCACCCGAGGAAATAAACGAGTATATGGAATATGCTTCTTAAAAGAAAAACTTCCAGCGAGGAAGTTAAACAACGCTAAATCTAAGTCTGTATTCTGTATCAGAGAAATCAATGTCGACGCATGCAGCACCTTGTCTTAAGTGTGATATATCATCCCCCGCTGTGAATGCAAAGCTCTTCAATCTTCGAAGATATGTGGGGCATTAAAAACAAGAAAAAAAAAAATGCGTGCCCGCTAAAAAGTTCTCCGGTACTCCCGTTCGCGCCGTGAAAATGCTGCATCTCTCGAAGAGGGCCAAAAAAAGAAAAAGTTTCTTCGTGGTAGTCATTGGTTTTGGGTTTCCCCCTAAAGCCAGATCTGGATCCACCAAGGAAAAAAGGTCCCGGAGGGCTAAGAATTTCCTTCCACGTCAATGGCCAACCCAAACTCGGCCTCGCTCGGTATTGGTCTCGTGACCAGTGACACCAGTGACCGACAACAGGTAGAGCGTAGCAGTCCTTGTGGGCGACGTGGTGGATCTGTTGGTCTAGTGGAGTGTAGTTGTCGTGGGTCCGGCAAGTTTGAGACCATCGTGAGGGAGCCCAATTGTGGGGGGGAGTGAGATTTGTTCGGGTCAGGTCCCGACCAGATTCGGTCACCGACTGAAAATGACGAGTCCAGAAGAAATCAATGAAAATACCGTCGTCGCAGAAAATCCGTCAACAAGCCTGGCGTAAAAAAAAAAAGTCGTAATGCAAAGCGATAAGAGATAAGCCGCGGAAAGTTCGATCCAGCGTCATAACGTCATGCATCTGATCTTGATTGCTCGAAAAGTAAATGCAAATAATGTCGGGGGGAAAATGGCGTAATCTGGCCAGCACGTGGCATAACTCCCCACGTCTGGAAATATATCGTGTGATGGAGCCCATGTGTCAAGACAGGACATCGAAGAATAAATGGATCACTCTTTCGTTCCATTTAGCAACTCACAGGTACCCATCGCATCGGAACACCGTCAGATCGGACCTCGTACGGCCTCGTAATCGGCTTCCTTGGCGGCAGAGCCCATCTCGCGCGGCCCGGCCGCTGGTCGTCGAGCTTCCCGCGCTTGCGCATGGCCATCTCGAGTACGGCGATACGGATAAAATCCGAGTTTTCGCGCATCTCGCGCTGTCGCATGGCACTAGGAGGGTTGTTCGACGTTTGGCGCTGAGGCTGGCTGGACTGAGAGGAGGAGGATGACGACGTTGAAGAGGAAGAGCGAGATAAGCCAGGAGAGGGGGTCTCCCCACCCATGGCACCCTGGGATCGTTGGACCTTGTAAGTCTGCATCTGGATCGACGCGGTGAAAGCCCTCGTCCGCGACCTCGGTAGGTTTGTCGGGCCAGAGTCCAGTGGTGACCCAGTGGACGGGTTGAGGTACCGCCGAAGAGCAGCTGATGGCTCTTCATCGAAAACGGGTGGCCGTTTTTCATCGGTGTATGGTACTTTGGGGTCGATGGTAAGAATGGATCGGGTGAGAAAGTCGTCTGGTGGGATAGACGCCAGGGTTAGAGAAGAGAAAGATTTGGCTGCCGAGCGGATGGCGCGCAGAGACGCCGTCAAGTTGGATTTGAATGCTGACTTGAGAGGTAACCGTGAAAAGGTACCCTCGCGCTTCGCATTGGTACCGTCTGCTGGGGATTCAAAGACCCTGAAGTCCAGCTCCTCAATGTCCACCCTCGTCGACAGAGGATGAGCGAAGGTTCCCCCTCCAGGGGATGACGAAACAGGCGTGAGGGAGCGGCGTGTGGGTTGCGATGATCTTCGGCGACCTCGATAAGGAGGGGGAGTCACTGGAGTGTATCCAATTGACAAACTAGCATCCAAGGGTGACGCCGAACCTGATAATGACGGTACGGACTCTAAAGAAGCTGTTCGACCCGACGAAAAAGAGCCGACGACGCCGTCGTTGAACGATGAAGAGTCATCATCACGACAGTCGGTCAAATCCTCCGGGTCCGAGAGCAAGAGGTCCATCGGACTCCTACCAGGCGAGATGCTCAGCTCTTTCTCCGGCACCTCCGGCACCGCCGACACCGAATCCCTCTCAGCCGTAACTTCGATTATATTTACACCCTCGGTCTTCGATTTCCTCCGCGCGCTTCCATTTCCACGAGCACCACCCTTTGGACGGGGTATGGCAGTGACAGCCAACAGGGCATGGATCGAAGGCGGCACGGCGTCAGGGGAGTATACGTCTCGTGGCCGGTGGGATCGGTGTCGATTGTGCTGGTGTTTGGTCCAATATGCACTTGGGTCTCGCTTCGGTTTTGTAGGAATTTGCACGGGTAAGGCGGCGATGTTGTGTTTTGTCGTCACCGGCTTCATGGTAGATGTGGTCGTCGTGGTCGCGGTGCCGCGGAGGGGAGGACAGGCAGTGCACGCAGGCCCGGCTACTAACTTAGGGTCCTTGCCACCTCTGAGCGACCTGGCCATGATGGCTTTAAGGGGCGGTAGACTGGTGACTGGTTTTGCTGCGACGTTTGCTCGGTGTATTCTGTCTTCATACTTCGGTTCTGACACGATGAGAGAGTCGGAAGGGGGGAGTTTCGAAGTTAAGACCGGATGACTGGTGGTCGCGATGCAAGAATGTAAGGCGGAAAGTGAGAATTCGTTGGTTGGGCTGAGATGTGGTGGAAGGCAGTGCCGGTATTAGTACGATGGAGAGGAAGCCTTGGCAGGCATTTGGAAGGAGCGAAACGGGGGTCGCGGGACGGATGAGATCAAGTCAATAAATGGTGGGACGTACGAATGCGGTAAGCGTCAAGTGGATGCGACCGCCAGGTCGGAAGGAGGGACAAAGGGACGTACAAAGGACCTCGGGGAAAGGACAACACAGCACACTGATTCGTGTACGCTGCGACGCTGGGATGTCAGGGGGTCCTCAGGTACCGAACCAGTATTGTTGGGGGAAGCCAGCTGGCTGGGGGCAGGACCAGGTACAATCGTACCTCCAAACGAGGGACTCTGTGGGGACTGGACTGGTATTAATATTACGGTTTGCACAAGGTCATTTAGTTTACTTTACGGAGTGTACTTCTTCTTAGATATGCTGGATATCTCATAGGCGTTGTCCGAAGTTG